GTTGGTTTGACTGCCACTTAAATTGTCCTCCGCGAGGCAGCTCCCCTAGAAGATTACCTTCTGCATAGTTGGCTCTACTGCGAAGAAGATCTTCTGGCTCTCGTTGGAAAGATATTTCATAGGCAGATGGACACACCAATAATTTAGAGATGCTTACCTTGGATTCTTCAAGACAAATACCACTACGTCAGAGAATGTATACAGAAGTCGAGGATATAACTGCGTTACGAAAAACTGCCTTGTTTGTGTCTCGGCGGTTTTCGCCCACTTAATTTCTCTTTCTGAATGACGAAAATTTCTACGGCTTTGCTCGAAGGATTTGGTAGTATGACTTCTTTGAGCCCCTTTGTTGTTGCCGGCCATACGGTTCAGAAGCTTGGATCGAGCTCCTTTAGGTTCTCGCTCACCCCCAGCCAAACCCTCACAATCTGCGTAGAAAATCGGCGTCTCAGAGAGATAAGTCTCAGGATCAGTGTAGAGATGAACATCTCCACTTGTAGGAACATCTTGGTGCTTATTTGAGCCCACAATAGGTGTTTGGAAACCCTCGCCCGACTCGCTCAGCTAGAAAGGTCAGCAGAGACTCCTTGTCTAGGAACACACGTACCTCAATCAGAACCTTGACAAGCGTAGATTTGCCAGCACCTATTTCTATAGGTTAGATTCTGTTGATAAATACAATAAGACCTTACCTGTTTCTCCTACGAAGCTGACAAGACCTGGAAACCGATTGTGCTGAGCGCCTTGCCTTTGCCTGGGGTTTGTAACTTGAGATATTTCAGTCATAATATCAGCATATCGGCCGTAGTCGTAGAATATGGAGTCTTCCGATTCATCTTTAACCACGCCAAACCAAGCAGTATTCTCATCCATTCGAAAAAGTTCTTGTTGCTCGAGGTCATCCGAGCATGCTTCCAAGGTAGCGCGCAGCTTGTCTGCAATAGCTTGATCTGTCTTTTCATGAGGTATACCGCCTGGCCCTAGTTTACCTGATCTGTGTGGTCCAACTCTGTTCCAGCAATGACCACAGTAGGTCATGTCGCATAGATTGCAGTAGTAGGAATCAGTCTTGTGCTCGTCACATTGACCACATTGATATTTCTCCACTTGATTAGAATTTGTTCGAGATTTTATAGGTGGTGGGGGGCTAGCTTCGCGGTGGCTTTCTGCTGGTTGAGCCACAACTGCTTCCAAACCCTGGGTTCGGGCGCTGGCAATGCGGGCGGGCGATTGAGAAGATGCGTACGGATTAAATGGTGCATAGTCGCTGACCGGCGAGGCAATATCATTTTCATATCGTCCAACAGTCATGGGCTCGACTAAGCCGTCGAAACTTTGACTATTCAGGACTGGATTCAATCCCGAAGCAACGCTGAAGTCAGCTGTTTGGGGCAACGTAGACTGGGAGACAACTCCATTTCCCGTGTTGCTTGGCCCTCTATTTCTAACTTCATTCCCGTGAGCTGTTGGGGTCTGTTTGTTTTCTAATTGGATGTCATCGTCGAGGAAATTATTATAATATTCTTGCCCGGATCCATAAGTAGAGAAGGCTTTCCCGGCATGGCTTGTAATATTGTAACCCAGCTGTCAAAGTCAGTACTAGCGGCGATGAGACAGAAGGGATAGATTCGAACCTGTGGAGATACATAGTCGTCGTTGAAGTCAATTAACAGCTCTTCTTCCGCAACATCATTGGGGGAATTGGTCGGTTGCGCAACGGCACCTCCAGAGCCTCGCCGGTGAGGACTGGGTACGGACATGGCACAGTGCTTCGGCTACTCAAGTACACGTCGAAACGTTCTCAGAACATCATGTTGTTGGCGTCGACAGACTACCACAAAGCGTGGAAGTCAAGAAAAGGCGTCGTTCACATTATTTAAACAGACGAGACTGTCATGTGCGACGGAGAGTAGACCAGACCCCAAAAAGAAAAGAAAGCGGAGGCTCAGCTCAGGTGCTGCATGATGGGGGCGAAGCTGTGGGATCCTATACGTGCAAGATAAGCGAAGGATTTAAGCGTAAAAGTACAAGTCTCCTACTCACAGATAATGTATCTAGTCTTTTGATATTGTAGTAGGCTGTTTTTCACTTTCGTTAGTAAATCCTTGTTGTTGTTTGGCTTTCATCAGAAGAAGCTGGCCCTTAATTAATCAAATCTGATTCTCTGGGAGTAGATACTTGCGCTTTCCCTTAGGGAAAACGTTCTAGTGGCCCTAGAAGTTCCCAACTAGCTAAAGATGACTTGTAAAAGTCGTCGATTGTGTCAAGTGCCTCATTCCATGACAATGAGCGAAAACGGTAGGCATTTTGTCGTCGGATGTCATTGGAAACAAAACTCGTCGACGGCTGCTAGAAATAAGAGGGTTCACGGGCGTCTTGATCCTTGCGTCTGGTTGGACGGTCTCGAAGCGACTGCCCCACTTCCCACAGATGGCATCCCAAGGCCCTCAAGAGTACCCCTCCATGACATCTTTCCACCTCGTACTTCCATTTGTGTATTCTCGTCCACTCCACCTCTCCGCAAAGCCAATCCTGGGGTTTGTTTGGCAGGACAGTCACCTCCATATACTTGGAATATCTCGAGGTATGAGACTCGTCTGCTAATCCTAGTCAATCGCCAGCAACAATCTTGTGCCCTGCCTCTGCCAATTTCGCATCATGGCATCCACCCTCACTTCTTTGCTCAAAGCTGCCTCAATTACAGATCACGAAGAAGTCCTCAAAGCTGCGAATGCCGTGCTGAAATCCTCCAAAAATAACCTCGATGCCCTACATACGCGAATTGTGGCATTACTGAACCTCGACCGGTATCATGACGCCCTTCGAGCTTTCGACGATGGTGGAGACAAACTGGTAGAGCGATGTAGATTAGAGAAGGCATATGCGCATTACAGAGTAGGACAGTTCTCCGAAGCTCAAGAGCTGGGGGCTAGTGGACGGTCGAGGGGGCTGGCGCATGTGGCAGCGCAAACGGCCTACAAAGCGGAAAGATTCGAGGATGCCGCCAGAATATATGAGGAACTGAGTGCTAGCGAGGGTCCGATTGAAGGAGAGGAGAATGATCTCAGAATAAATGGCGCTGCAACGGATGCCCAATTACAGTGGCAGGGCCATGGAGACAAGGTTGAAGAGAGCAGAAAGAAACCAAGTAGAGAGGATTTGGAAGCTTTTGAGACGTCATATAATGCAGCTTGCGGTTGTGTTGCTCGCGGTGATTTGAACTCGGCAAGCGTACTTCTGAAGCGGGCACGCGATTTGTGCGAGGCGTTGGAAGATATGAGTGATGAAGCCAAGCAAGAAGAGGTTCTACCAATCATGGTTCAACAGGCATATGTTTTTACCAAGTTGGGAAAGATTGAAGAGGCTAAGGCGATCCAGAAGATGATCAATATCGCTGAGTACGTGATCAATTACTTTCCGTTTTCGAAAAATTGCTAATTATTAAATAAGGGTCCCTGAACCGCCAACGAAAGTAATTGCAACAGTCAACTCACTGGCTTCGTCGAAGACCGAAAACCCCTTCATGGCAGAGCGCACTCTCGCATCCGTCCCAACTTTGAAGCCGACAGAAAAGCATTTTGAACATCAAGAGAGCATTCTACAGCGTGACCGATATGCAATTGATCTCCAGTTGCTTAAATACTCCGGAGTTGCTTATTCTACAGCTTCTATCATAGCCAAATCACCTTCTCCAACCATCTCGCCTTATGTTAGCAGCCTCGGTGCCATCAATGCTGCAGCGAATGCAAAATGTGAGGCTGGAAAGGCTGGTTTAAAGCAAATTCTTCCTTTACTGGAGAAACGGCCGAATGATGTCGGTTTAATTTTAGTCATCATACAACTTTACATTCTCACAAACAACCCATCACAGGCTACTACGCTTCTGGAAGCCTTCTTCAAACGCTTAGAAGAATCTCAAAATTCTGCAGATCAGGACGTGCGCTTTGCGCCTGGCTTAGTAGGTCTTGTTGTGTCCCTGTACCGATCTACAGGTCGCAAGGGTCCAATCAAAAAGGAGCTAGGAAAAGCAGCATCTTACTGGCGGCGGAAAGAAAATTCCTCACCAGCGTTGTTGCGTGCGGCAGGAACATCACTGCTTGAATCCTCAAATCCGGAAGATCTGGAAGCTGCCGGGGAAATCTTCTCTTCTCTACGAGCGAAAGATCCCAATGACCGTGCTGCAGTTGCTGGGTTTGTTGCATCGTATGCAACCACTGACTTGGACAAAGCAGCTTCAGACTTGGAGAAGCTGACACCTGTTTCCCGTTTGATTTCCGGAGTCGACGCTGCATCCCTCGAAGATGAAGGTGTACCAACCCTACCACTCGCATCATCCCAAGTGGCAAGCAAAAAGAGACAAGCTGATTCAGCAGAAAAAGAGAAGGAGAAGCCAGCCAAAACGCGTAAGATCAGCAAGAGCAAAATGCCAAAAGAATTTGTAGAGGGCAAGCAAATGGATCCAGAAAGATGGCTTCCATTAAGAGATCGAAGTTCATACAGGCCAAAGGGAAAGAAGGGCAAGAAGAAAGCGGCAGATCTGACACAAGGTGGTGTTGTAAAGGAGGAGCCTGAGAGCCTAGAACTTGCTGGCGGGGCAGGTACTGTCAAAGTTGAGAAGTCCGTTCCAGGAAAGTCGAAGAATAAGAAAAAGGGGAAGAAGTAGGGCTTTATTTAAGCGAGGATCTTACTTGAGCTGCCCCTCATTTGGAGCTCCAATCTCAACCATCTAACTTCTCTATCTCGCAAAGAACAGCTACCGAGGTTTGATTCTCAAAGTAAATTCCGAAACTAATATACTGTTTATATCATCAATCTTAACGAATCAGGAACAGGTAGTTCTGGCGTATTGTAGTGCACTCACCATCAATTACTCGAGCATTTACCCTACAGTAGTTGGCATGGCCTTTCCTAACCGAACAAGCGTGGCATAACGCATATACTACGCTATTTATTTAATCCAAGATGTTTTCACAATGCCAGATTAGGATAGAATTTGCTACAGCTTGTCAAAACTTTCAAAGCAGACACCACGGAACTTTGTACAACCACAACTCCCCACCTCTCGTTTCCATATCCAAGAACGAGAGCCAGATGTGAGCTCCAGCTATCAATCACTGATAAACCTTGACAGAATTGATCAACCAATACGCATTAGCGAACGCACGAGGATTGTTCCTAACATACTCCTCACAAGTCGCTACCCCCGTAGTCGCTGCACAAGTACTCCAGTCAGTCCAACCTTGTCCCCCAGCCATATCTCCACAGAATGTGGTGTCAAAGTACTAAGCCGCCTCATTAGCATCCATCGCCAGAACCAGGAGGAAAACAACTCACAATAGTCTGCGCCACAAAGTTTTCAACCATATCACAATCCCCTCTCGACTCATCAAAACTCGCAACTGGAGTACCCCAATTCGCCACATCAGGTTGCCCATCCGTAATATCCTTCGGCACAGCATTCCTCGGCCACGAATAGATATTAATATGCTTCTCCGTCCAATCCATCGCATAAACACCCCCACCCTGCGCATTAAACGGCGTTCCAACACTATCCGCCAGCCCCGTCGTACTACATCCCGCACCCACCGTACAGTCCGTGAAATCCTCCGCCCGCTCCCCCGTCTGGAAAGGCCCCTTCTTCTGATCGAACGTACAATGCGAGCGCGTATCCGTATGCAACGTCATCGCTCCATTCGTGTCGTCGCTGAAGTACTCTAAGATATCAATTTCCCCGTACAACACTTTTTCTGGATCAGGCACGTCGACGGTCCGGCTCTCCCCGTTGTTGGTCGTCCAGAAGGCGGGCCAACTGCCGCAGTCTGAAGAGGGGATGTGTGCGAAGTCACCGATTAACAGGCCGCGAGTGAACTCGATCTTGGAGGTTAGCCAGATTGCTTTACGGCCCCGGGATCCTTGGGGGATGACGTTGGTGTTGTCGACGCCGAGGAAAACTTGGTTGTTGGTGATTTTGGCGAGGCCGAGGGATTGCGCGGTGGGGAGGGAGATGTAGTCGACGAAGCCGTTGGAGGGGTCTTTTTCCTGTATGTGGTCTTAGCATAAGTGCTATGATGAGATCGAAGTGGAAACTTACGGTGTGCCAGTCGAAAGATTGGAACCAGTTTGTGCTGTCGAAGTTGTGGACTAGCTTGTATCCCAATGTGCTCGAGGTAAATGACAGAGTCAGGAGCAAGGAGGAAATAGAAGAGGAAACCATCTTGAAGCCGGATCTTTTTTTCAACTATTGTTTCGGAAACGCTAACCAAAGAGAAGATCGATTGTCTCGAGCAAATCCAACTTAGAACGCTTTGGAAGGGGTTGATCACTGCACCGATTTGAAAGATCCCAAGTGAATGATGCATAAAACATTCTTGGGATCCCACGATCTTAAATACAAAATCCTATCCTCTACTAAAAGATCGAAACTTACGAAAATATTTCAAATCTCAAGGGGTGAATGTGGCTGGGTCGCTGAGCTTACCCTTTTTTTCATCCTTTTATGAGTCTGAACCAGCATCTTACAAAACTGAATGAAAAACCTCCCTGAAAAAAGAAGACTTTGACGAGAAATGAAATGGGTTTGAATATGTTATTCGCTGCTCCGTAATATCCTTTCCTTAACGATATGCACAACTAGTACCAAACCCGTAGAATTTCGTCAAGATCTTCCCGTAAATGAGGGAAATATAAGCTTAACCAACTTAATTGAGCACCCCCGTCAGGCACCCGCTTATAAATCCCTTCTTTGCCTTCTAGAAGTCTGCGTTCTCAAGGATTAATACGGCTTATGCCTACCCTTCTCTCCAAAGCCGCCTCGAAAATCACGAAAGGACTTGCGAACGGGATAAACCCATTGGGACGGACAGATGGATAGAAGAATGGATGGATGGGTGTGTGAGATGCGGAGGATAGGTGTACGTGGAATTTCGGGAAATAGTGGCACAGTAGGGTGGTGAAGGTTTTGGGGTGCGGCACGGTTGAGAATCAGTGGGAGGGGGAGGGGTTAGGATGGACTGACTATTTTTGTGGTGGCTAAGCGGGCTTTACGTGGAATAATGGGAGGAACGTGGGAAACACGTTTTTTTATCGTGGTGGAAGGTTTTGGGTTGTGATGGGTTTGGATTTTGAGTTGGATGAGGGTGGTGGGTTGGGGTTCAGTATAAGGGCGTGGTGGGTTGAGAAACTTCCAACTGCAATTGAATTTGGCCGTGAAAATTTAGTAAATATTAATTAAGAAACATGCCCATATTTTGGGTTCAATCTGCTTTACAAAGCAGAATTACGAATTTTCCAATTTTCTGTACTCATTAAAAACCCCCCTCTTCGCTTGGCTGTCTAAAAATCTTTTTTGTTCATACCTTTCAGTTGGACTGCATGACTGCAATCTCAACCAAACAAGCTAAATATAAGATGTGAAAACGTATTAATAGCATTAAAAGTCGCAGCCAAAAGAATTTCAACCCGTCTTACTCATTCAGCATGCTACTCTGTCAAAGCCATAAGAATTGTGCCACACTGCGCATCACAGATTTCAGGGAGTTAAGCGCCGCGTCGCCTCAGCAAGTGTAAGTTTGCACACTGCGCCTGCTTTCGTGAGATGGTGGTTGAGTTTACAAGTAGGAAATTGTTCTCCGGAGGTGTAGTTTCACTCTTAGGTTTGTCAGACAAATTGTCGAATGTGACTAACAACTTGCCAACTGTTGAGTGAAATTCGTGTTTTTCGGATGAAGATGGCAATCAGGACAGGACAATTCGGTCAGAAGTGATGCAACAATGTAGAAGCGTTCAGAGCTGACAACTTCTTGATTCAAAGATAGATTGAAATTGCTGAAAGACCAAAATTTGATGCTGACGTACGTTGTGGAGTATACAGAAAAGAACTCCGATTCTTTCTGCCGCCATCTAGAACTGGCGGATCAAAAGTCGTGCTCTGGATAGTGCCGGATCTAAATGGAGAGAAAAGAATATCCAGACCCGGACTTAGACGAATGAATGCTACGACCAGAGCCGCCGAGAAGTACGATGAAAATTCGAAAGAGTTTCGACAGAAAAGAGTAAGGAAGTGTATCTTCTCAGAGATGAGGTCTGTCGAGATTGATATTCTGGATCTTATGCTTGTAGCTAAAAGCATTGTATTTCCTCACTCGTTGCCTAGGTTGTGTCGAAACAAGCTAGCAATGATGATCAGTCATCTCGCATCGCTCATCGCCTTTCACCAAAATGCCATATACACTTCGAAGTGAAAAGCCGTAGTTCACGATTTGGAAGCGGAGAAGATGCTCCAACGTCAATGCTTTGAAGTTTAATTAGAGTTTTCGCATAACAAGTGTCGCCCCTACAGTAGCGTCATGATGGGCCCCAGCGCAAAGACGCGTTCCTGAAACTCAAATATACTTTCTGCTTCTTGGATTTTGGTTTTCGCCAATAGGAATGACTCTGAGCCTCGATTTTGTTTCAGGCTCCTGTTTGGAAGAGTACGACCATACCACTCAGATTACAAATCAGACTTTACGGATATGGAGAAACTTCTTTTCCCTTAGAGTGCATGAGTTTGTCTGTGCAATTATTTCAACGCTTATCCCCTTTATGCTGAATGCCATTTGCTGGTGTCGTGGATGTGTACACAACGCTGGTCGTTGAGAGTTTTTGTTGTGTCGCAACGTCGAGAATTCAAAGCCAAGTTTATCTTCGAGGTCCAACACACTAGGTACAGCCTTTCAATTGGCAGTCAAATAAGCAGAATCCTGGAATTTAAGGTCCGGGCTCGACACTACTTGCAACTTTAACTTTGATGCCCCAGACATCGATGTGACAACTCTCAATTAGGAGTTTATTGTTTCCCGGAAATTCCGAGCACCGTTATGAGAATAACTATATCTTCAGGGCCCGCTGTGGATCAATGAGAAAAGTCAGCTTCATACAGGAAAACCGACCTTCATTATGGAATCTATGTGCAGCAGCGCGGCTTTGAAGAGTGAAGCCTCCGATCTGGAAATCGGTCAGCCTCAAGGAAGTGTGTTTCTAATCACCGCAGGCGGCTCAATCCTCAAGTTGCCCATTCCTTCAAGGTCGTCAAAAGATCCGCTGAACTGGAGCAAATGGAAGAGAACACTTGCGTTCCTAGCGATACTTGTCAACTCATTCGTCGGTCTACTGGTTGTTCAAGCACCAAGTGTTATGGTAATGTCTTTGGCGGGAGAGTTCGGACCCGATGTAAGTTCGCAGAGTCTTCAATCTTTACCACACGTTATAATTAATATTACACAGGACACAAGACCCTTTAGTCTGTCGATTCTGTTCTCAGCACCAACACTATTCATGGGCATTGCAGCTCTACTCTGGATCCCGTTGACACTCGCATGGGGAAGGAGACCTGTTTATCTACTCTCAATAGTATTGTTATTTCTTTCGACACTCGGAGCTGGTCTCTCGACGTCGTTCTCTCAACTACTCGTATCTGTTTGCATTCAAGGGTTGGCCGAGGGAATAAACACCAGTGCAGTTAGTCAACCCCATTTATATAACTAAGCGAGAAGATGTTGATGGCAGCCAGGCTTTACTCATGATTATTGACTTGACATTCATCCACGAAAGACCACAATACATAGGAGCGACCTGGAGTATTGTAGGAGCACTTACACTGGCTTCTCTAGCTGTTGTCGCGCAAGTACCAGAGATAACAACCACAAGTTGGCGTCCATTTTATCTCATATGGAGCTTCCCAGTGGCCGTCTCGTGCCTACTTACATTTTTCCTCTATCCCGAGACCTACTTTGTGCGACCAGCGGTAGCTTTCGAAGGTCGTATCTTGGTGCAAAGCTCAGAGGAACAAGTGAAAGTGTATGAGGACTGGGAAAATACGCCTGGCGGGAAGGGACTCCCGGATGTACCAACCAGCCGGATCCAAGAGTTAAAATTTTGGAGGTCGATAAGAGGTGGAGGATGGAGAGCTGTGAGGTAAGACTTCCTTTCTAAAAAAATATTTGCGCTCATTCTAATGTCATGTCCAAAACAGAGCATGTTACTCGCAAGTCTTCTTGTGTCTAGTCAATCCACTCATGTTCTGGGTTGCTCTACTTGAAGCCGTACTCTTCGGATCGATGCTCGCAATTGGCGAAACATACAGTTTAGTTCTAATGATGGAGCCATATTCAATGTCTCCAAAAAGTACACCTTTCGTCAACCTCGCCGGAGCGCTTGGCTCTTTTCTGGCTTGGCCAGCGACTGCTATGTTCATTCCCTGGATCTCCAAGCGTTTGACTGTGAGAAACAACGGAGTCAGAAATGCGGAACACTATCTTCCTGCTTTCATAATGCCAGTCATATTTGGCGCTCTGAGTATAATACTGTACGGCATCACCGTCGAGAGAAAATTGCATCACAGTCTCATCTTCATTTCCTACGCCTTCAACTCCTTCTCTTTCGCCGCTCTGGCAACAGCAAACATCCTATGGATTACAGAAGCATTTCCAAGATGGGCCGCTCCTGGAGTCGTGGTTGTTTCTGGTCTGAGTTATGCAGCGAGCTTTGGTATCAGTTTTGCGATCATGCCATGGGCCAAATCTCAAGGGTATGAGCTTATGGGGATCGAAATTGGAGTAGCGATTTTGGTGATAGGTTGTGTTGGAATACCTGTCGCATTCTGGGGTAAAGCTCTGAGACAATACATCCATGGAAGATGGACTCTGAATCAGGAGGGTGCCTTGAGGCCGCAATGATACGAAGTGGTGATCTGCAAGAGAAAGATTTCTAATACTGTCTGGTGTGAGGAGTGGATGAGTGGCTGCCTGGAGCAGCGACTAGTAATTACACAAACATGCTTCAAAAACCAAAATATTTACTATTAATTTGCCTGCGTGTATAATTCAAACATTGGCAAAATGAAACAGCTAACGAGTGACGCAGCACTCGCGAAAAGAATCATACATACAGTGTGAAAAGCAAACCACCCCAAGCAAGAAAACAGCAAAAGATCACCGCACCATCCGAAGATGGCGCCCCTGTGTCTAAACCGGTTGCCCGGTTTACTTTCTTGGGGTTATTGAATTGACTAATTAAATTTGACTTACCTGTTAGCTTGGTTTACTGTGATTTTGAGCTTAACGAGTGATCATCAACCTAACACTCTTTTTGGCGTGTAACCGAACAGGATCTTAGAGATCCTTTATGATTGGCTGTTGGGAATTTGCATTTTATGATTTATATATTGGGTGGTGGTGAATAGTGGAGCGCTGGTTGTTGTTTTGGGGCTGGACTGTGGTGGGGAATCGGATGATGAGTGTGGTTGGGGGAGTTTGTTTGGGGAGCGATAAACTTGTGGATAGAGATCATTTCTATGAATGAGAGAGGTTAAAGAAAGCTTGGTGGGAGTTAGAGGCTCATACCGGTATTTACAAAAGATATCAAGCTACCTTGGAACATCTTTCCATACACTGCTCTCTTTTTGCGAAATACGAGATACATCAATGTTTCTTCGAAAGAGAAGAAATAAGACCAAGCTTGCTTTCATTTTCTATCTTGGGTAGACGACATAGATCCGCGACTTTTCTACTTAACTTTTCATTTACAACTTACAACCACTTTTGTCTAGCTAACAGACAATCAAATGCTACCACCTAGGATATATCCTTTAGCGAATGTCAAAAGGGTGTTTGATACTAGCGATTGACTCATCGCTTGTCCCTGTATTGACATGCTTTCATTGTGTTTGTTTGCCCTGATTCAATTATGCGTCTTTGTCGGAAAGGGAGGGTGTTTGACAAGCAAGTAATGAGCTTCACTTTTCGTCAGCGACTACCATATAAGTTGTGTCCCTGGCAATATCAACTCACCACACTTGGCATATTAGCAACAAGATCAATCGACTTTTATCTACTGGCAACGCTGTTCAGCTATCAACACCGCAGTTGACAGTTCTGAATCTCGTCGGACGTCTGAACATAAACGACTTTCAGAAAAGAAAATGGTGACACCTTTACTGCCGGTACATTCCCACAACCTAATGAAAGTAAGCTTTTGATCTTCTCAAAAAATTTTTTACCATAAACTAATAAGTCTGATAATCTAGGCATTGAACACCACCTGGAGTGCTAGAAGAGTTGTACAATCTAACTGGGTGGAGATAGGTGTGAAAGATGTAATTGAGAACGTAATAGTGTGTAGGTACTCACTCTTTGGTCACGCGTTACATTGGGCTGACCGAAGACTTGCAGTACTGCGCAAGGATCCCGAAAATAACGAGATCAGAGCCCAAGCTGAGGGATGGATGCCAGAGTACGAGGAGATCCGCCATGCGAGCAAGAATATGACCGAGCGAGATAAGAAGACCCGAATGGAGTACTTACTGAGAAAGATTGAGGGTATGTTGCGTATATATGCTGAGACGAGGGGGCATGCTGAGGAGATTCCTGCTTAGTATTTGTTGGCTAGATTGGATTGGATTCAGACAAGTTGAAGAAGGATGAGCTGGACGGTGCTTTGACAACATCGTCTCGAACGAAAAAGCTAGGATTTACACTACAGCATGCAACTGAGTATTTGAATATTGAGTGATCGGGGTAAACAAGTATTCTCAATGTAACAGGAAGATATGAACGTAAACATGGGGCCTAAGGCGCGTGCTTTTTCCTATTTCAACTTTTTCAAGAATTAGTTTAGAGTCGGATCTTGAAAAATATACTTCAATCAATACTACTCAGATTGAAGGTATCACCATTCAAAACTTCATTTGAAAAGTTTTACATGAGTGTAGGAGTGTATGAGCCTTAGACTTCATAATCAATACTATCTGAATAGTACCACAAATATGTTTAATCGTGGAAGCCTCTTCATACCATGCTCATCCTGCCACAACAGAATTCAAAGAATATCGTTCCCATTCTGCCGTAATTTCAAGATACTAATTCCTATTGAACCTAGACTTGACAGGGGGAATCACAGGAACAACTGGATCGGTGATTTTGAAGTCAACACAAGACTCGTATGTCTGTCTGGCCTTAGTTCCATACCACCACCACTGCAGAGTCTACTCGAATGTTAGCCATATATTCGCAATCAGACCATATCGCATGGCAAGAAACTTACGCAAGCTCCAGCAACGTTGCAAGCACCGCCCAAATCCGGAATCTTAACATCAAATTTCGTCTGATTGGCCGGCGTATTCTTCACAGCCTCATCCGCATATCCAGTCGGCCAATAAACCAATTTCTCTCCTCCCTTGACATATTTGTTCGTCTTGGTATCGATGATACTAACATTCGCACTACCGGCGTGCTTGATCCTAAGATACACTTCTACTGGGACGACTTGTCCGGTGGTCCAATTCTGCACATTCTTGAGGTTATCGGCGTACTGGAGACCACGGCAGAGCCAGAGATTGCACAGAGCGGCACCTTGGTAAAGTTTGTCTTTTGCTGCTGCTTCAGGGAGATCTTCGACGTGAGATGTGTTGTCGCCTTTGATGTTGTTTGTTACGGTCGGTCCGCAGAAGGAGAGGGATGCGGAACCTGGGGCGCGAGGAATTGGTTTGGTGATTATGCCATGGGAAAGAGCCGTTGTGCTCAAGGCCAAGACGGCGAGTGCTGAGATATACATTTTGATTTCTTGGGATATTTTGAGTCGTGAAAGCTTACGAGGTAGAGGAATCTGACGTAGGAGACGATCAATACTTATGCTTCTCGCCAGGTTGCGCTATCTTCAAGTTTATTTGAAGCTTAATTGATTTGTACCTCCACATCTCAGGCTATCTGGGGCAAGGTCGTAGCCGGTACCTGTCGGCGAGGGGAAACTACTAAATCCGATGTCAGTTGATGAATTCAATTTAAAATAAACGGAAGAAGATTGCCGAAACGTTATCTTGAATATCATTACCGGAGACGTACAAATTAGAGATATCTTAGCATCGGCTGTCAGTAAGTTGGAACCGGCCTGTCAAGTTTGATACAGAGATAGCCAGGATACCAACATCCCAATTGGGGTCTTGTATAAAGTATGATGGTACCTACCTGGTATCAAAAGAAATGGAGATTTATGAGCATGGTGAAAAGTAATGAAGGATGAAAAAGGACCAAGTCTACAAGGTACAAAGGGGATAAACAGGAATAATGACAAATTATGGTGATTTTATCCAAATTGAGCACTTGCCTCGGATCTTAGCTATTGGCCTAGCAATTGAGCCGCTACACTAAGACCCATCAACTCGAGATCTGCCGCATGTAACACGGAAGAAGAAACATACCAAGCAAACTTTGCTGGCTTGATTTTCTGTCGGTCGACAAATGTCGTACAAGGTACCGGTCCCGTGGTTTGGTTATGCCACCAAAACCACTCTTCAGCTTGTCGATCTGTTGAAACAAAACCAGCTACTTAACAATTGCAGTCAAAAAGGAGGGAAGAAGGTCAGGGAAATTCGAGGAAAACAGAAAATGGAAGATAGTACAGAGCCATATTGGATCTTGAGAGGTAGAAGGTAAATAAACCTCCTGTAGGCCGAGGTCCCAACCATTCTGGATGTTCTTGTTTCCGCACGAGATGATGAGTGTTGGGTCTTCTCCTATGCTGCACTTCTGATGGTGAAAGCGTAAGTATAGTGCTCGTGCATTAACTGAAAGCCATTGAGTAAATGAACCAACCAGTTGAGAGGATAGCTAGACGGAATTTCCTTCGCGAAAAAGCCTAGCTGGTGGATTCTAAAAAAAAGAGGCTACATATATTCAGGTGAATGTGTACAAATAGCGTTTGGTTCCGTCTGGGTGTTGCAATCCATGGAGAACTAGACATCCTGACTGCGTTAGAGCTCACAGCTGGAAAGGTTTCGTTGGTGTTGAGCCCAATCCAGCTTCTCTTTTTGCTGTGACCAAACGCGTCCTTTGATGCAAAAGCTGACAGTCAGAACAAGTGGATGAAGCTTGCGGTTATAGTAGTACTGAACGGTAGCACTAGTTGCGTGCGGGTCTTGCCATCTGGAATGTCTCGAGTAAAAGTCCTCGAAAATTCCTAGCCGTGAGCCAGGTCTTGGGTTGGTGAGCAGAAGGACAGCTTTGGCAAATATAATCGGCGAGGCTCGGAGCCATGCCGATTATCGGACCGGTGAGCCTTACACTTCCGACGACCATCTGATATCACGAATGTCGCGTCCTTACGCTCTCCCTCAATCTTGCACATTCATCGGACCCCACAATGTGACGTGGACACTCGCAGACGCTGTCGACAGCATACTCCAATATATCCTCCGATCCAGCAAGCATGCCTTTTGGATACCTATATGGGCAGCCATGAGGAACTACACGGCCAGTTCCAATGCCATCTGTATCGACTTTGTCCTCTACTCGCATTGGACTCCATAACCGTAACGAGCAGACGCACATGGAGATTGACGTGAGTCTTTCTAACCGAACAAGTCGTTGAAACTTGAAAGCCATCCCGCCAGACCCATAGGCGCCCATCTCACGGTTCCTGGGTGTGGAAAGGCAGCCACAGCAGACGGCATCGTAAGACGACTCAAGATCAACTTTGACGGCTTCCATAAGCCACGATCGACGCATGCAGCGCCACCGAACAGCAGAGGCACATATGCTAGACATCGTGGGGGTTAGACTATCGAACAAGCGGTTGTATCGAAACTTTCGAAGACAACTTCAGGACCTCGGCGTGAGTGGGTAGACCTTAGGCTTGCGCCAAATTCGAATAGACTTTCGAACGGACCAGGGCATTAGCCTCGGATCTCACGCCTGGTTGTCATTCTCGCAGGGAACTCTCGTTTGTTGAATCAGAACCTTGGTTCCAGATATCCTTTCTGGTGGACGATATATTCTTCGTGGGCGTTGATCTAGCCAGTGCGAGAAGCGGGAAAATGTGACCCAGCCCAGAGTCTGAATTGAGACCGCACGACTTGTCGTGGTGAAGAGAGCGCAGTGGAATGATGCGTCGAGCGGAACGATGAACAGAGTACATTTGGTCAAGCTCATACTGCTGCTCCAAAGCTTGCGTAATGATGAAGGATGATGAGACGGATGATAGTACGCAATTCTTGCTCCAAGAAATCAGGATGCAATTTGTTTTCTCTTACACAACCATTCAGGAGCGATCAAAACCGAGGACCTTCCAAAACCAGTTTCATCTAGACACAACAATGCCCAAAATACCGGTGGATTTCATCTTTTTCTCGATCGCACATATGCGAGCCAATCTTGTAGCCGCATTACATTTGTCGTAATCTGCACAAAAACGAAAAAGCAAATGGGATCTCCTTGTTTTACTCGTACTTGTACGACCCGAGCTTCACCGATGCCCAGAGTCAATTTATCAGCCGGCTCTAATTCAACTTTGAAGAGTTTCTTCAAATTGGATTTCCTTGCCAATCACCTAGTGGGATTCTCTGCTCTCAAGCTTCATAAGCTGTTTCTGGTGTTAGCGATCTCGCACGTGCCTTCGTTGCGGGCAATTACTAATGTAATTGTCTAACCCAAGAATGAGTCTTCCCTTAATTTTTAATTTTCTGTCAGTCCATGACTACCTTACAAGCCTTTTATTCTTTCTATTTTTGAAACAAGCAATTTCAATTGGTGCGCTTGCGAAGGATTTCTAGCCGGTAGACTGCGCTCCCGGGTCAATTTCAAACGTCTTGAGGCTCCTGAGAAGCAGGCTAAATGCGAATACACAGCAAAAGAACGCTCATGACGTCTCATCGTGGAATCTTCTGATCGCATTCAATTCTCTTCTGCCTGATTGCTAGAATATACTTTGCTATTTGGTACGAAAACTTAGTAATGGTAACCCGAGGATTTCTCAGGCTCGTCTGTCTATTGTTTGCACCGATCGTTCTTTCTTGGGATGTTTACATGATATCTTCATAATTGAAAATTAGCGCTGTCGGTGTGTTACTCGCCATTCTCATCCCTGCTTGTATATTCTCCTTGTGGCGTCGGATGGGAGGCGAAATCTGGGGGAAATCTGGGGGCATATTACCCACTGCCATAACCCGCATTAACACCAACGGTTTAGGCGCATTATCCCGAATTTTTGGTCACGGTACCCTCGAATACTGAGATTATTGATCCTGTGAAGATCTCAATGAGAATGGCCCGAAGACTCCGCAGCTCGTATCGTAAAGAGTTCTGCTCCCGCCTTGAATGTGTGGGAATCTCTTGGAAATTAGAAGGGAGAACTTCCTGGCCAATTGCTTCTTGACAGCTCGATCTGCAGATCTGCTTCACGAATATCTACGATCTTTCACTGGCCATAGCCAAGGAGTATATTCATCTATTTCCAATTTAAAATTGCCTTCCTCAATCTACAGGCTAAATTTTCATCATGTTTCTATTCAACATGTGGAGTATAGATTTTCCAGCCTAATGGCAGTGATGGATGGTTAGACATTCATAAGAACTCTGCTGCCGCTCCGTAAGTTTCACCGAGCCCATCTCGAGATACTCCATATCAGCTTATTCTTTTTACAAGTTCTAAATCCATATCTGGTGCGTAGTCGTACCCCCTGGTACCAATCCGTTTCTTTGGCTGATAGTAAATATAGTCAAAATGCTTTACTCAGTTCTGCTTATTCTGCCAGCGTTGGTTGCTGCGGCCCCAGGTGTCAAGCTTGAGACAATCAGAGATATCGATTGGGAACTCGAGCTTCTCGGCACACGAACTCCCTTAGAAAGACGAGCAAGATCAGAGAAATCCATTGATGCCATCTTCAAGTCTCTGGGCAAGCAGTACTTTGGTACAGCAGCCGATCGTAACTTGTTGAACAACGCCCAAAATTCGGAAATTATCAAAGCTGATTTCGGGCAAATCACGCCGGAAAACTCGTAAGCCATTAGATCTTCATCTGTGTTAAGACCTTTGCTGATAGCTTCGCCTCTAGTGGCAAATGGCAAACTATTGAAGCAACGCAAAACAACTTCAACTTCAACGACCTTGACTTCCTGGTCAACTGGGCTCAGACAAATGGAAAGCTTGTCCGTGGACATACAACCGTTTGGCATTCGCAACTCCCAAACTGGGTTGACCAAATCAATAACAAAGCCACCCTCACTTCAGTTATCCAAAACCATGTGACCAAGGAAATCGGCAGATATGCTGGAAAGATTCTTCAATGGGTATGCATCCACTGTAATATATAATATCGTCAAAACTAATCAATCTCGCAGGACGTTGTTAACGAGATGTTTGACGAATCAGGAGGTCTCCGAAGCTCAGTCTTCTCCCGTCTGCTCGGTGAAGACTTTGTTCGTATTGCTTTTGAAGCAGCCCGCAAGGCTGATCCAGCAGCCAAGCTCTACATCAACGACTACAAGTAAGTCTCATATCTCACATTCATCCCAGACACCGGTCCTAACAACCATACTAGCACCGTCGAGAAAGGCGCATCCTACAAGAAAACCACCGGAATGGCAACCTACGTCAAGAAATGGATCGCAGCCGGCATCCCCATCGACGGCATCGGCGCGCAAGCCCACCTCGTCGCCGGCGAAGCCGGCAACGTCGCGCCATCCCTCAGACTTCTCTGCGCCGCCGCCCCAGAGTGCGCCCTCACCGAAGTCGACATCGTCCAGGCCTCTGCCAACGACTACGTCAACACCATCAAAGCCTGCGTCGACATCGCCAACTGCGTCGGCGTTACCGTCTGGGGCGTCCGCGACCCGGACTCCTGGAGAGCCGCCAGCAACCCGTTGTTGTTCAATAGTGGATATTCTACTAAACCCGCGTATGGCGCGCTTGTCCAGACGCTGGGTGCGATGACTGCGACGTATAAACCTACTACGACGACTGTTCAGTCGACTGCCATTGTGCCGACGAGTACTTATGTGGCTCCGACTACTGTGATTCAGGTTCCTAGTTCGGCTACGAGTGTGGCTTCTACTTCTGTGCCGATTATTGCTTGCAAGAGTTAGGTTATCTGCAATGAATTTTGCCAAGGATATTGAGGGGTAGGGGTGGAGATGTGTAGATATTTTGGGGTGTTGATTACTTGTTGTACATATGCAAAAAAAGATGTTATTTATCGTTGTTGATCTATCCTATGCCTTACAAATTTAAAGTCTTAGCAAAAGACCTCTTCACCAAAGAGACATGAAAGTTTCATGCAATGCACTCATTTTGTTGGAAAGCGATGACTAGCTGAAGTGAATGAAACAATATATGTCTTTGAAGAATTTGTGCTTGAGAAGCCATACTTAAGAAATTAAAAGACTTCAAAGAAGTAGGAATGAGGCCGTAAGAAATCTCTCTACCGACTTACATGTACAACATACTCAAACCATCAAACGCAGCCGTCTCACCAGGAATCCAGCCTGCCAGACTCACCTATACATCTTGACTTACCTGTCACCCCGACCTACCTCAATCATCCGCCCCCTCAAACATCAGACTACCCTCCTCATCCCCATCCCCCCCAGACTCCTCACCCGCTCCTCCTCCCTCTGCTTCACAATACCAGCATAAAACCCCGCAATATCCGGCATTCGTAACTCATTCAGAACCTGTCCAATCGCCACTTCCCTCTCCATAATCCTCTCCCCCAACAACCCACCCAACTCCTCACTCGCAACCGTATCCGCAAACTCCACCACCCCAACACAGAAACGTGCCCAGTTGGCTACCACATCCGGATCTACACTGCCCTCATGCTGCTGAAACTCGATTGTTCTTTTCGTCGGCGCGGAAAGACTGGTGGAGCGGTAGAGATTCGCGATGCTATAAGCGCCGCGCGCGAATTCGTCGTGGGCGGGCGCGATGGCGTCGTGGAGGTCGATGATGTCGGTTGTTTTCAGGATATGACTTAACGACGGCTGCAGAAAGAATTTGCGGTCCGGGTATAACTTCCTGAGCGTTGAATCACGGCGGAGGTTCGGACAGTACAGTGGGTTCTTCTGGCGGGAGCGAGGGTGGATGGATTCGATTTGCGATTCGTATGTGAAGAGGGTGGCGAGCAGGTTCCGTGTTGTTTCGAAGGGGATACCTGAGGATTTCTTGCCGACGTGGATGTGCAGGCCACAGGAGGGGTTTACGTTTATTCGGAAAGAGGAGGACATGGTTTTGCAGAGGGTTTTTACGGCTGTGAGGGCGGAGTGGCTGTAAAAGAAGACGGGCGAGATGAGTTCGATTTGGTGGTAGTGGTAGTAAGCGCTTGATGGGTCGACGGCGGTGTAGATCTGTGGTGCTTGGATGCTGGCGTCGTGGGTTACTATCCAGGCGGATATGTTTTGAGGTTTCCAGTTTGGTGCGAAGCGGGCGTGGGGTTGGGCTTCGGCGGGGATGCCAGCGGCAGTGAGGGTTTGGGCGATGTGTTGGAGGACTTCAAAGCCATCGTTCGCGCCGAAGTCGTCTTTTCTTACGGTACCTAATACTCCACGGACGGATCGTGGGTCGTTGGGTGATGGGTCGGCGTGGGCGGGATGTAAACCAGCGATGGCCATTTCTAGTTCTACGCCAAATGTGTATCGATCTTTGGTTTCGAGAGTTGGCTCAACCACATCAAGTGGCGTATTGCCTGTGTCTATGATAGACAGTTGAGTTTGGGTGGTATAAGCCATGTTGGTTTCCTGATTGAATTTAGTTACTATTCTAATCGATTCAGGGGTAATGCCTTGAGACAAACCTTTTAATGAGGACGAAAACAAAGGCATTGATGGATAAAAGCCAAAGCTATCAACAAAGCGGTGTTTCCATTCTTTAGTGGCTGATTGAGGGTAATTTATTGTCTAAGTCCCAATTGACAAAGCTTGACAAAAGACCGTCGTGAAAAGCTTTCGAAAACTCAAAGACATTTGGGGTAACAAAGATCTATTGTAAAATGATCCCGACATACCTTGAGACTTCGAGGAATGGTTCTGGAGAGGAATTGTGGTAAAGATACACTAATGAAATAAAGTAACACGGCGATGAACCTATACAAATAGATTAACAAGACTTACCTACAATATTGTGAAAGACTAGTATACATTTCAAACTCACTCTTTGACAGTGATTTACATGTAGAAGGCTACCTTAGTATGATTCTTTGGCTCCTATGCCGAGATCTTCTCCACGGGAGGATGATATGGGATCACAATCCTCGCCATTTGTCCCTCTTCAACAAAGAAGTGGGAATACATCAACATACGTTCAGCATCAAAATCGCGGTCTCCAAACTCTGAAATCTGACTTTCGGAACGATATTTCAAATTACCAAGCATTCACGAACTTGGCCAGACATTTTGAGAACCATCATCGATTTCGGTCTTCGCGAAACTGACGTAAGCTTTCGGCTCTTCTGTAATCAATGTGGCGAGCAATGCGATGACCTGCTCATTGTTGAATCTCCGCTTTGCGACGTACAAGCTTCAAATGTCGTGGTCTTCGTAGATGTCACTACCAAATATATTAGACTTTACTAGAGTGTCTTGGTAGAGCTCTTTTGATTATCTTTGTTGACGTCCTCTTTAGGATTTAGGTTAGATAAACGTCGTTGTATTTCTCTCATATGCAACAAAAAATAGAAGAGACAATTTTGGACGATCCATTTTGATTTCCCGAAAAGAACTGGAATTTTGGAGAGGCAAAAGGAAGTATTGAAATTTAATTTTCCGAACTTGACTGCTCTCCATTTTGGTGCCAGCGGTTCTTCCATCTCGGATTCGAGGTTCGGAGGTCAGAAGTGTTTTTCGTTGTGGAGTATTCCCCGAGCAACTACCCATATTCGAGTTCGCGGAACAGTTGCTGGGTATTTTAATGTCCAATTGACGTGGTGTTATCTAGGAACAATCGTTGCCATGGGACTGTTGGCAGAGCACTTCGGTTGGGCACATATGGAGATGCAACAATGTGACGGTCTCCGAGTCTTCTGTCTCCGCGGTTGAGCTTGTTCACAATGTTACGAGCTTCCGATAACATTCATGGCATCTTCTTTGACATCCCTAAATTTCAGTATTCTTTGGGACTCAACAATTTTCCTGTCTGGTTAAGTGATCCAGAAAAACGCTGTCTATGCGTGCTTTTTGGCTGTCTTGGTTGTCACGAGCTCTGCGGACCTAGCAGATTGTCTGTGGAGAGTTAGATAAGATATAAAACAAAAGATGATTGACTTGTAACCAGGAAAGCTTACCGGGCCCTAACGCACAATGAAAAGTAGTGGGAGCTGACGAAGATATCTCGGACGAGGTTGAAATTGTCAATGTTTTGAAGCAGAAGAAAGGAGCTATTTCAACTTGTGCCAATCCCGAGGCTAGCAAACGCATTGGTTTATGCTGTCTTGAGTCGCGTTAGTGCCTCATTGGATGCTAAATTTCTCGCAGCTTATCTCCTTATCAACGTAATATCACGTCGGTCAGCCATGTTCATATGGTTCTAATGACAGTTGGGCCTTTGAAGAGGTTGAAAATAGAACGGCGTGTGCTCATACTATGTTACCCTATCGCTGGTCAGATTACGAAACAACCTTACCTGATGTTCCGGCAAACTGAGGTTAAAGACTCGCAACTATCTTTGAATTGGCGCTCACCTACGTGTAGAGTCTCATTGGACAGCAATTGTTTGCGACGAGTCCGAGGGTATGGTCTTCATTTAAGATGGTCGATACCCATCGTATGTTGCGGTACGATCGAGGTTTTTGCTCAAAACACCGCAATATGACTTGAATTTGAGGTTTGCCAACCTGTATATGATTGCGGAGTGTCTCTGACCCAACCAATCCATGATGCGAGACTGGATACCGAAAGCGCGATGTACTTGGACCTTCTAGGTTGATTTGTCTCTTGTCGTGAGGATGTCAAGTCTGGCGAGTCTTGATTCTTGAATTACTCGCACCGCGCACGCCACGTGACCGTGTGATTATCGGGATCACAGGAAAATCCCACTTGCCAGTTTTCATCCGATGCAAGCAGTTATCGGTCTTTTTCTGAGCTTTCAACATGGAGAGGGTTTTAGAAGGTCACACAAAGGTCATAGCAATAGACCATCTATGATATCCGTACCTTCCGTACTAAATAGTTCTATCTTGACATGACTCGATCCTCAGAAACAAACGTTGCACGTGATGCGTTTCTTGCCCTCGCCTCGGCTTTTGATGGAAATCGGCAAAGAACTGCAAAGGAAGGGCCGATCCACAACACCAAGCCAGGGCTCAAGATGCGACAGTTCTCTTGCCAACACCACCACTTTTGAGTTCACCCCCGAGAGCCAGGCCTGGCGAGTATACCGCGTGACAACTAATGTCGGAATCACCCATAAAGATCCATGGATTTGTTGGGGAAGTCTCGCCGGCGCGCATTTCCCCGCCATACGCCGGCCAACGGCTGCAGTGCAACGGAGGTAAATCTTCCCACAAACGACGGCTTCAAAGCCAAGCTTGTGTCTGATGCATTTTCTATTGGTTATCTTTGACCTCCATGAATTGCAACTTCCTCGAGATGCATCCCCCGCATTACCAGCGGTAGAGTGGGCTAGACTAGTCGCCTTCTAGTGTTGTCGAGCTAGTCTGGTCATGGAAGAAGAAGATTAAAAGATCAGCGGGTCTGTCGGTCTGCTTCTGCTTAATTTCGAACCCGACAGAAACGTCAACTGTCAGCTATCGTTCGACACCCGCCGTCAACCGCAACTCTGGTCTGTCGCGCATGAAAAAACAACATCATGGCTTCAGCAAAACATCCTGATGATATTGTCACCAACGAAGCGGCGTTGCACTTTCCGGCCGAGGATCAACTCGATCACTCCAAGTCCCTGAACGAGATCATCCGCAACGCCAAAAATGCGTCCGAGGTTGAGCATCAGATGTCGCTTTGGCAGGGTATCAAACTGTATCCTAAAGCGGTGGGTTGGAGTATACTCATCTCGACGTGCATCGCCATGGAAGGGTATGATATTTCGCTGCTCAGCAATTTTTGTAAGTTTTGTGGGGCACAACCACGCTTGAGATGAGTTGCTGATCGCTATTCCCAGACGCCTTTCCGCAATTCAATCGAAAATACGGAGAATTAACCTCGAAAGGCACTTATGAGGTTCCTGCTCCATGGCAAGCTGGTCTCAGTAATGTGTGTTTACCCCCTTTGACCTCTATTGCCACTGCTCACGTGAGTTAGGGTATGAATTGTGGAGAGATTATCGGTCTTTTTATCAATGGTTTCGTTTCTGAGCGCTTCGGATATCGATATACGGTCATGACTTGTTTGACTTTGATTATCGCATTTACGGCCATTTTCTTCACGGCGCAGAATGTGGAAACGCTTCTGGTTGCTGAGATTCTTTGCGGTATTCCATGGGGGATCTTCCAGACTTTGACTATCACTTATGCCTCGGAAGTCTGTCCTGTTGCTCTTCGTGGGTATCTCACGACATACGTTAATTTTTGTTGGGGTCTTGGTCAGATCATTGGTGTTGGAGTGATCAAGAGTATGTTGGGCAGGACGGACGAGTGGGCGTATCGGTGAGTGCCATTGATAACTTGGAACCTACTCTCAGAGACGTCGCTAATGTTGAGAAGCATCCCCTACGCCCTTCAATGGATGTGGCCAGTCCCTCTTCTAATTGGAGTAGCTCTTGCACCAGAGTCACCCTGGTGGCTGGTTCGGAAAGGTAGAATTGAAGAAGCCAAGAAATCACTCCTTCGCTTGACCAGTCTGGACAGGGAAACCAACTTTAACGCTGACGATACCATCTCAATGATGGTCCATACGACGAAGCTGGAAGAGAAAATCACAGCTGGAGCAAGTTACCTCGATTGTTTCAAGGGTACCGATTTACGCCGAACCGAGATCGTTTGCATGGTATGGGCGATGCAGAATCTCTCCGGAAACTCATTCTCGGGATATTCAACTTACTTTCTGAAGCAAGCCGGTCTTTCCAGCTCTCGTGCCTACGATTTTGCTTTAGGTCAATATGGAATTAACATGGGTGGTGTTTTCGGAGCTTGGTTTTTAATGACGCTTGGGATCGGGCGTCGCTCTCTCTACCTCTATGGGCTCATGGGTCTCTGCATCATGCTCTTTATCCTAGGCTTCCTTGGCCTGGTTCCAGAATCTCATCGCGATGCAGGATCTCTAGCTACTGGCGCCATCATGTTGGTGTGGGCCTGCTGCTATCAACTCTCCGTCGGAACAGTCTGCTACTCCCTGGTCTCCGAACTCTCAACCCGTCGTCTCCAAATCAAAACAGTTGTTCTCGGTCGCAATCTCTACAACATCGTCGGAATCGTCTGCTCCGTTCTCACCCCTTACATGCTCAACCCAGAAGCTTGGGACTGGGCCAACTATGCCGGGTTCTTCTGGGGCGGAAGTTGTTTCCTTTGCGTCATCTATACCTACTTCCGTCTTCCTGAGCCTGCCGGACGTACGTTTGCAGAGTTGGATCTTCTGTTTGAACGTGGTGTCAGTGCGAGAAAGTTTGCCACTACGAAAGTTGATGTCTTTGAAGATAGTGTGGCTGGAAGTGTGATGGAGGATCATGCGGCGGAGAAGAGGGCTGAGAATAAGTGAGAGGTGACTGAGGGTGTAAGGTTTTGGCTTGTGAGAATGATGTGGACTGAGAAGTGCACAGAGTGTGGAAGAGAGTCGTGAGGCGACGGAAGATCGCATGAGCGGAGGCTTCAGGAGCAGAGGAAAAGCAGGAGCGGGTCACGTGGAGTCGAGATTGATGTGGAGTTGGGTTTTTTGATCGGGATTGGGGAGACATGATATCATACTGTATATATTTAATTAGCGACCACTTGAAATAGCTTAATGTCAGACTAAAGATACCCAAGGACCCGACTCACGTCGCTCCTCTCGCAGGCAAGGCACACGTGACGACACTAATTTAGAGCTCATCCTCATCTGGAATTTCCGACGAGATTCCTTTCTTACTTCAAAAAACTCTTCTATAAGTTATATTCGAACGTCTTATATATAGCTATAAAGATCTCGACTAGCTGTAATGCGAGCCTCAAAATCACGATATAGTATAGTAAAGATGATCCGTGATGCTTATTGGTGGGCAGGTTACCCGCAGATGAGGCTTCGACATCTCGCACCAGCCTGATCAACATCGAAGCTTGAGAGCTGTCATACCACAGACTGAACTACTCTTACATATCAGTCTAGATCCAACACCTTGCTCAGGTCATATCGACACAGCAGCTTCTTACGACTTCGGACTTCCTACCTTACTGGCGCCGTGTCACTTGCGCAGAACAATGCGATTGCTGCACACTACGACACTCGAGCTGAAAGAATTCTTCGTCACTGGCGATGACCGTACATATGGCTTCTATGAAGATGGGAGCATCAACGTTGGCGGCCCCGAAGAGAAAAATATCGAAAGGTGCCCAAAATATGCGATCCTCTCCCATACCTGGGGTTCCGACGAAGTGCTATTTCAGGATATCACGGGTGAACGCTCCAAATTCGAAAACAAAGCTGGTTTTTCCAAAATCAAATATAGCTGTCAAACAGCTGCACTAGATGGCTACGATTATATCTGGATCGATACGTGCTGCATTGACAAGTCCAGTTCAGCTGAATTATCGGAAGCCATCAATTCTATGTATGAATGGTATCGGAGCTCTGATGTATGCTATGCGTATATGTCAGATGTCTACACTACATCGGACCGGTCCGAAGAGCAAGATAATTTCGCTTCCAGCTTTTCGGCCTCCAGGTGGTTCACTCGCGGTTGGACATTGCAAGAACTTATTGCTCCAAAGACAGTCCACTTTTACAACAGCGAATGGATCTTCCTTGGCACCAAAGAAAACTTGACAGACCTCATTTCGACAACGACAAATATTGATGCATGCGCACTAGATGGTGTCCAGGACATGAGTGGGTTCTCAGTCGCTCGACGGATGGTTTGGGCGTCTAGAAGAAGAACAACTCGGCTTGAGGATATAGCATACTGTCTGCTCGGTATCTTTGGTATCAACATGCCGTTGCTGTATGGCGAAAAAGGGAATGCTTTCATACGTCTCCAGCATGAAATTATGAAAATCACGAACGATCAATCGCTATTTGCATGGGGTTTAACTGCTGCTGACATGGGTGTTTCATCACCTCTGCTCTTCGGCGAGGGCCCGCTGGCTACGTCGCCTGCCTCTTTTCGTTTTTCGTCCGTTATAGCACAGTTTTGCTCTTTCAAACCGAGTCTTCCATTAGCATTACCTGCGGAGGGGGGTGTCTGTGTGAAGGTTTTGCTTAGGGAGGGGAATTTGATGGAGGATCATAAAACTTCTGCTGTCGCCATTCTGCAGTGTGATATTGGGAATGTGCCAGGTGTTCTTACAGGTATAAAACTTTCACGCTGTCGAGACAAGGAATCTGTAGAAATTCCCGAGTTTGTTCGTTCAAGTGACGCTAAAGTCTTGATGTTTTCGAGGTGCACTTCGAATAATGAGTTTTCAACAGAAGGATTCGACCCGAATGAAGCACAAACGCACCTAACACATATCGATCAAGAGCACAGTAAGTAATCCAGAACATTGATAAATCCAACTTGCTGATACCGGCATTGCTAGAATCCACGTATGAGAACTGGAAACCCACAACAATAATCATCAAATCTTGCGAAGGAGGCAGCTTGCCGTTGTGGCCGAGATTCCGTTTCGCTTGCCCAATTCTCATCCCAGATACATGGCTTGAGATCATTGACGTCTATCCCCCTAGGTTTTGGGATTCTCACAACGGAGCTCTTTGCCCTTACACCTATGGCTATGTTGACTGCTCAGATCCAGTTCTTGTTTGGCTTCATTTTCAGGGGCATTACTGCACCCTTGTGCTTAGCCTTTGGCACCTTTACGGCGACTCTCACCCTGATACTGTATGTACTATGAGTTGGTTTAAGGATATCAAGGGCGTCAAACGTCAAATGACTGAGATACAAAAGTCATTTAGTGTTGCTGGTAAACCTCACCGGGAGCGGAGATATGAAAGACAGAAGGCGTTCAGTGATTTCTTGGGCACGAAATGGGGTGCTGATGATATTGGATGTGAATTGTTGGAAATACAGAAAGACTTTTCAGGGACGCAGGTTATAAGGCTTTTCCTCAGGGACCATGAGGCGGATATGCAGTTAGATGATGAAGATACGATGCAGGCAGAATGGTTATCTTCCAGAGGATATGTCTCAGCAGATGAAATGTAAGCAAGGCATCAGCAAGCTTGGAAATTACGTGAAGAAAGTGCGGTTTCCTTTACAGCTCATCGACACCACCAATCTCAGCAACAAGCCCAACCAAAGAACAAATATACCCTACAAACAAAATTTGCACCATCATCCAATCAACTATCCGCTTCGACTTCCTACGCACTGTCACCACTTGTACTAATGCAGTCCCCTACCACCACTACCGACATTTTCCCCCTATCTAGAAATAACTCCTCGTCGGCAGCGATTTTGGCCGCGTTCTCGCTCGCCGTCACACTCCCATAAAACGCCCCAAACGCAGCCTCATCCACGAACGTCAGCTCTGCGAACGCGTCGTATGGAAAATCGGCCTGGCTGCCTACGAGCACGGTAGCGGGGTATCCGGGCTCGGTGTCGGAGCGCTGTAGGTAGGTGCGCGTGTGCGAGATGGGAAAGAGAGGCCCGGCGAGGGTCTTGATGAGAGGGACGTGGGTTTTCTCGTAGTGCGTTTTGAATTCTGTGGGCGTGGTGCCTGGTTTGCGGGTTGCAAGATGAGGATTTTGTAGGTCATGGTGGGGGGGTGGGAGGTGTGGGAAGTGTGGATGGTTGGTTGGCGTTGCTGGAGTGAGGTGAGTGTGAGGTGAGCGTGCGGTGGTTGGGACTGGTTTTCAATTTCAAATGTTTAAAAGCTAGAAGATTTGCGAGTCGGTCGATTGCCTCTTGTTTTAAGGAAACTGTACTCCTACGATTCTTGAGCGCGGGTTTTTATACATGTTCGTAGCACCTGCCTAAACGACCATGCATGCATTATATGCAGTTGGTCGAAGATTTGCAACTGATTTTATATGCAGTTGGTTGAATGTTGGCAACTGATTTATATGCAGTTGGTTGGATATTGACAACCAATTTTAGCAAAGCAGCACGAAAGGCATGTAAGACCTACAAGACTAACGTTACAGTACTCTCCCCCCCGGAATAGAGGACATTCAGTGGGATTGCGCAGGCGCGCCTATCAACTAGTCCGTTGGGCTCGATATGTGGATTTTAAGACAAATTTTTATCTTCACCACCTAAGTCTCCCTCGAACCGACAAGTTTTACTCGTCCTACAAGTTCTATACTACCTACCAAATAACCTCTATTTAGGGGGGGGAGTACATGTAAGCGCTACAGCGTCGTAGTGGATCTGATACTCGGTGAGCACTGAGCACTCGTTGATGTACGATAAGCGAGTGCGATGAGGCGGTGTTTTGGACCAAAAATTCGAAACGATTCTTTGATATTCCGATGTCCCAGAGGATTCTATAATCGATGTCGTCTTCGGAATATACTATACTTAGGGTAGAGTTTATATATCGGGTTCTGTAATACTCTAGCTTATTGGTCTATTATAGAACATTAGAATTAAGTTATATATATAAAGCTCTCGCCCTTCTGCGTTGTGATATTAGGACTGTTCTAGGTGCACTTGCCGAATTCTTCGGTTCCGGTAATAGAGGAGTTTGGATGTTTGCGAAATATATTTTAAAGAATAAGACATCGATGGATTGAATCCCTTAATTATTGAGGGGTTTAATTCTAACGAAGCGTAAATACATCTTACAATATTAATCGCGAGTACAGTAAGACTTCAAAACATTGATGTATCTACCTTGCTAATCTTAGTATTTCTAGACTCTATCTATAAAAACTGGAAACCCAAATCAATAATCACTAGACCCCTGGAACCATCCAGTATGCCGATTCAGAAGTTATTCAGCGTTTCTAGGGAACCCCCCTGTCCCTGGGAGCGGGTGAGGGAGAGAGAGAAAGAAAGCGTTGAGTGATCTTTTGGCAACGAAACTTACTGCTAATGATATTGTATGTAAATTGATGGAATATTAGGGAGATTCGTCGTGGACATAAAATATATAGATATTTCTCAAGGACAATGAGGCGAAGATGGAGTGGAAGTTGCTATCTTCGGAAAGATCGAATGTTTCAGAGGAATGAGATGTACGCAGGACAGCAACCTTGGAACTTACGTCAAGCAAGCGGGGCAACTCATTCGCACCACCACTGTCATTGACAATCCGCTTCAAGAACCAAAGACATACTACGACTGAAAGTCACGACATCGAGCGATATGGTTATTCCTTTGAAATCCCTCAATCACACAACCGCACCATCAGAAATGCGCTCCCCGCTACACGACCACACCCTCCCCTCAGACGCCCAAATCACCAACCCAGACATCAAATCCATCATCTTCTTCTGGTTCCAACGCGATCCCCTGGAATGGATCATCCCACCTCCCGGTCTCGACGCAGAACTCAAAACCAGATTTGAACATCTAGTTCTGAAAGCGAGGAAAGGTGAGCTGGATCACTGGACCGAGACCCCTGCGGGCTGTCTGGCGCTTGTGGTCCTGCTCGATCAGTTCTCGAGAAATCTTTTCAGGGATAGGCCGGAGGCTTTTGGGGGGGATGTGAGGGCGAGGGGGATCGTGAGGGGCGTTGTTGGACAAGGGTGGGATGGGGAGGTCGGTGTGGTGCAGGCGAGTGCGTTTTTTGTTTGTGCGGTGCAGCAGGAGGGGGTGTATGATGTTGGGGTTGGGAGGGAGGGGTTTGCGAGGTTGGTTGAGAGATGTAGGGTTGTTGAGGATGGTAAGGCTGGAGGGGAGAGTGATGCGGGGAAGAGGGAGGTGGAGAGGAAATGGGTTGAGATGGGTTTCAAAGCTGCCGAGAAACATTTACAGTTGTTGGAGCGGTTTGGGAGGTATCCTACTCGTAATAAGATCCTGGGACGGGCGGATACGGAGGAGGAGAGGAGGTTTCTGGATGAGTATAAGCCTAGTCTTGAGTGAGTGATGAGGGGTATTGGAGAGGTGGATGGAAGGGGGGAAGGGGAAGGGACCGGGAGGGAATCGAAAGGAATGGAAATTTAGTAGTGTTGAGAGTGTGGTTCGTAGAGGTGTTGAGAAGAGCTTTTTAAGGTAAGAAGTTACACTTGCGAAGTCATACGGTCTCGATGACCATCATATCCCGTTGGTAGGGTAGGCAGAATTTGAGTCGACGGATGTAGCAATGCTGGTTCTGGAGATGATAGAGATGAGAAGACGGAATTTATGAATCAGATGTTTGATTTTACCTGTCCATTGAAGTTGCTTGTTGGGTTGCAAATTTGATGGGCGAGGCAGTTCCATGATCGTTATACATGGATTTTCGTTATGAAATTTAGGTGTCGCTCTGGGAGTAGATGGTGGAATTCCAATTTCGATTTCGGCTTGTTTTTGTTCACGCCTCTTTGCATATCACCCGCGATTTAAGATATCTTGTATCTTTCATGTATCTGATTTGAAGCGGTGATACAAGTTTTAGATGTCTGGAATGTTGTAGAGATGTTGGATAAGAAGTGGTCAAGACTTCTGTGCTAAGACATTCGCTAGATAGGCACTAACCCTTAATTTGAAATTTTTGTTGCGTCGTGTGATTTTATGACGCGACTCATACCTCCCACACCACAACTCATACTTCCCTAGGCATCTGTCTCGGTCATATTCTCTAGAGTCAGAATTTTTGGCTAGAGGACATTTTGGGGTTTAGGTGGAATTGAATCCAGGTCGTTTGTGAGTATTGGGTCTTTGGATGCGGGGTGCTTAAGTCGATGGGAGGAGTGCGAGTTGGGTGATATCGGAATGAGAATAGTGATATTATTATTATTAATCTAGCCTTTATCACAGTAGCGATAAATAACCATGTTTGAACACGACGATATTCCTCCGTATCATGCGTATCTATTATTTACAACGTGGTAATCTACCGCTAAAGTCTTAAGTGTCACGTTATTTCTCTATCTGAATTGTTTGTCTCTCTGATATACAGTCTTGTAACATTATGCTTCCGCTTAGCTGTTGAACTTTCTATATCAGATAAGTTGCTTGCCATCTGGCTTCCCGATTCCACACCCTCAAGATGCAATTTATTCTTTACCACGAGCGAATGTGCGGGAAAAACTCTGTATAATGGTGATATACTGATAGGGTGTTTTGAGTAGAAGGAACCTCGAAATTGGATATGGCGACAAGATGGGTGATGAGTAAATGGGGGTAATTACTTCTAGATGCCTGCAATGTATAACGAAACTCTAATTGCATTTCGCGTCACTGTATTCGTGTACGTGTTGCGTTTGCCGGAAAGTCTGATTCCACAAGCCGATCTCTGAAATCAGGATGAGAATTACATCTTATCCTTGAATGGCTATAAGTGACATGCATTTTAGGCGCCACTGAATTTTTCGGTGCGAATAAATGTACGATAGTGGTGAAAGGAGATTTGGATTTGGAAATCATAGATAATACTAAACTTTTCGTGTTTATGTTTATAATAGAGCCGGGGTTTGAAGTCGGGGCTTCGCTACGAAAATGCAATGTTGGATGGGACAAGCATGCGAAAACGGTGGGTTTTGCTGATCAGTTCTTATCGCCATGACTTAAGAGTGAGTTTATCGTGTTTTCGAGTCAGTAGTGATTTGACAGAGGTGCTATGCGAATTCTCGTGACATTTCAGTTGCGTCGGAGGTAGGAATATGGCTGTAGGCGTCTGTGAATGAGAGCTCGCAATTCCTAGATACTTATGCTTTGGCGACATTTCCTTGGACTCAACTTAAGACAATCAATTCGATGAGAACATTTTCGTTCTTACCAGGAAAGTCCATCAATGACTGAGCTCTACCCAACGGACGCCCCCTGTCCTCCTCGCTAAAGCACCAGAATGTCACTCCCTCATCGCGGGGAGTACAGCCCTAGCGATCCGTAAGCAACAGCCGGCGAATGCGATGTGCAACAAAACATTTCCACAATCACAACACGTTTTATCTATAGATGCTCAGATGTTGCTCATTTCATATCAAAGCATACTAGGTACTGGTAAGCAGGTAAGGATACGTTAGCCGCGGGTATATCATTTCGCGGTCTGGATGAATCGTGGATTGGCAAAATCAGGCCATTTTCATGACTCGTGTCGAGACGAGTCAAGCCTCGTGGGTTGCGAGATGCAACAAAATTGGGATTGAGAGGCTGTGCTTCGTGGATATATGGAGTTTAATTGTAGGAGGAGGAGTGGGAATATGTTGGCTCTAGGGATGGGGAAATAGGTGTGGTGATTATTTTGTTGAAGGTGGCTTCCAGAGATTGAATATGCATGTAGGCAAGAATCTACAGCCTACAATTATCTTTTCCAACAATTAAACAGGTCTCGCAAAAAACATCTCCAACAGTAGTAAACTTACTTAGGTAGACCACCTTAAGTCTATGACTTCGAGACTACAAAACTAACTTCGATATCAACACCACCCCACGCTCTGACTCGCCCTCCCCGCACCACATTTTCGGGCAACTCCCCCATCTATCATCCACGACTCGAGTTACAAAATTGCGAAAAGCAACAAATTCTGAAATCATAGTAATTAACACTCCATTTGTTCGGAGGAAAAAAAGTTTGATACTGAATTGTGGTAGGTTGTGTGGTTTATAGGTTGGGTTCGGGCAAGCTACTGCATGTTTGACACGCCAAGAGTGCGGAGGGGATGTCCGTAGGATTAGGTGGAGGCGTGATGGAAGTATGAGTCGAGGTGCGAGTCGAGTCACGAAAATGCGAGATGCAACAAAGAGATTCTAAGGAGATTTATGAGTCGAGTATGAAGGGATGCCTGGGAGCTTCTCGGGGAGGAATGTCGCGAGTCTTTTCCCGCGTGCTAGCGAACATGTGTTCAAGCCAGATGCAAGAGTCACAACAGGTAATAATATATAATATATATGGGTATTATCATTTTGCTGACTTGTAATTTATGAATATTGCGATAGTTGACGGTATAATCATAAGAACAATATGCTTGCATAAACCCGAATAATAGTTTTGAAGGTTCTCACTTTTCTTCTCACGATGAAAGAAGGAATTGCAGACATTAGTGTTTGTTTTCCGGTATCTATAGAGTGCCTACTTGCAATTCTTTGTAAGTCACCGCTTCTGGGATATGGAACTTCTAGACGAAATGTGTATCCAAAATAATTCGCTCAAAGAGTCGCTTGCGCACACTTCTCGCCATCTAGACAAAGAAGACATCAAAGACTTCGATGAAAGGAGAATATTTTTGCATCATCTTGGTTTTCAAAATGTCTTATGTTTTGTTTCCGACTTTGTTCTTCTTAATCGCCACGAAACCTTTATGTCTCGATAAAAAGTGGCAGATGATTCCATGTCCCATGTTCATAGACGCCAGGGTGCGCTCACTCAAATAATAGCGAACAAAGTTAATATGACACCAAATTTGTCCATAGATATAGATGATGGAATATCTCTGTTGAAATGGCATGAACTGCGTGAGTCCTAACCCGGAGTGTTCTATGAATTTGAAAGCTGATCCCAGACCTTCGGCAGAAACATGGCAACAGTCAGTCATTATATATCATGCAACCCTCCTCCTCATCGTCTAAAATATTCGCAGGGACAACGAATTCATTATCTCGAAATATCGGTAATTTCAACGATTAGTGCGGCGGAGATGTAGCTGACAGCACTTAGGCCCGCATCTGGATCATTCAGCCAGTCTCTAAAAAGTTTAGGATATATACATAACGAAACCGGTACGCATGCTTCCAGAGACAGGCATTCAGTGAGATCATGAATTGATGGCTTTAGTAAACATATACTCCCACCTATTCGGCGGCATTCTATTCGCCATCCTTCCCATATACGTCTACTGCACAATCTACCCTCGATACTCCAGCGCTCAACGCGGCGACATCATTGTCTTCTCAACCTTCTTCTTCGGCGTCGCGATTTGTTTCCTCATCTCAGCCACGTATGTTTCACTCTCCGGATTCCGAGGTCTGCCAATTAACCGGGGCGAGAACAGTTTCCATACCTTTGTAAACCACAGCGCAAAAATCGCAGCTCGTGGAAGTCAGCTTGATTACATGGGGATAGTATGCTTGATGTGGGTTCCACCGTCCCGACTATCTATTATGGATTTTATTGCGATCCGGCGCTTCAGAAGGTTTATTGGTCGGTAGTCAGTTTCTCCATTCCCTCTGTTCTATGGCATTGTTGATGTGGATGCATGAATTATATACTGACATAAGCGAAACGTTGTCCAGGTTTCCGTACTCTCCATCGCTTGTATAATTGTGAGTCTCGACCCAAGATTCCGTCTTCCTCGACTCCGACCCTATCGCGCCGCAATGTACGCGGGTCTAGGTTTTTCAGCACTTGTATTCGTGATACACGGACTTGCGATTCACGGCTGGGTTATTCAGAACCACAGAATGAGTCTTTGCTGGATGATATTGATGACTGCTTTGAATTTGGTGGGAGTAGTAGTCTTCGTCGTAAGGGCAAGTGAACTCAAAAGTATCGACTGATGAAATCTGACAAGACTTAGGTTCCGGAGAGATGGTATCCTTTGAGACATGATATTTGTGGTAGCAGTCATCAGATATTCCATTTCATGGTTATCTTTGCTGGGTTGGCACATATGGTTGGATTGTTGGCCGCGTTTGATTATCTGCATTCTCGGAATACGACGTGTGTATAGAACGTACTTTCGTACTTATAGAATGTTCTCTTAGAGTATATGTACTCTGAATTCAGAGTAGAAAACATTGAAATAATACCTTATAAAAGAATATCTCTGGAAGAATAGATATCGTCACAAGTCGAGTGGAGATACTGTGTTTTTACAGATCTGATATTGATGACCAATGCAAACAAGATTGTGTGTTTGTTAGCAGCTAAATCCTTTCAATTGTTGGGAAATGAAGCCTTGTGAGGACACGATAGATAATAGTCGCGAAACCCTTTCCAGTGCAAGAAGATCTGACATGCCGAATCATTGTCTTAACTAGCAGCCACTGAAAAAAATGCATATCGTTCCACACAGTTCTAGACAAGAGCTCCCTCAACCAAGAACTAGTACGGTTAAAGCCCACTGAACCTTCACAGACCAGGTGACGAGGGATTTTGATTTCTTCTCACATAGTTGATTTTTCCTTCACCTCAATCACCACAGTCGTAAAAGACTCGAGCAATTTCCCTCCAGTAGCAAGTGCACAAGTAATCTCATACTCCGTTTCAGGCATTACCACAGGCGTAACGCCAAGTTTCAGCTTAATAGTACCCTCATCAGAACCAGCCGATGTTACAAGCTCAAAAGCGTCCGGCAGTGTAGGATCAATAGACTATGCAAGTCCTATCAGTGGCTCTAATAGTATTATCGTGATAATACGACGTGATATTTGACCCCTCGCGGTATATCTTTTAATTAGCCGGTATAGTACGTATTCTTAATATTATATTATTACGATACTATACTATACGAAATAACCTAAAAGTCGCGTTTTTTATTAAAAAAATCTATATATAGACGCGTTTTACGCGCTTTTAGGGTCTAAATATTACGTAAGCGTACTAGTAGTATATTATTAGTATATCTTTTATATAGGTAGTATACTTAAGGCAATATAGTATTTATCGTTAGAGGTATATTGTCCGTATACTATAGTATACCACGACACCGTCACCCTATTAGAGCCACTGAGTCCCATACTAGAGTCGTGCGACGAAGCAGCAAAATCCGGTCTGTTGCTCAAGTCCTGAGAATATTAGCCAATTAATTGAGGACGATGCTGTGTTACATACCTTTTCCACAGTTGTTATTACCCACGGGGTTTTCGCGTATTTAAACTCTCCAGGACCAAGTAGTTGCATTTCGATGGTCCACCTCTTCGAACTGTCTTCCAGTGCTAGAACTCCCTTCTCGTTTTGTGATAGGTGTTTTGATCCACTGGATATTTCCACGGCTCCATTTTTAAGTCTTCTTATAACTTTGGTGTGTCAATTGTGATTTGCAAGTCGAGGAAGATTGTCCATTCACTCTATGTCGATGTGAACGTGTGTTTCTGTCGAATTGTTGACACGTCATGCACGCACCATGGGGTGTTGTAAACTAACTCCCTTGACCTTTTAAAAGCCATGGCTTGCTGAGTATTCCATTTTAATATGTTTTTACTAGGACATAAGCAGTCTGGGCGGGTAGAGTACGAAACTGCAACTAGCTTTGGAAGTATCCCGACAACCTAACCCAAGTTTCGATACTCTTACTGAGATCATCGATATGGGCTTCTTGAACTCATCGAAAATTTCTCGCACATGGGACAACTGAACTAGCCTGAAATTGGGTTTGTTCGGCATTGCTAATTGGGGCGCGTGTTGAGAGCTTTCCCTTGCGATGAAAGGTGAGAAAACTACGCGAATAGCGAACAATTTCGGGTTTTCAGAGCAACTCACCTCACTGCTTAGACTGAATGGAAGGGCTTGTTAAATATTTCATATTTCAAGACTAGGCTAAGCTGCTTGCCCAAGAAAATATGGGTATCCAAGCTGCTCTAATCAGAACAAACGCCCTCGCTATTGATCCAACCGTAGTTGGTATCATGGATATCTCCTGCTCCTGAAACTCCTTTCCCAAAAAAATCCTGAACTGTTTTACACGCCATGTTAAAGTAGCGCTAAGCCCATAAACCTTTGCAATTTCCCACCGGATGTGAGACGTGCTTAGGCGGACGCTCTGACTGCTAAACCGTAATCGAAAGATGACCGACCATGGTTTTCATGGCCCTCATTCTTTGGGACGAAACTCTGAGCTTTCTTATTCTGATTTGATCCAGCTTCCGGTACACCCAAACTGATTCTCGCAAAAGTCTCCATACGTCGTCGATAGGTAACCTCATCACTCCCCGCCGCCGAGTCTGCACTAAGCACACCCAATCCAAACAGCGCTCTAAGTGTGTACTGCGCGTTATCTCCAGCGCTTCGGACTCCCTTTGATGGGAATGAAATCTCAAGTTGCTCCAAAACATGTTCTAAGCCACAAGTGTGGAAGTCATCTTGTGGTTGCATTCCTAGGCTAGTGACGATAGATGATGTATCTAGGATAGCGAGGAGTCCGGGATTGTATTCGCCTACAAGATCAAGGCCAATTTCCCGTAGAAGATCTAATTCTTTTCGTACGTTTTGGCCAACAAGGACGACCTGCCGTCGATTTCCATCATGTACGAAAATGGCTTCTTCGAGGAAGTTTCGGAGTTTGCTTAGATTACCGGATTTAGAAGGTTGTCCTGATTTTGAGTTGCGACGACAAACTTTGAATTTGCTGTCGATCAGGTCTTCAATCACAAAGGTTTTGGTCTTGATCATTTGCGTGCGATCTTCTCCAGTGCGCATAACGGATCTTGTGTCAAATTTTGACAATCCAACCCTTTTAGAATCATCAGCTCATATTGTGTGTTTGCGGGTTTGCTTAACTTACTCATGACACTTGCGGGTAGAATTCTGACATGCTTGGTATTTAAAATCGATTGCGACAAATACAGCACCAATACTTGTTATTGGTCCAAGCGGTCCGCTTTTGTGTAGACCAAGCAGCTGATGAAGAGCCTTGAGGCCTCTAGAACCATCAATACAAGCGACTGGAGAGTTGAGAAGTGCTGGCTTTGGGGATTGTCGTTGATGCGCGTGGTGATCGCTTTTGGTAGTTTTGAGTGTTGGGGAGGAAGTTTGATTGGTCGGCTCATGAAAGATACCCATCGTAAGTGATTTGAGAGGATAATTGTTGAACGAAAAGCTAGAGGCAGAAAATTGGGTAGAGTATAGACTAAAAAGTTATTGGCGAAGTGAGTGGTGTTATACCTTTTGATGGTAACTGATATGCAGATAAAAGTAATGGAGACGGAGAATTATATATTTGCTCTCGTCCGCTACGTCCGAAACATACTGGTGGCCCAGAACAGCGAGCCACGTGGATGCGCCAAGTCCGTAGGGCTTGGTAGCGTACACGTCTAACAGAATTATGACCCAAAGTGTTAGAAAATTGCACTACGACAGAAATAATTGGTTCGTCATAACGAATATTGTGGTTCCAAAAAGACGCCCACATGATAAGCTTTACTCCTCGATCTCTTGGCCTTGTTGCACCGACGGTCATGGAGTAGGAAACGCCAAGATATAAAGAAAGGACATATTCCGGCAGTCAATGTTTCCAGTCCGTCTCAGCGTACGAATGTCAATATCGAAGGAAAATTATGAGAAATCTGTACTCGGAATATTCTTCAATTGATACTTGCAACACCAACTCTGCATTCGCAGCTCAAGGGTAAAAGAACATGTATTGACTGCAATCGAAGGAAAGCCTGATTGAATGGGGACCGCATGATCCCCTAGACAGCAAGCTACCTAGGTGACTAATGTTTGGCAGGAACCCATCGGGAGTTGGCGCTCAACCTCAAAGTGGGTGGATAGTTTAACGGTTCGTCCCATCTTCAATATTCGTAAGCCCCAAGATTTTCCAAAACGCTTCTGATTTCTTCCAAGAGCTCAAGACATTTCACCAACTGAAGTTGTAACGCATACCTGCCAAGATGTTGTAGAAGCATTGCAGAAGACTTCCTCGACAAGTACTGCTCGTGATTTTGTGTTGCGAGACTAATTCGAGATGACCAATAAGGTGACTCGAAATTAAACACAGTACTACCAACAGTGATTTGGCAAATTTGGAAAGTTGTGGAAATGAAGAAACGACAATGTGACACAATAAGATCGTGGAGCAAGATCGTCATAAAGGCAGTGGCATCGCCGCCATCGAACACAAAATTAAGCCTGTCCGACGACTGAACAATGTTTTGTTGGCGCAACTGAATGAACAAGCCAGGCCCTGCTTTCAACGCAACAGATACATGGATATCGCCTAGAAGCTCTTCCGACCGAGAAGGCTATGAATTGGTATATCGGCCTTGGGATAGCTCATGAGTGCCAAAGACGCACTTGAGAAAGACTCGTACGAACTGTCACCCTCATGAATCTTTTAACCGCTGCCTGCTTGTTCCATACCTCCGCAGAGACGTCTCTGAGAACACGTTCATTTATATGTCGGCGAAACACGAGGACGTCTTTGAGACACAAGATGAAAGGTCCGTCCGTTCTCCAGTCCTCGAGCCCACAGAAGGTCTGATCATGAGACCGGGAATCGAAGTTCTCTAGCTGGAAGCAATTCGTCGAGTATCTCGGAAGACAAATAGTTGCTCTGAGTGTAGATTTGCATTTACTTTCTTACATCAGAGCTGTGGACAAATATGCAGAGCTGAACGGATCGCCTCAAAAGTGCTACTTATTCTCGTCAAGGACGGATAGCGGGTTGACACGCCAAGAGTGAATTCCAGCATCGTTGAACAATTCTGAGCTTGACTTCCACACCCGCATGTCTGCAATTCTGCAACACATATGGCCGTCAAAGATGGACAGGCGAGATGAGCGATTAGCCCGCAACGGCCAGGAACAGCGACCTGTTATTGTTGCACCAAAGAATGTTGGCTTCTAATCAATTTATCGTTGATGATGCCTAAAAGATTAGCTGAAGAAGTAGCAAAGAGTGGTTGTTTCAAGCCAGGAGAAGGTTGGGAGCAAAATCCCTCCCTCATTACGTTCAATCTTGTAAATATTCTATTCTAATTTTGTTCAGCAATATTTTAAACAATATGGTCGGCTAGCGAATACTCAATCATTTGCTAGGCGTGAGGTGAATGAAGATGTTTTTTTAAGGAACGAATTAAAGCTGAAAGAAGCTGTGATTGATAGATGGATGTAGAAGGTACCGGATTCTAGACTCCAGAATCCAGAGTGGTCGAGAATATGATCAATCACGTGGGCTTTGCGTTGCTAGGCGAACTGGAGAAGACCCCACAAGATTTTCAGCCTTAGGTCTCAAGGCATTACCATACATTGAGATAGCACTGCAATTGAAGCTCTATTTGTTTTGAGTTGAATCAATAACTAAGCTAAATTGATGGATAGTATATCATAATTCTAGTAATTGGAACGCACATCAAAAATAAATCATCTTCGAAGTTTGCATCCATCTTGTATTCCACCTTCGTCTGGGCTGGGCAAATAATGTTGTTTCTAGCATCTTCTGGTAGCCTGGTCGCCACAGGGGTCCGCCCGCGCTAAAGATCAGAGAATCCTGTGGAATCTTTCGAAAGCTCAGCAGTATATTTTCTCTGGCCTCGTCCACAAAGCCTCCTTCCCTCTTCAAGAAACTTTTTCCTCTCACAACTGCACGATACCCACGATCTGTGTTTACGCTTTCATTACTCAACGACTTCACGCATAGAATAAAACAAAAGGTAAGCTCATCAATACATCTATTAGTTGTTGTGTTTGTAGCAGTGACAAGGCTTTGTTCAGCCTCACCGCAATACCATCTTGTTCGAGCTTCTAGCTACTCTGCTTCGACTCCTACAATCCATTGGTTGCGTGTGTAGTGGTCGAAGCAACCTTGTCCTCAATACATCACTTTCATCATTCTGCGTTTGCATCTGCTAACCTATTCTTCTCCAGAACTTACGATACAACCGTCAATATGGCTGGTGAAACCTTCGAGTTCCAGGCTGAGATTTCTCAGCTTCTGTCCCTCATCATCAACACAGTCTACTCCAACAAAGAGATCTTCCTAAGAGAACTCGTCTCCAACTGTTCCGATGCCCTTGACAAAATCCGATATGAAGCTCTTTCAGACTCAAGTAAGCTCGAGTCAGGAAAGGACCTCAGAATCGACATCATCCCAGACAAGGAGAACAAGACTCTCACCATCCGCGATACCGGTATTGGTATGACCAAAGCTGTAAGTTCACTATTTCAATGCATTTGATTGATCTATGCTGACTTTGCGCAGGATCTCGTCAACAATCTCGGTACGATCGCACGATCAGGTACCAAGCAGTTTATGGAGGCACTCACCGCCGGTGCTGATATTTCCATGATTGGACAATTCGGAGTCGGTTTCTACTCTGCATACCTTGTCGCAGATCGTGTCACCGTCGTTTCAAAGAACAACGATGACGAGCAGTACATTTGGGAATCTTCAGCCGGTGGAACCTTCACTCTTACACCAGACACTGAGGGAGAGGACCTTGGACGTGGAACCAAGATCATTCTCCACCTCAAGGAGGAGCAGCTCGACTACCTGAACGAGGCCAAGATCAAGGAGGTCATCAAGAAGCACTCCGAGTTCATCTCATACCCCATCTACCTACACGTCTTGAAGGAGACCGAGAAGGAGGTTCCTGATGAGGATGCGGAAGAGAGCAAGACCGAGGAGGATGACGAGAAGAAGGCGAGAATCGAGGAGGTAGATGATGACGAGGAAGACAAGAAGGAGAAGAAGACAAAGAAGATCAAGGAGTCCAAGATTGAGGAGGAGGAGCTCAACAAGCAAAAGCCAATCTGGACACGAAACCCACAAGACATTACCGCTGAGGAGTACGGTTCTTTCTACAAGTCCCTCTCCAATGACTGGGAAGACCACCTTGCAGTCAAGCACTTCTCCGTCGAGGGTCAACTCGAGTTCCGCGCCATCCTCTTCGTTCCAAAACGTGCTCCATTCGATCTTTTCGAGACCAAGAAGACCAAGAACAACATCAAGCTCTACGTCCGCCGCGTCTTCATCACTGATGATGCCACTGATCTCATCCCTGAATGGTTGAGCTTCGTCAAGGGTGTTGTCGACTCCGAGGATCTTCCATTGAACTTGTCCCGTGAGACTCTTCAACAGAACAAGATCATGAAGGTCATCAAGAAGAACATCGTCAAGAAGGTTCTTGAGCTCTTCCAGGAGATCTCTGAGGACAAGGAGAACTTCGACAAGTTCTACACTGCTTTCAGCAAGAACATCAAGCTGGGTATCCACGAGGATTCCCAGAACAGAGCTGCTCTCTCCAAACTCCTCCGATTCAGTTCCACCAAGTCTGGAGATGATATCACCTCCCTCTCCGACTACGTTACCCGTATGCCAGAGCACCAGAAGAACATGTACTACATCACCGGCGAGTCCCTCAAGGCTGTTACCAAGTCGCCATTCCTTGACTCCCTCAAGGAGAAGAACTTCGAAGTTCTCTTCTTGGTCGACCCAATTGATGAGTACGCCATGACCCAGCTCAAGGAGTTCGAGGGCAAGAAGCTCGTCGATATTACCAAGGATTTCGAGCTTGAGGAGACTGATGAGGAGAAGACCACCCGTGAGGCCGAGGAGAAGGAATACGAGGGTCTTGCCAAGGCTCTCAAGAACGTTCTCGGTGACAAGGTCGAGAAGGTTGTGGTCAGCCACAAGCTGATTGGTGCTCCTTGCGCCATTCGTACTGGTCAATTCGGTTGGTCAGCAAACATGGAGCGTATCATGAAGGCACAAGCTCTCCGTGACACATCCATGAGCTCTTACATGTCATCGAAGAAGACCTTTGAGATCTCTCCACGATCACCGATCATCAAGGAGTTGAAGAAGAAGGTTGAGGCTGACGGAGAGAACGACCGAACCGTCAAGTCAATCACCCAACTTCTCTTCGAGACATCCCTCCTTGTTTCTGGTTTCACCATTGAGGAGCCAGCCGGATTTGCTGAGCGCATTCACAAGCTCGTCTCCCTAGGACTGAACGTCGATGAGGAGCCAGAGCCAACCGAGGAGGCCGCTGCTGAGGCATCAACAGATGCGCCGGTCGAGAGCGCCATGGAGGAGGTTGATTAGATTTTTCGATCTTAGTACGATATTGTCGCGGCGTGCAAGGGAAACTTCGGAGTTAGATAATGGATGGTTTGGTTTTTGAGATTTCATACATTGCATCAGCCTGCTTCTTGTTTTTCAGTCTTTGATTTGTTGTCATCTGGTGGATCTCCCTTCTTCACTTGGTTGAGACTGGTTAGGTGGCAACAAGATGATGATATAAGACTTCTTAATTTGATGGAGGTGGAAAAGAAATGGTCATCTGTATCCTAGTAGCATCAGCAGAAGCGTACGCGTTTGGTTGATAATGAGATTTGAGAATACAAAAAGTTACTACATATTCTATATAGTGTGCTTAGTTATTTTGTGTGATGCCTGCATCATCTGCAGAGGTATTCCCATCAGACTGATGGCTGGTTGACTCATGTGATCGGATGGATTATCCTGCAGACTTTCGGTTGTGCAACGATAGTTCTCTCGCGTCGGTAGATGCCACCAAGTGAATTTATTCGCTATCCAATACCCTTCCTCTTGCTCATAATCTCTTTTGTCGGTCCGCCCAATGCCTTCACAACTTTCTTCGTATTTCTTCAGCCACGCTATCGATTGTGGCATGTCCCGCTGTTAACGATGCGGGCTGGTGGAGGAGGGGTGAGGTAGGGCTGACAATAGACGTCTTGCTCCTGTGGTGGTATGGTTTTCGGGATGGTCAGATTCTATCTGAGTTCCTCCGTGGCTGATTTACATATATATATATAAATCTTCCACCCCGCTGATAGTGGAGCTTTCTCTTGGTACGTGAACGTAAAGTCTGAAATCATGTTTTCAAGAATCGTTTCTATCGTTCTACTACTGGGGCTGGGTTGTGCATTGGTGACTTGTACACCCTCCCTTGCTACTCGAACGCGTACACCTACAATTACGCTCACCCCGGCGCCGTTGCCGAGTCCATTGACGGTTTATATTACGACGACGGTTTATACTTGTGTCTCTGTAAATTCCCATCCCCTTCCCCTCCTTCTCATCAATAACCTACTAACCCACCCAGTCCTCCTCAACATGCACAACTGGGACCCTCGTCACCATCTCCAGCGGCACCTATCTCCCCAGCACCATCTCCTACGCCTTGGTAACCCCCGCGATACCAATACCGAGCACGGCTACCAGTGCGGGATACATGCCTGAAGCGAGTTGGGCTGCGGTGCATAGTTTGAGTAGTTTTGTAAGTCCTTCCCCGGGGATCAGCGTGGAAAGGGAAAGAGGAAGGGGGGGGGAAATGCTGATGAAGTAGGATATCATACTCCCGCAAGACCAGAAAGAAAATGCGCAGTTTAGTTGTCAAGCTTACTGCGAGTTACCTGTTTGTTATAGCTTTTTCGTTGGGTTTTGTAAGTCATCTTCCTCACTATTTTAACTTTATTCCCTTGCTGATGTGTTGTAGTGATTAAAGGCGGAGGTGGATACTTCTGGAGATGTACTGCTTATAATGCTTTGTGAGTACCTCCCTAATCCAATTTGAATGTTGATAAAGCCAAGTCGTTGTTGGTCGCTGATCTGTTGTAGACTTACGCCTGAACTGCTTCTTCCACAGAGTTTTGCGCTTTTGAGGAATGGGACGGGGTGGGATCGGATTTGTGGGTTGAGGGTGCCTTGAGGGCGCCTTAAAGGTCGTGTGCCGTTAAAAGACCGTGGACGGAAGTGAATTCAAATCCGTTCCTTTTTCTATTTTTTTATTAGTGATTCTCTTTCTCAGTAAGCTTTGAAGTGATTCAACTGCTTCATGTGAGCCAAAAGTTCCTATACTTTGCACAGACATATGAATGCTTCAATAAACATTCACTTGCAGACACATATGACGTTCACTGCTCTCCTTCCACCACTTCTTATTATTTGCCGTTTCTTGTTTCTACGGCTCCCCTCGAATCAACGAATCGTAAGCATCCTCCATACAAAGCAATCTTTCCAAATCCAAACCGCGGCCTTCTTCATGACATCATATTCTATTCATCGACGATTTCGCAGGCCAAGCCAAGTATACGGAATTATCGAACCGTGTTGTTGTGCAATTTTCGATGCTAGAGAACGACAGTACTTGACGCTTCCAGACAATTTGTAGCTTGGCTGCCTTTTAGAACAATTCTGTGCGGGTTAGTGGCTTGGATGGTGAGCTAGGAGACCAAAGGGGGTCGGTCTCGTGACTCGCCCTAACGGTAGCAAGTGCGTCTTAGCAGCCAACGTTTTCTAGCTCGACTTCTCAGTCTCTTCTCGGCGAATCCAGACCTCATATGTCAATTTCCCCAGGTTATGACCCAACAAAGGCGGGATAACAGAAGCACTACACAGTCGCTATGATTTCTAAGTGGAGAATAGGACTATGTAACTGTGGTTTTGAATAGCACATGACCGTAAAATGCGATGTAGTAATTCTTTAGTCGCCATTGGAGTCGAGGTCAAAACGGTTAAAGAGATGAGGCCCCCAGGTATTCTGGGCCACGTTCGAAAAGTTTGTCGACATCCATTTACGTTCAACAAGTTAACGAGATTTTTTGAACTTCGAAATAATTGAGTCCCTCTGTGGGGAATGTTGATTTGGATCTGGCCCCTTTGGTACGCTACTATAGGGAAAACAGAAGTCGAGAAAGCGGAAAACATGCCTGCTCGCCGTAATGGTAATTATCAAGGGAATGGCCTGGGGAACAGACAGCCAGAAGCTCGTAAGAATTCAAGATGAACGTGGGAAGAAATAGTGCTGACGACGATGTAGATGACCGCTGCAAGGAAATCTATCGCGACTTGAGGAACGGATCGTACGTATTCTCCAACCGAATCCTTTGCAGTTCCTTTGACCAACAGTACTGGAAGCTATGAATGTATCATATGTTACGAGGCAGTGTGGTCCTACCACCAACTGTGGTCTTGCAAAGATTGTCATGTCGTATTGCATTTCGATTGCGCGACGGCATGGTCCAAAGCGGCTGAGGCAAGAATATGGTCATGTCCAGCTTGCAAGAGCCTCAAGAAAGACCTCCTACCTGCTTGCTGGTGCGAGAAGTTCCGTGGCGTCGAGGCCCACGCGCAACATCTCGTAAACAACTCTTGCTATCAAAGATGCTTGAAAGTCACCACCTGTGCGAGTAAGAGGTTGAAATGCTCTCAGATCTGTCAGCAGGTCTGCCATCCAGGTCCATGTCCAGACGTTGTATGCAGAGTAGACTGTCCGTTGAATATGCCGTTAGTGCCAGACCCGCTCAAGACTCGTGCGGTGCGTTCTTCGGCACAACGAGTAGATCATGTGGATGCTTCTCCATCTCCCAGGGCGCCGACCCCGCCGGAAGACTCTGTGGAAGTTGAACAGTATAAGAGAGCGAGAACACAACTTCTCCTCACTTACTTGATTTTCCTTTGCTTCATTGTCGGCATCTATTTTTCGTCAGTATTTACGTTCCTCAAAAAAAGAAATACACGACTCGCCGAACCGCTCAAACACACCGACTACATAATCAACGACAGGGTCAGCGACGACGGCAAAGTGAATGGTCTGACACTCTTTACGGCGGTTATTGGAGTTTTATCTTTTGGGTTTTTAGGGTCGGTGTCGATTTTTTTCTGTGAAAAGTTCCACAAAGCAAAGCCACGCAAATGGGTGCAATGCGTGACAAATACCATCGTCGCAGTTGTTCCACTAGCCCTCTTAGCAGCTGGTATTTACTTTTTGTTTTAGTAAGTTATTCATGTCTACTGATGAACGAAAATTTTTTGCTTACAGAGAAAACAGCATGATTGATGGCGATTGGAAGGTGTTGACGAACAACATGAAGGGTAGTTGCCAGGGATTTGACACACAAATCAAACTTGACCAGAAAGGTAGGATTAATCCTCCATACCGTTACGCACCGTACTAATTCAAAACATGAAGAAACTATGCCATGTCATCAATAACTCTGAAGAACATGACATACGACCGGAAAGAGATCCGGGCCATGAATACATTCGATTTCAGCAAACAGACCGATTCCCAAAAACAACCCTCTGATCCGTTCTTCGAGTTCCACCGTATGATGGGCATTATATCTGCAAATAACATTGTGGTCGACTTCGATCTGACACACAACACCTATCGAACGAGTCGCTCAAAAGAACTGCTCGACAACCCACTCAACACGACCCTCCCTTTTACAACCGGACTCTGGTCCAACACCACCACCGAACGTCCTCACGCGGCCTTTCCAGATCTCAACCTGGTCATGCCAAATATGCATTACTTCAGCCAATCGTGTTACTTGGAGCCGTACATGAAAGTGTTCAGCACCGCCGGCATGGACCAGGGACAAATTGGGGAACTAACAAGTCGTGATTGGAGTAAGAAGAATGAAAAAGAAGTGGTGATGCGGACTGCGACTTTTGGGAAGCTCGTCCGGGAGATATCGATTTGTGCTAAGAGAAATGATTATAAGGCGGTGGATGAGGAGGGCGTGGAGGTGGTGCGGAAGGGGTTGGGTGATGATCTTGTGGTTCCGATGGGTTTGATTGCGGTTTTGAGAAGGCAGAAGGTGTTGGATAGTAAGAATGGGAAGGTTTATCCTTGTCAGAAGACGAAAGATGACGATTGATTTGGTTTGGAGTTTAGAGATTTTGGATTGTTTCGTGGATTTAGGAGGTGACACACTTTGTATGTATACATGTAATCTTGTGGTTGTTAATATTTGTCGCACTGTAAGAAATAATTAGACTTATTTTTTAATTGAGACACCTGTTCCATATCATGGATCTGACCTAATTCCCAGCAAAGTTCATGCTCATGAGATAATATAGTCACTCTGTCTTCAACTCCTGCATTGCAGATCGAGATCGTGAATAGTCACGACGGTCAGTCTCAAGAAGAAGCCGCACCTTATGTGCAATAACAAATATCAACTTATCATACCCACGAGAGAGTAAAACTAACAAACTCCGCAAATATCAAGTGCTATCCAAAAAACTGTTGTTGTCGTCGTCGTCCAAGCACGTCGTCGCTTCACTCTACCCCACAACGCTAGTGGCTAAATGTACGGCTCTAATCCAAGAAACGTCATTTCCACCGTCTCTAATATCCGGACAAGCTTTCTCCCCCATCTTTTCCAGGGGAATCTCGTCTTCGTTCCTGCGGCTCGCGGGGAAAGACGTTGACATGCACATACTGCTACGCAAATGGCTAACCGAACGACCATCACAGCCGTCGGATCAACGGATTATCCATCGTGAATCTCGCTTTTAGACTTCGTTCCTGCATTTAATCTATTTCAGCCTGTATCGCTGGGTCCGCTTTAACGATGTTCCTACCCCTCATCCATGAATGAGTGTTTCCGAGAGTGATGTTTAAAATGTTGCTGTTCCCAGGATAGTTTTATTTCGTGTTTTGCTTTCAGTTTATTTTCTTGTTGACAGAGGGATTCGTCATGGCGTCTCGATCGTATATCTTCATTTTATTGGCGTGCTTTCTGGCGCTTTTCATAGGTACGGATGCACGACCTTCAGTCCATTCAAAACGCCATCCGGGGAAGAACAGTAAATGGATTCCTACATGGGGGAGTATGCCGCAGCTTACGGAGCCTGCCAATCTTCCTCCAGCTCCATATGTGAGTTAACTGAAAAGCAAGACTCAATTGATACTGATGTTCTTAGAACCAAACCGGCGTAGTTTTCAAAGATTCAACAGTCCGTCAAACAATCCGCACAACCATCGGTGGTTCTCAAATACGTCTCCGCTTCTCAAATGCTTTCGGTCCAGTTGATCTCCCCATCACTGCGGTGACCGTCGCTCTGTCATCAAATACTACGGCTGGTGGAGAAAATGCTATTCAAACGAAGACGCTGAAAAGCGTGACGTTTAGCGGAAGCTCGAGTTTTGTCGTTCCACAGGGCGCGCTGGTGGTTTCGGATCCAATTGATTTTGCGGTGAAGCCATTGACTATTTTGACTATTACGATGTATCTTGCAGATGGACAACAGGGAAACTCAATTACCTCACATCCAGGAAGCCGAACGACTTCTTGGTTTGTACAGGGAAACCAAGTAACAGCAGCCTCATTAAGCGGACCATCACTTGCCAACGCTGCTCACTGTAATTCTACCTCACTTTCTTGAAGCAAATGCTGATGTGTCACAGGGTACTTCTTGAGTAACGTCGAAGTCGCTGTTTCTCAAAATGCAAAATCATTCATTTTGATTGGAGACTCCATAACCGACGGCCGCGGCTCAACCACAAACCTCAACAATCGATGGCCTGATCTTCTCGTTCCCCGACTTCTTTCCCGACCTCAGACTTCTCAGATTTCCGTTATAAACCAAGCCGCCGGCGGAAACCGCATCTTAAACGACGGACTGGGACCCAATACCCTCGCCCGTCTCGACCGCGACGTTCTCGCCCAAGGCGGCGTCGAATATGCCATGATCTTCGAAGGCGTCAACGACATCGGCACCGCTGCCACGGACGCGACTACGCAGAAAACAGTCGGTGATAGACTGATTTCTGCCTTCAAGCAAATTACCACGCGTCTGAGAACCGCGGATATAACTGTATACGCGGCGACGATCACACCTTTCTCTGCGCCGGCAAATTACACAGGCCAGCCATACAGCGACCCGGAACGCGAAAATACTCGTCAGAGAGTGAACAAATGGATTCGTGAAAGCGGGAATTTCGATGAGGTGGTTGATTTTGATGCGTTGTTGAGAGACGCCAAGATTCCAAGTCAGTTGGACGCGAGGTATAATTCGGGGGATTATTTACATCCGAATGTGGTTGGGTATCAGAGAATTGCGGATAAATTTCCGCTCGACATCTTTTAATAGGTGCAGAGGTTTGTAATTTGTGTTAGAGATGCGTTTGTGAGAGGTTTTGTTATCAAGATTAGGCGAATGCATACTACTTGCCTACTCAACTTCAACATTGGAGTGTGTATTTTGATTGGGATCATATGGGCGCGAAGGTTCGTTGGAGGAACCAGATGATGATCACCAAGGTGATATTCGTAATGAGTCGATCTCCGTGAGAGAGTTGCTTGTGAGTTTGGAAGTGGCAGGTAAAGCTAGCACGACTCATTCTCTGAATTCCAACGTTTGGTATCCTTCTTTAGAGCCAAACAGTCTTCAACTCATCTGACGTGAGATCATAAACCGCCCAGATCTTAACAAACTTTATCGGACTTGGTCAAGAACACAAACAAACAAGAATTCCAAACGATAGTTGCAAGGCCTATAATTCGAATTAGAATGTTTAAGTGGGTTGGGTAACACCGAAGAAAATAGTAGGATGTAACGTGAGTTTTGAACGTACAGTGGAGAAGTCCAGCACTTGACTGGGATACTTGAGAAAGTTGTGTAATAGTCAAGAAAATAGTTGGAGATTAGGTGAGTTATTTTGAAATAGCAATAGAAATTAAGTTTTCAAATCTGGATTGGATTATTCAAGAGGTTGTGTAACATCTAAGAAAACAATTTGAAGTTAGTTTCATTATCGTAAGCACTATAGTAACCATCATCTAGTTGTCCATTATAAAGAAGCTTTTGGAATTTTAGTCATGTCGAATTCATAGCTTAGAGAACTTGTCAGTTGACTAATTCAGTCACGAAACACGGATAAGAATTACATCCTAAAATCTGACAATATCTCTCGACAATAGATCAAGACTCTAATCCCTCCAAACCCAATCTCCCCTCCCAAACCTCAACTCCTCATAACATAATGTAATTAGTACCTTTGCCCTACCTACTCCACCCAATCCCGTCCTTCCCAAACAAGACAAAATTGGCAAAACGCTTAGCACTATACTATAACAGAAGGTATTCCCATCCAAAGAACTTCCATACTTAGCAACTCACACGCAGATCTCCCATGCCCAGAAAATGGCCTTGGACGTGCTATGGGATTTGAGTGAGGGACGACGCCGAGTGGTCAGCCTTATTCAAGCTTCGCTTATCTGGGGCGTATCTCCGCAGCCAAGCTGGATGGCATAGCTTAGGTGTGAGGCTTGTGACGGGTGATTGATAAGGCGACATGAACTGCTTTTGGAAGTTAGAGGTGGTAGTTTTTCTTGGTAGTTAGGTGGAAAGCTGATGAGTGGTGTTGAGAAATGGATTGGGAAAGTAGGTAAAGTCAAAGGCTTGAAGTTAGGTTTGTGGTTCTTGGCTTAAAGAGAAAGTTTTCCAATAATGTGATTTGGATTTGTTTCATATTGATGGCTGTTCATTTCATTGGCAGGATGTGAGATATTCATCACCTACCTATATCAGAACTTGAAATTCCACGTATGCTGCACAAATCACTTGATCTACCTCGCCAATCTACAACACCACCAAAAAATCCGCCCCAAATAATCTCAAAAACAAACCCTAATAATGGCTCACAACCGCCACACCCAGACGGCAATACTCCACCCCACCCTCCCCCTCTCCACCAATAAAGCTGCACAACATCCCCTAGCTTCGGCAGCCGGTAAAAACCCCAAGACCTCCCGCGCCAGCACTACCGGATAGCATCTACCAGATAGTCAGGAGACAAGACAATGCCAATCCTGACGATTCCCATCATAGCGCGATAAGCAAACGCGTTAGGATGGGGATCGACCAACTCCCGTGGCCCCCTCCCCCTTGGCAGCACCCGCTAAGCGAGATCTGATTTGCTGCGTCGTTTGCTTGGTATGAACCCTCGATTCGCGATGCATATCGGGATGAGCCTCCTTCCTAATCTGAGTGGCCAGGAACCACGGTCTGAAAGCTTGCCTTCCTGGTCATAAGGGCCCGATGGGCGATGGCGCAATGCCATTTGTGCTGTGCGGCTTCGTCGGGTGAGGCTTGACCTTCCAGATCGGTGGCACACACTCCGGGCAAGTTCGTCGAAATGGACTTGTCTGGTGTATTCTGGACGAACGGGAGAGAAGTATGGTAATGGGAGGAAGATTTATGGATTTGAGTTTGTAGGTGTATAAAGAGAACGGAATATCTCTTCGATAACCTCATCATCAGCGTCATCTCACCTCATCTCATCACCTCAACATCTCGTCTTCAAAATGGTTTCCATCAAGTCCCTCCTCGTCTGGGCCGCCGCCGTCCTGCCTTTCGTTGCAGCAGTCCCAGTCGACCATCCAGGTTTCCTCAAGATCCGCGCGTTGGAAGACACCGCAGAAGTCATCCCAGGGAAATACATCGTCGTCTTCGAACCCTCCGTCAGCGCCGAAGTCGTGGCCGCCCACGAGGAAAGCCTCGTCAAGATGCGCAAACGCGACATCATCGCCGACGTCGAGAACACTTACTCCGTTGAGGATTTCAAGGGTTACTCCATCTCCACCGACGAGGCTACGATCGCTGAGATTGCTGCTTCGCCTGAGGTACGCCCCCCCCTTTAACTCGCTTATTCAATGTGCATGAACTGATGATTGTAGGTCGCTTTCGTAGAGCCAGATCAGATGATGTACACTTCCGCCCTACGCACCCAGACCGGCGCCACTTGGGGTCTAGGACGTATCTCGCACCGCGCTCCTGGTACTACTACCTACATCTATGACAGCACTGCCGGCGCCGGAACCCGCGTCTACGTCGTCGACACCGGTATCCGAACCACCCACTCTGTACGTCCTCTTCCCTCTCCCATCCCGTCGCTCTACTGACAAAAACAGCAATTCGGCGGCCGTGCCATCGCAGGTGCAAACTTCATCACCACTGAATCTGCCACCGACGGAAACGGCCACGGCACGCACTGCGCCGGTACCATCGGTGGTTCAACTTATGGAGTCGCCAAAGCTGCCACCATCGTCGCCGTCAAGGTCCTCAGCTCTTCTGGTTCAGGCTCCAACTCCGGTGTCATCGCCGGCATGAACTGGGTCGCTTCGAACGCACAATCCCTCGGTGTATCCCGTAAATCCGTGATGAGCATGTCCCTTGGTGGAGGCTACAGTGCCGCGACCAACAACGCTGTGAACGCTGTGTACAACTCTGGTGTCACCGTAGTCGTTGCCGCTGGAAACGAGAACCAGCTTGCGAGCAATGTCAGCCCGGCTAGTGCTGCGTTGGCGATTACGGTTGGCTCCATTGGACAGACTGATGCGCGATCTAGTTTCAGTAACTATGGTGCTGCTGTTGATGTCTTCGCGCCTGGTGCGGGTGTGTTGAGCTCGTATGCTACTTCTGATACTGCTACTGCTACGTTGAGCGGGACTTCAATGGGTAAGTAATCCCAACTCGGCATCACACAAATGAGTACCAATGCTAACACAACCCAGCCTGCCCTCACGTCGCTGGTCTCGCCGCCTACCTCATCGGTCTTGAGGGTCTTGCATCCCCAGCGGCCGTCACTTCTCGCATCAAGGCTCTTGCTACCACTGGTCGTGTTACCGACTTGCAGGGTAGCCCCAACCTTATCGCCTACAACGGTAACGGTGCCTAAGCGTTGAAGTTATGTGCTTGGTTGGATATCTTGTGACGAGTTATGAGAAATGAAAATAAGAGGCTATGAGGGCGCACGGTTGATGAGCAGTACTGGTTATGAGAGAAGCGTGTCATGCAAGTTGCAATCCGGTTTGTAAGGTGTAGTTAGAAAATAAAAGGCCAATGCTGAGCAAAGAAAAGTCTTCGTCATTAATATGCATGTGCTTCGAAACCTCAAATCTTATGAAAGGTTACGAGGAAATGAAAACGCGAGAACAAGAGGGTATCGGATGTTATGAGCAGCACTAGTTACGAGAGAAACGTCTTATACATATGGCAATCCACCTTATAAGGTGCATTTAGCAAATAAAAAGCCATCATTGAGAATTTGTTAAAAGAAAAAGTCATTCCTCCTTGACATGTACTTACTTCAAAATCACAAATCTTATCAAAAGTTATGAGGAAATAGAATGAAAATCAAAGGATACGTGGTGTTGTGAGTGAAGCGTACATGCAAGTGGAAATCTGCCTTATTAGATGTAGTCAGCAAACGAGAAGCCAATGCTAGGAATTGGTGATGACATAAAAAGTCTCTCTCTGTGATATGTTTGTGATCATAGTGAAGTGAGATACGCAAGTGAGGAGTTGTGGGAATAGTGTCTGACGCTTAGCGCTCACGGCGAGGAGCAAAACTTGCAATCCCATCGACATGCTACTGATGGTATCAGCTGAGGGTTGAAATGACAGAGAAGAACTCTAAAAGCTCGGAGCGAAGTGGCTATGAGCCGGATGTGAGCACAGATAACTGTAATCTAAGAGTGGAAATCAACACAAAGAAAGGGGGCCACAGAGATAATTTCCATTCGCCACTATGCACGCTAAATATGTCACACTACTAACGAAAGAATAGGTAGAGAGGAAAGTGAGCCCCTTCACACAACCGGTAACCACAAAAGCCAACCTGCTCTAAATCAATGCCCCTAAGAAGTAGCCCGTAGACTAACCCCAACGCTCCGAAGTAAATGTATATGAAAATAAATCCTTCGCCCTAAACGCCAATTTCAATGCTCTAATGCGTACTTCTCGCAATAACCTCACATGGCAGCCCGAAGGTCGGCCCATTCCTTGCTGCCTAATCCCCAGATGGTGATTTCTCCGTCCGTTCCCTGCCATGTACGGACCACCCAGAATGCCAAACCACCTATTAGACCTACACCACTAAGAAGTCGGACGGCTAACCATCCACGTCTTTTCATCTCTGCGTTGAGTTGCAGTAAGCCCAGCGGGTCATATCTATCGATGCCGTCGTACATCTTATAACTCTTTCTGGAAGAGGACTCATTCTTGACTAGCGTTAACGAGTAGTCGCCATCTCGCTTGCGGGCTTCAGAAATTGGAACAAGAGTACCATCCTGAACGCACTCTCCAAGTCTCTCGGTAAGCCACACAGCTCTCTCATTGCGTGCTAACTCCTCAAATCTATCCCTTTCATTCTGGAGACTTCTCTGCAAATCAGCTGCCCAATTTGCAAGTCGGACCTGGGCAATTTTCTCCTCCCTCTGGGTGTGATCTGTTATACGTGCTAATGCATACGATGTCGTTGCGCCGACTGGAGCAGTGAGCACCTGGGATGAAGACAGTGATGCTGGCCGTAATGGAGAATAAAGTGACTGTGGCCTCTGAAGTGGAGCATTCGACTTGCGCCACTGGACGAATTTCTTCGCTGCCGAGTGACGGAGCCAAGAGACACTGGATGATTCGAATATTTGCGATACAAGGGCGGCTAACTCTGATTGAACCAGGGGCGAAACGTAATCAGGAGACATTAGTAGACTTGCGTCCATGTTCTCGTGGTCTTTGGAGGTTGCAGTGGAAATAGCGTAAGGTGAAGTGAGCTGTGGAGTATTTTCTTGTGCAGAAGCGATGAAGTTGAATGGATAGATATTAGCTTCGTGGAGTGTGCTGATAATTTTCTCTTTCATCAGAGAAAGGTCATCGGGTGAAATCAGATCCGATCGAGCAATAAGGGGAACAATATTGGTGAGTTGTGACAACCGACGGAGATATTCAATGTCTACTGGTTTGATATCTATCATTATTAGTATCAGATAATTTCAATAAGAGCGTCGACTAACCTTGATGTATGACATATAACACCAAGTCAACTTGAGATCCACCATTACCACCTAGCATGCTAATCATGTCGTATTCAGACAGATTGTCTAACGAGATTGCTTTTCTCAGATGTGACTCGAGATATTCTATTACTGGGGTTATGCATTCCATACACTGTTTTTTGTTAGCGTACAAAATAACGCGGAATATGAGTAAACTTACCGAATTCTTGTTACCATATCCAGGGGTATCAACAAAGCACATGTTTCTTTCTAGTACCGAATCACCCATGCTCTTTCGTCTGCGAAGAATTTTGCTCTCTTCTAAGTCTGACCACCATTCTGGATATGCTCTTGTACTGGCGTATATCTCGGTGATCTGCGTGGTAGATCCTAACTCCGCAGATGCACTTCTAGATTTTGATCTGAGACTCTTCCGACTAGGTTGAGTAGTTTGTACATTATTCGAGATCGGGTCGACATGAACAATGTCCTCGCATATCTGGACAATGGCTTTGATCAAGGAAGTTTTACCAACACCTGTGCAATGTCAGTCATGGTCCGCATCGAAGTATACGCCCACTTACCAGAATCACCGGCAATCATAACCTTCAGTCTACCCATATTCTTCCCGCGCTCTGTGAACGGCCTCCTGCTGGGCATTTTAATACTCGGCATAACCAACTGCGGCGCACTTCCACTATCCATCATCTCCCCGCCGATACCTCGTTCCTCGTCGCCGCTCGAGACGACGGCTTGGCTAGCGACATCATCCATGTATGATCCGGCATCTGAATTCCTTCGAGAGTCCGGACTGCTGAGAAGTGACTCGGGCGCTGCGGAATTATATGACAATGGGGTATATGGCCGAGATATATTTGTTTGGGAAGGTCGGCGTTGATAGTCCGGGGAGGTGTTTCTGCTGATGCTCGCAGATGATTTGAACGAGGGGCTCATGCAATCTGTCAGATCTTCTTCTGATTTCCGTGTACTTGACTTTAGATTGTTCTTCCAATTCTGACGGGCTCTTCGTAGTTTAAGCTTTTCCTCATCTTGATCGTCACCACTATCTTGAACTGGAGCCAGGGAGCCTATCGTGCTCTCCAGACTCTCCACCCCATACATGCTGTTTTTCGCCGTATCTCTGTGTTTAGAAATCAAAGAAGAAGTGGGTGGGACGCTCTGCGAAGACTCGAGATCTTTCTCGTCTGCGATGAAGTATGTCATCTGCGGTTGTTGACTTCGACCGACCATAGGAGTGGCATCGTTATCGGCGAAGCTGGTACTCCGCGATCTTGCCATAAAGGCATCGTCGCCCGGAAGAGGTCGCATGATTGGAGGGGAGGCTGCTCTTGATGGTACGAACGAGTGTGAATCTTGATATCATACTCAGAGAAAATAGATAAAGGTATTCAGAGTCTCATTTGCTTTGAGGTTGTTGTGGAACTTAAAGGTGTCTTACCTATTCGGACCCTGCGTGGAGCACCTCGACACTCCGTACCCCGCGACCGCGGCACGAGCCTATCAGACTTGAGATAAGCATAGTTGTGTTGGTGCCTCACACCCAAGGCATGACACTATTCACAGCTCAGGCATTCACGACCCTCCGCTCAGCCCCACGTCCACCCTTCGGCGCAAGAGGGGAAGCGCTTTCTGGCCCAATCGAAGACTCCAACGCAACCACTTTGCAGGATCGGCGCCTTCGACTCAATTTACGCAGTCGCGAGTAGTCTTCGGGATCCCTTGACCTTTTCTTGTCTTGCAGGAAGCATCTCAGCTGCTTCTTCTGCTTCCCTCTCGCAACAACGGCGTCAACATACGGGTCAAACGACGCGTTCGCTATTATTAAGGCTCTTTGCACTCCAGCGTCGTTACTCTTCGATCCGGCGTATACCACAAGACAACGACCGTCTCCTACTCCTCCATACCGAACATTTCCTCCCTCCCCGACAGCGCAAAGACTACATCCTTCTCTTCCAAGCACCATCAGCGTACAGAATCTAGATCCCGAGCCATCCACCTTCAATATGGACAAACGACACCCGAGCTCTTTCCAGCAGCTGGAGAAGCTGGGAGAAGGAACATATGCTACGGTAAGTTCATATTATAATAAAATCCGGCGCTTTCTTTATATACTTCGGGCGTGGACTAAAGGCTCTCGCTGGCTTGATCATGGCGAGCGGCGACATGACTACGTTATAATACGCAGGAGAATACAATTCTGACGGAGTCATAGGTTTTCAAAGGAAGGAATAGGCAGACTGGAGAGTTGGTGGCACTAAAAGAAATCCACCTGGACTCTGAAGAAGGAACACCGTCGACAGCTATCCGCGAGATCTCGTTGATGAAGGAACTGAAGCACGAAAACATCGTCAGCCTTCATGATGTTATTCATACCGAGAATAAGTTAATGCTAGTTTTCGAGCATATGGATAAAGATTTGAAAAAGTACATGGACACCCAAGGCGACCGAGGAGCGTTGAACCCCGTCACGATCAAGTCTTTCATGCACCAGCTGCTTCTAGGTATCGATTTCTGCCATACCAATCGAGTTCTACACAGAGATTTGAAGCCTCAAAATCTTCTGATTAATACCAAAGGACAATTGAAGCTTGCAGATTTCGGTCTTGCCAGAGCTTTCGGTATTCCAGTCAACACATTCTCGAATGAGGTCGTCACTCTATGGTACAGAGCGCCAGACGTTCTTCTTGGAAGTCGAACGTACAGTACTAGCATTGACATCTGGTCTGCGGGATGTATTATGGCGGAGATGTATACGGGACGACCACTTTTCCCAGGTACTACCAACGAAGACCAACTTGTCCGTATTTTCCGCATTATGGGTACACCTTCCGAACGTACATGGCCAGGAATTTCCTCATATACCGAGTACAAAACGAATTTCCAGATGTACGCTACTCAAGATCTCCGAGTCATCCTTCCACAGATTGACCCATCTGGAATCGACCTCTTGCAACGTATGCTCCAGCTACGACCCGAACTACGTATCTCAGCAGCTGATGCGCTAAACCATCCATGGTTCAACGATGTAATTCCACAAATGCGACAGCAACCCCCTCAACAAATTCCGGGTCAAATGCCAATCCAACAACGAGGTTATGCGCAGCATCCAGTAAATATGGTCGCACCAGGCGGATATGACGGATACTAATTATTACTTTTGGACCGGAAATGGATGCTAGGTTTTTACTGATGATGGAATTATGATACCTCGAGACGTGCATGCGTGTATTGCATTGGGTCGGAGTTCATGGGATAAGGCTGAGTTATGGATGGACATGGAAATAGCGTGCGTTTTTCTTGAAGTGCTTTTTGGGGTGGATTGGGTTAGTTGATAATGATCATATTGATTTTACAGTTGAACTTCAGGGATTCCATTGCTCATCCGATTTGATGTACCCTCAAGTGAGGTAAAGGCTTGTTTGCCTGATATTTCATGGAGTTTCTTGCCTGAGTTAATGCTCATCTGCCTTCTTTGCTTTATTATTACACTCGCAAAATCCAAGCACAATCGAATTGACAAGTTCTGTTTGTCAAATGTTTGTTGCAATTTTCCGTATTATATTATCTGATCATCACCTCCTTGTGGCTTTACGGGACAAATTACTCCTCATGGACTACCGCGAACAGTATTCCCGATTCCATTTCTCAGGCTGTGGGAGAGTCGTGAGTCATATATGTATATCAGGTCCAGACTTGAACAGATCTGCGGACCTCATTGTTGTTCATCAATACCCTTCATGCCTCCGTCGGCAGAAATCAAGAGCACGATTCATTTTCCAGTGGCTTTTGTTTTTGATCTCGATCATTTATCTGCCTATTCTTTTCGTTGGGAACTGCCTCACCAACGGAATCGTTTCATCTGTACGTATTGCTAAGGGGTTTCACGTGATGGGGTTTGGATCTGACCAATCGATCTTTCTGTACCAGCCGTTTTTAAGTATCTACTACGCCGCTGCATTGTGCGGGGCGGGTGTTAGGCAGACTCGGTAGTTAAGTTTGGTGGGGTTTGGCTTTCGTATAGAGTGTAGAGGTAGGTACATTTCAAGTTGTTAAATTTCTTTCTGGTCATATCTTTACGTCTATCCTCGTTCCTTGGTTCAAACTTTACACTCATCCTTTTCAAACAAACCGGAGATGGGAAATATCCAACATACTTCCTTCTTCCTCTCATCTGAACTCTGATTTCAACCAAGATAAAAATATGTTTGAAACAGTCCTCACAGCGACATTTGCCCTCCTGAGTGCTTTTGTGCCTAGTAACATCCCAAGAATACAAGATGCGCCAGTGTGTAGAGATTGTATACCAAGAGAAAGAATCTTGGCGCCGGGGATTGGTGTCGATTTGACTCGCACTTATGGGTATGCTCTGGTTTGAATACATGAAACTGAAGAATAGCTAACAAAATCCAGCACCGTAGCAATCCGCTACCACAATCTCACAACCATCTCCGTCGGCCGAGTCAGTCCCTTCCCTTCCCTAACGCCCCTGAGAATATATCCTAACACATCCCAGATCAACGGCACCACATCATACATCGACATGATGACCCGCGCCATGCTTGACCCCGATGACACCTCCTCTCTCGCCATCACATCATCCCAGGATACCAAAACCCTCTCGGAAATGCTCTATCAACTCCACCTCCTCGCCGCCCTCTCCTCCCCAGTCCCGGTCCTGAATGAAATTTTACTCTCGCACCCATACACGCCCAGTTTCACCGACGAACACTATGCTGAGGCGTTCGCCCTCGCGGACCTGAAGCCCGTGACTCCAACCCACGACATCTGGCCGCATACCAGTCAACTCACCACTGCCTTTGCCGGCGCCGGTTATGGGCTTTGTACTGCCTGGGCTAATATCAGCAAGTGTAGAGAACAAGAAGAGGAGATGAAGATCAAGAGCGTTTTGATTGTGGAGTTTTCGGATGATGTACTCCTAGTAGGCTGGTTCTGGGCCCAAGGGTGGTGGGACGCGTATTTTGATACTGTGGAGAAGTGGGAGGAATACGGTTTTAAGGGCTCGAAGGGGGAAGATTGGGACGGTGTTAGGGAGAGGATTAGGGGGGTTATGGATGGGAGGGGCAGGGGGAAGCCGGATGTGGTTGTTTTGTATGGGGAGAGGGTGAATGAGGAAGGGTTTTTAGACGCGTTGGAAAGGGCGTTAGGGGGAAGTATTAAGGTGATTCGGGGGTTGGATGGGGAAGGAAAAGGGGAGGGTGTAAGGGGGCTCGATCCTGTGATGGTTAATGCGCGGGGAGCGGCGGAGTTGGCGAAGAGAGGACAGGGGGCGCCGAGGGGTTGTGTGGAGGTGGGGTGTGGGAATCGGAGGGGGGGTGAGGATGGGGTGGGTGGTGAAGTGTTGAGGGAGGTGCGGGGGATGGTAAGGGTGATAGGTAAGGGGAAGGGTAAGCAGGTGGTCTTTTAATCAGATTTGGCTGGGATGGGAATTATGTGAGTGTGCAATTTGCGTTTTATACAGGAGGTTGGTGATGACTCTTAAAATCGACAGAGTTTCACAATTAAGTGAGTAATTCTCATGCACATTTTATGACGACCAATGACTTTTGCTCTTTTCAGTGTAATGAATGTTTTCCTGGTAAGATGCCAAGCAATTCTAGGCAGGTAGGCAGGTGTGGGTTTGTCCTACTGTACGTAGATAGGTATGTAACAGCAGGTTGTTGGACTTATTTCCTTGTCCTACCGTTCGATGCCAAGCAATTTTAGGCACTGTAGGCAGGTATGGGGCCGATCTGTCTGTACTTAGGCATGGATGCATTTTCAGTACTCTATATCTTCAGATGTCCCCAAGTCATAGTGACTTTCCTATTTATCATTTCAATCATTTGTCACCTTCGAAGTCGTCTAATTACTCCCGCTGTTAGTATATTTTAACTACTGGTCACCAATCGATTTCTACTATCGTGTATTCAGAAGAACAATGGCACGTACCACGCCCATCTCAACAACAGGTAAAGATACCCGCAAAATCTTGTCTCCATTTCAAGCCAGCTGACAATGAATATGAAGATGATAGCTCTGAAAGCGAGGAAGAGCTAGAAGAGACTGAGTCAGTCAATATAGATACGGCAGCAGTCTTGGAAGGTGTCGATGTCACTCCCCTGTCATTGAACACCGATGGAGCCGCCGAGGCTCTTAAACTGGGTTACTCCTCCAAGCTCATCAGCAACTGGTACCAACACACCTGCGAATACGACTCTTGCCAGTCCCGATGGAGCGAATTCGCGGTTGTCGATGACGAGGAAGCAGACTTGATGAAGAGAAGCAACTTGGTTCCCATTGTTCATCGTCATGTCTATGAAAACAAGCACTGGATCACCACCTCTATCACTATTCAAGATGTCGCCATGCGCAAGGTTTTGACTGAAGTCTTGAACAAGTATCAGGACTTGGACATGGAGCTTGAGAATTGGACCTTTACACCCCCGTTCATGCCTCTAGTTCATCGATGGGATGTCTTGAAGAACTTCCAAAGTGCCACGATGGAGGATTACTTACAGAGGGCCGCTTCGGCTTTGCTTGCTTTCCTTTCGCCAATCATTGCCTCCTCGATCATCTCGCTTAACGCGACGAAGAAGACTGGTAAAGTCAGCTTTGCAAACGTGTGGCAGATCTTCCCACCCAGTGCATTTGTTCTAACTAAATTCTTTGGAGTCGACACCATCTGCCGCGTCTTGAAGTATAAGAAACGAGAAGCGGATCGGTGTAACCCTGAACGTTGGGTCATTGACATGGAGTATATTGATTGGAATGGCGAGAATAGCGGGTATACTACAACCACTCTCAGCATCTGCGAATTCGACGGGCTTCGCCGCGTCACTGGTCTTCCTGTCTTTCCGATTTCATTCTTAACGGACATCGAAGCGACCAAGTCAGCCATGATCGAACGTGGAAGAAAGTTTGAGCGTCTACGTGGGTATAAATTCATGATCAGCAACGGTACCAAGATCCTTTTGGAGACAGAGAAGCCAGAACAGAGGCCAGTAGCTGGAAAAGTTTGTGTTGACGCATACGCATATTATCGCAGTTGCAATATCGTCAAACCTGTCTTACGACCTTTGAAACCGGAAGTTGACGAAGATTCCGGGGAAGACATCGTTGAAGACGGTGAGCAGTCAGATACACAATATGAATCCAAGTTCACTGTCGCTCCTGTAGAGGTAGCATCTACTGCTAAGGGTCCCGCGGAGAGGACAGAAGACCTTAGTCCTCTCACGGAAGAGCAAGCTATGATGGCCACTCCCTGGCTGAAGGGCTTTGATCTCAAGTCCAAGGATTGGTGCGAACTCAAGGTTGAGGATCTGAAGGAGATGACTTGGAACGATGAAGCGTTCGAGAAACTTGTTCTTCCTAGTGGTGAGAAGGATCTTGCGTGGGCGTTTGTGGAGAATAAGAGTATTTGTACAACCGAGTTTGATGATTTCATCCCTGATAAGGGTCGTGGACTTATTATTCTCATGTTTGGTCCCCCAGGGTAAGCTTCTTATTCCATTATACTGCATACAACAAGTTCCATGTTAACCAAAAACAGTGTTGGCAAAACATTCACAGCCGAAGCAGTCGCCGAACGCTCTCGAGTCCCTCTCTACTCAATATCCGCCGGCGACCTTGGAATCCAGCCCTCCGAAGTCGAAAAAGCCTTAGAGCGTGCCCTCGAACTCTGTCGCATGTGGAACGCCATGCTTCTCCTCGACGAAGCCGACGTCTTCCTAGGTTCCCGCACCAACGAATCCCTCGCGCGCAACGAACTCGTCTCTATCTTCCTCACAAAGCTGGAATACTACCAAGGCATCCTCTTCCTGACCACAAACCGCATCTCCTCCATCGACCACGCGTTCCAGAGCCGCGTCGACCTGTTCTTACCCTATCATGACCTGAGCGTCGCGGCGAGAGCCACGGTCTGGGAGAACTTTATTGAGAAAGCGGGACGACATAAGTTTGATTTTGAGACTGGAGGGGAGGCCGTGGCTAGGTTGGCGGAGTTGAAGTTGAATGGCAGGGAGATTAAAAATTTGATTAAGAGTGCGCAGCTTTTGAGTGCGAAGAGCGGAGCGAAGGTTACGATGGAGAGGCTTTATATGCTGGCTGATAAGCGAGTTCAGGCTTTGGGAATGCTAGATTGTTGAAATTATGGTTGGAGCTGCAGGCAAGAATTTCGATTTGTAGTTTTCCCTTTCCTATCAAGTATGCCAAACGCCAGGTGTCTCTCTTGTTAGCCTCTTGATCTGGATCATAAGCAGAGTCAATGCAATTTCCTGTTAGCAATGTTTTGGATTGAATTCCTATTTTCAAAAGTAGAGTTAAACTGATTGTTTCAATAACGACACATGCCTTACGGAGTCCAAAGGAATATTATCGGTGACCTTACTTATACTCTCTATGATCCCGCTCTAGTCGATAAGATGAGTGGGGAGGTCATGTTTCTTTCATTAGTGCCTATGATTCGCCCGTGTTGTAGATTGGCAATAGACTGATTCAGTGTGGGAATTGATAGAGTATGGAATTGAAATGCAGAGTGGTCGTTGAGTGGGAAATGCAGGGATATTTTTGTGATTATATCGAGTGTAGAGCTCTGGTCACCTGTGGTCGACAGCAAAGGAAGGTCTCTTGGTGCAAGTAGGATATTTGGTTTGGGTAGGTAGTAAGCGAGAGGTCTAGAGCGAACACCAATCAGCACTTCAATTACGTTGAGTAATTATTTGTAACTTGTGCTTTATCAAAATAGAAAGTTCTAGTGTATGTAAATTTTTTAAAGTCAAGGGAAGGTCTAGAGCAGAGTAGAAGAACCTGATACCAGTGGTTGTTACCTTTCTGTAGTTTTGCACTTTTACTTTTGTCAGAGGATAGCTGCTGCTGCGTTGTTTTTAATAATTGGAGGTTAAATTGTAATTTACTTTATGTTATAAGGACGGAATTGCACCCTTTTACTTCTCGACTACCTAAATAACGTGGACTATACGAAAATTGCACTCGTCGACCCACGTACCATCTTGAGACATGAACACGCACAAGTCGCTTTTGAATATCCCAACTCTTTGATACATCTCCGATTTTTGATTTACTTTCTCTAGCAACAAGCCATGAAACTCCTCGTCTCGACTTCCCTACCTGCAATCTTTATTCCGAACTCCCATCTCCCATCCCCAATTTCCAAACCAACCCTCTAAATCTCAGAAACCAATTCAGTTGAACGATACAGTCACTGTATCTCTTCTCCTACAGAGGTAAAAGAACTTGCGAACTTGCGAGATCCGAAGATCACCGTCCGCACCTCGTGTCCGCCTCCCTTTCTCCATTTCCGACCCAAACCCTGAAGACCCGAAAACCACGTCACTGGATTAGTTTGCTTAATCCGAATTCAGTGTATAAACAAATAATCCTGCAGTGGCACAGCTTTGTGCACAACATCTCACACACGCTCGTCTCGAATTTCAATCGCTGATCGAAATCATAAATTGAAGGAATCTGATACCTTGCTCAATGTAGCGAGTAATGAAGTATATCTGAGTTTCACCGCGGTTTTTTCAAATACTATCAGTATCAATATTTGAGAGTTCTCGGGTTGGGATCTTATATTCTTGACACCAGGACGACCACTTTCTTTTACGCCCTTTTGAATCCATTTCTCGTCTCGAACTTCTTTCTATCCCAACGTGTTGATACCTGATCACCCATTTAATTGTTCCAATATTTCTGATTCACGTTCTCCTGATCACGGACAAACAATCTAGGTTTCTGTAACTTTCCAACTCCGTCCACCATCCTCGCTTTCCAAGCTTTCCAGGTGCTAAAACTATTATCTCATCTATAACTTTCTCGATCTGGTTAACACCAAGATCATGGGATTGGGAAATATCAAGGTCAAATAAATGGGACTAGTTCCTTGCATACCCTGGCTCACCGTGGAAGCCGAAACTTTCAAATTCTACCCCACATCCGTAACAATTCTTAAAACATTTCGATTATCGCTCAAAAGTTTCACTTCCAACGACCCATCTGTTATATACCCCTAGCTAACTAACAAACAACCCTCACGTCCCACCATACCCTACTCCAACCGCGCCTTTACCAACAACACTCCCTCGCAACGAGCTTCCCCATCCACCTTCCGAACCCGATAACCACGTCAGTGGATGTACTATAATATGTGATCACGAGACAAACTGACACAGACCACGAGAAACTTCCCAAAGATCTGGTTGGGCTGGATGAAAGGGGGTTATAGTGCGTGGATATGGTAGGTGTGACGAGATCTGCGCGTCGCCGGTGGTTGGTTGGGATGTTTGCTTTCTAGGGGAGGGGAAGGGGAGGCGAGAGGGTTGGTGGGAGGTGAGTGTATAATTTGAGGAGGGTCTTTGACGGTGTAAAAAGAGAGGAGGTAGGAGCGTGGTTAGTGGAGGTGAGGAGGTCGTGCGTGAGATGGCGAAGAGGAGAATAAGAATTGGGAGACGATACACGACGACACTTGCAAGCCAGCAAGACAATAGTAACCCTATTTTTATATATCCTATCAACAGACTAATATCTACCCCCAACCAATTCCAAACAACAACAAAAAACCATGTAAATAAAATGTCCATCCCACTACCCCTCCTTCACAGCATCAATAACAGAATACTCCCAACAAGTCCTCAATCGTTCACACTCCCCCACAATCTCCTCATCCTCCCACCACCACCTCTTAGCCTGCACGAAACCCCCCCATCTCTCCTTCCACAACATGCGTCCTACCACACTTTTCAGCTCCTGTTTCACAATTCCCGTCTTATCGATTCCAGTCCCCTGGTTCGTATCCCGCAAAATCGCCTCCGCTTCCATAGTATTGATAGACGCGAGGAATGGGACGGTCAGGATCATTGAGCCTTCTGCGCGCAACCCGACATCTTGGAGCCACATGGGAAACAGCCGCGAAGGCGTGATGCAGAGGAATTGGCGTTCGAGGTTGTAGATGAGGTGGTCTTCGAGCCAGGTGCGGAGGAGGGGGCCGAGAGTGGAGGAGATGGGAAGGGGGTCGATGAGGGTCAGGTGGAGGGTGGACTGTGAAGAGGGCGTGTTGGGGGAGAGGAGCCGGTGGCATTCTTTTAGGATAGTGGGGATGGAGGAGGCGGGGAATTGGGTCGGGAGGGAGAAGGCATGGATGGATGTCAATGAGTTGTCTGGGTAGGGGAGTTGGATAGTGGGTTCCTGTATTGTGAAGGGTTTGGTGTTAGGGTAAGATTTGGTTGATAAGGGATTTGGGTGGAGGTGATGGACTTCTGTGATGGGGTCGGAGAGGGCGGAGAGGAACGATGCTGAGGCTAGTGTTTATTAGCTATGTTTTCGAGGGCTGGATGTTAATCATTTACCATGATTCTCATACAATGATAACACTTTCGTGGCACCACTTGTTGATACTTGAATAGTCCTCGAGTCTTCACAACCACTGAGACGGGTGGTTTTGAGATCTCGAAGCGCAAATAACATCCATCGCTGCTTTTCGAGTTCGAGTTCTCGGTAGACCGAGGCGTCAGCTACCTCCATCCACTCTTCTTTCAAGCGCTCGAGAATGATTTTGGAACTGGCTGCTTCCATACGTCGTATGCTTCGTTGGATTTGGGAGCGGCCTAGCTTGGCCGGCCTTCGCCGTCTTTCGGCAGAGCGGAAGGGAGGTTGTTGAAGTCGTGGTACTATTATTGTCGACGTATTGGTTTCCCGTGAATGATCCCAGCTTGAGGGTGGGTTCCACGAGTCTTGTTGATAGGAACTTGGCTGTGACAGCGGCAGTGGCGGTGGACGTGGTTTATGTGGAGTTTGTGGATGTGGGGTCGGTGGATTGGTAGTTGTTGTGAAGACATTCTCAGAAATGTCAAAACATGGGACTGGAAATTCAAATGTCGTGGATGTTCGTTTTCTGAAAGGTCAGCGTGCATCGTCTACAGCGGCATGATTACTTACACTCTGGTCGAGCTATCTACTTGCACCGGCACTGACTCAACGGTAGAGATATGAACAACATTAGCTACTTGTTCCGAGAGGTTGACACTATCTCGTGGTGATATTGACTCTTCCGGTGTCCTTGAAATAAGCGAGCGTGGGCTTAATGGCTGATTGAAAAGAAACTTGCTTCTAGGGGAGTTCATTACAGAACCCCAAGAAGATTCCGTAGTTGAAGAACGTACGGTCCATCCCGAGAAGACAGATTCAGCCGCTGACGAACCGTTAACCTCATGCTTGCAAGATATAAGATGACATAATTGAGAAGTTCTTACGTTCTGATTGTCCGGAGAAATCAGCATCGGTGTCGAATGCGGATAGCGCAAGCACACCAATACCAGGTCTCTCATTACTACTCGGCGCTGTTGAAACTGGTATAGAGGGATCTGATGCAACTGTGTAGCTTGATATTCGTCTTGAAGATTTGCTCGCTTCGCTCGCCCTGAGAACGGAAAGCTTGGACTGTGAATTATTTCGTGTCAAACTGCCTTTTCTACCGGAACCACTGCTGAACAAATTTAATAGACTTGGTTTGGCAGCCGAAGCAGACCCTGATGATTGAGAACTTCTCAGTGATGAACCTCTTGATAATCCGCTGGCCTTACTCTCTTTCCGCGATTTTCTCTGACCGACAGTTTCCCGTGTAGGGTCTGGAAAATGAGTGTCGAACATCTTGACTGAAAAACAACAGTGATCTGCAACAAGCTAGATATGTAGGCAAGATATGAACCCTATGCAAGTAACTGTGACATAACTCAACGACATGAGGCGACTCCTGCATCAGTTTCGAGCAGTAAGAATCGGGAAAAGAAAAGAATATATGAGACATGAGACATAGGACCTGCCTTAGTGTTTAGCCACGGTTTTCAAGTAGCTTCACCCCTGGGGTAGGGTTTGTCGCTTGCACATTACTTGTTTGAGGGTAGATCAATACAAATAGCAGAGTTTACGGCGATCTCCCATAGTAAGGGTGCATCCGAAAAGCATCATAGCCGGAGTTTGGTAGGACTCATTGTAGTCCCGAAGCTGGATGATGTGTCTGCAAGAAGCCGAAGTTGCTACCGGATTTGCTACATGTAGATGATGAGCAAATGGAGGAGACTGTGGCGTTCGATAATTCTCTGGTTTGTTTTGCTGCAACACGAATTCTGTGGATGAGATAGGACAGCATGATGGGATGTTAGATGAAGCACATAGTTGTGACACTGGAAAGGGGCGGGAATTGGGTCTGGTGTAGGACGGTTGACGTGCAGAACTAGGATAGGAGGTGGACAAAAGGGAGATGCGGTTGGAAACTTTACCCGGAAAAAGGTTGATGCTCTCCGAAATGATTGATCACAAACGACCAACTCAATACCTTCCCAGATATCGCCAAATGATTCCACTTCCGTCTCGTCTTTCCCGTCCGCATCTAGATTTCTGGATTCATGTTCTAAAATACTATACAGCACGAGGCTTTGCACGCTTCGTTGTCACACGAATTCTCTATCATCTTGAAACGGGTTTCGCTTCCTCGCTTCTTCCACGCATTAGAGCTCCAGCATCGGAATCTCGAGTCCAAGAGAATACAGCAGGAAGTTGTACGATTCCAAAAGCCCGCTCTCACTGATACCGGCTGCATTTTCTTGGGGAGCATGTCGATCCGCTGCATCTTGCATCGTCAACGGATCCTGCACTCCACGGACCGACCAAAATCAGAATCTCGTGAAACGGTATCGTACGATGGGAACACAGCGTGGGAAGGCGTGAAGGAGGCACACAAATACATAGTTCGTGGAAACCTGCATATGTCTCTAGACCGGACGAAATGAATGGATGAAGTCTCTGACATGCGAATGACGAACCACAGCTGGAGCGCATTCGACGGCTCTTGAGAGAGCCACTCTTTCAGCTGCATGATCTAGTAGGACGCACCAGTAATTGCTGAGTTACAAATCGACGATGCCAAAAGCAATTATGTGGATGCGGCACTCGCCCAAAAAAGGGCCAGAGGACTATTGACATATCGAATAGAGGCTTGGTTTCATCACCAGCTTTCTCTCTCATGACTCTGAAGGTTTGGTATAGCCGAGACAGAGCTTGAAAAGAAGGTTTTGGCTTACTGCAGCTTGAACCTCCTGAATTCTATACTGCCCTTGCATCATATTGTGTTCCCTTATTGGACCAATATTCTCTCAAGGCTGATTCTCGTCTCACTCGGCATTTCGCATCAATCTTTCCGGCTTGATAATTATTTCTTCATCAGTTTGCTGCTGTGCTCAGTTTGTCGCCTGTTCCCTTGCCTACTCTCTTCACTGTTCAATCACAAGGAAAGGTGCTTAGAGTGTCAAGCGGCTTGCTTCAATCATTCTGCAGAGTTCCGAAGGCTCGGTCGGATTGTCAAGTCTGTCATTAATCTCTCAAGACAAGCACTGTTGACAGGAGCTGTCAGTTTTTGTTGACCGTTGCTCGGCTACTCCCTCTCCGTATATCTTCCCGCTGCCTCCCACGTTTTCTACATGTGCAATTGAATCGCTGAAAATCCTCCATCATGGTTACGATAAGAGAGAGAATAAAAGTTTACGATGTGCGAATTGCCACATCGACATTTGGAAGGGTATTCCGTCTCGATGGATCTGGCCATGTAAGTTACAATTGATCTCACCGAACTCGAGAACTAATATATAAACTTTAGGAATTCGAACGACCTGGGTCGACATTCTTCACAGAGATCAATGCCGGGCTGACAACATTTTTCACTATGGCATATATCATAGCTGTTAATGTATGCGATTCTTCTCACGCAACCGAGTCTCCTCTAATAAGTTTCAGTCATCAATATTAAGCGACAGTGGCGGCACTTGCGTACATCAGAATGAAGCTCAATACAAAGATTGCCTGCTTGGTATGTTGATTTCAGTTTTAAATGTCAAAGGTCTAACAATAAGCAGACATAAAAAGAGATTTGATTACTGCAACTGCTGCTGTTGCCGGCATAGGTTCCATATTGTTCGGGTTTCTCACAAACCTCCCAGTCGCTATCGCGTGAGTCAATTTCCGCACAACGTGGTAAAGTCTAACATTCTGCAGACCAGGCATGGGTCTCAATGCTTATTTCACCTATCAAGTGGTTGGATATCATGGTTCAGGTTCAGTGTCTTATCAGCTAGCCCTAACGGCTGTGTTCATCGAAGGATTTATTTTTGTCTTCTTATCTTTGATTGGCATGCGACAGTGGCTTGTCAGGATCATACCCGGTTCTATTAGAGTCGCCAGTGGAGTCGGGATAGGTTTGTTTCTCACTGAGATTGGACTTTCAGCATCTGGAATAAGCATGATCTCTTCTGGAGCAGCTGCACCAACAGACCTGGCAGGATGTCCACCCCAATACATGGATCCAAAGAACGGTTCATGTTTGAGCCATAAAATGACAAGCCCTACTGTAAGTCACTTTACGCACATGGCAATAGTTATGCTGACTTCAAACGACAGATGTGGATTGGTATCATGTGCGGTGGTATGCTGACTTCATGGTTGATGGCGTATCGTGTCAAGTCTGCAATCATCATTGGCATAACCGTCGTCTCAATTTTATCATGGCCGTGAGTTTCATTCCTATATTTTGCCATGAACATTCGCTGAACTCTTACCAGTCGAAACACATCTTTCACCTACTTTCCAAATACACCCTTGGGCGATGAGATGCACAATTTCTTTATCAAAGTCGTTTCCTTTCATCCAATTCAGAACACTCTCGGAGCACTAGATTGGGACGTATCCGCAGCTGGCGGTCACTTCGTTTTAGCACTATTCACATTCCTATACGTCGACATAATCGACACAACCACAACACTCTACTCCATGGCCCGCTTCTCCGGCGTCACCGACCCCAAAACCGGTGACTTCCCACGCTCAACAATGGCATACTGCACCGATGCCACCATGATATCTATTAGCGCCCTCTTCGGCTGCTCTCCAACAACCGCCTTTATCGAATCTGGCGCCGGTATCACAGACGGCGGCCGGACCGGTCTCACTGCCATGACAACCGGCGTCTGCTTTCTGATATCCATCTTCTTCGCGCCAATCTTCGCCTCTATCCCTCCCTGGGCCACAGGCGGCACACTCATCCTCGTCGGCTGCATGATGATGCGCCAAGTCACTGCTGTAAACTGGTCGTTCATTGGCGACGCTCTCCCGGCATTCGTCACGATAGTCTGCATGCCGCTCACCTACTCCGTAGCCTACGGACTCATCGCCGGTCTCTTCACCTACACCGTGCTCAACGGGCTGTTCTTCATCACGCGCAAGATCTCGCGCGAGAGGATCCAGCCGCCAGATGCGGATATAGCGGAGTACTGGACGTATAAACCGAGCGATGAACATCCGCCGTGGTTTATAAGAGCGGCGAAAGGAGAGTTATGGAGGAGCAGGGAGAGTGTGGAGGAGATTGAGGTGAGGAGTTTGGCGAGTCGGACGAGTGAGAAGGTGCTTGTTGATGGGAGTGGGAGGGTTGTACCTGGGTTGTCAGCGGAGACGGAGGATGGTGTGCAGAGGAGTGATTCTTTTAGAGCTGGGAGTGCTGCTGTCGCTGTCTAAAGGAAGTTGCACTTCGACACTTTGAGGTGTTGAAGACGATGACTATGAGGACATCAGATATGGATGACTTGGTTCTCATATGTATACTTCAAAAGCGGGCAGGTATTATCCAACGCCAAACATTGTATTAAGTATCAGGATGACGGGTCAGCTTAAAAGTTATAGATCTCGCATATCAAGCGGCAATGTACCTGTATATTAGGGAATTATAAAGAGTGTTCAATTGGAACCCTCCACATCTGCACACTATATTACCAGGTCAAGACTCCCCGATTCCTTCAAAATCAACTAATAACGCCCAACAGATGACGTTCCATAACCACTTCCAGGCGGCGACACCGCTACACCACCCGAAGACCCAACATTCGTCGGCGAACCTGGCGATGCCACACCTCCAGTCGGCAGGCCAGGTAGTCCAGTAGGTGGTTTACCATATCCGGCTCCCTGGCCAGATGAAGGTAGACCCGGGGAAATGGTACTTGAACCACTGCTTCCTGACCCGAAGGTTGGACCTGGAGAGCCACTTTCTGGTAAAGGTAGAGCCGGTACAGGTAAACTCGGGGTATTGATACCTGAACCGCTTCCAGGTAATGGCAAACCAGGCAAAACGGTACCAGAACCACTACCAGTGGCAGGAGTTCCTGGATCTGTTCCCTGTCCAGGTAAAGGTGACCCCGGGATGGTACCAAGTGGGAAGATTCCAACAGCATCCTTATCTGGGCCATCTCCTACACCATGAGACTGTTGTGGTGGAATTGGTGGAAACCCAGGCGGGGTCGATGATGAGCCGGAAGACTGTCCTGTTCCAATTGACGGAGGGTTGGGATTTATATTACCGCTTGGTCTGTTGCCGTAGCTGGGAAGTGATGGTGGGGATCCAGTGGTTGGTTTGCTCCCCGTTTGGCCGTTTGATGGAATTCCAGGGGTGCCGGTATTAGGGAGAGATGTACCTGGTTTGGTTATTGGTAAACTTGGAAAGGTAGTTGGAGGACTGTAAGATCCGTATTGGCCCTGTCCGGGTTGAGAGATCGATGAGCCAGGCAAGTTAGTACCTCCTTTATTTCCAGTTCCAATTTGACCACCAGTAATTGGTAGGCCTGGAGAAGAGATACCCGGTCCAGTAGATGGTAAGCCGGGAGAAACAGTCCCGGGTTTAGAGCCAGATCCATATTGACCTTGGCCAGCCTGAGGCAATGAAGAGTCTGGCAAGCTAACACCTCCATTGACTCCAGTTCCAACTTGCCCAGATCCAGTAGACGGCAGACCGGTACCTGGTATGCTCCCATATCCAGGCTGACTTTGCTGCACCGCAGGAGATCCAGGATTCAAACTCCCACCACTCCCAGCCTGAAAATTTGCAGTACTTCCAGCCTGGGCTGCTGTTCCTGTGCCTGGTGGAAAAGCAGGAATAACAGCCGCTCCACCAGCACTACCAGCACTTGGCGCTCCTCCTCCAAGAACGCCTCCTTTACCACCACTGAGAACGCCAGATAGAAGACCTCCAACTGTCCCAAGTAGACTGCCGAGGATATTGCTTGATGTTTGACGGGCTGTGAGTTGGCTGATCAGACCACCGGCTACGGGGAGGCCAGCTGTGTATTGAAGGTTGGACTCGAAAAGCTCTGCATCGAGTTGATTGTATCTTGCTTTCACCAAAGTTGGGCTATATGGATTTGAACGCTCGACATTTGCAAGTACAGTGTGTTCCTTCTCTAAATTCTGGAGGATGAAGTCAGTAAGAGCGGTTCGGAATGGAGTCAGGTTGCGGGGTTCAAATACCGGAGTTGGCGCTCCATTCATCAATGGAAGAACAGTGAGCACAATGCTCACTGCGGTCAGCAAATGTTTCATTTCCTTGCACTTCTATGTTGGCCGTTAGACTCGCTAAATATTTCGTGGGTCGAACTTATCTCCTTACCACCAAACCTATCAGCCCGAAGCAGAAGACTCCATTATATACTCCCGACTTTACGAACAGGATGTGTGCTCAGTACCGAGGTTATGGTTCAGTGTCGATCACTCATCGATTCTTCATCCAAACCTTTGGGTCCTCGGCGGATACCGTTTGCAGACTCAGCGACGAATTGTGACAGTTGAGAGGAGACATAGAGAAACACCCGGCACGAACCCTTCGGTGAATTAGAGCTCCCCATATCGGAATGGCTGAGTTTTCAGACTTTCGAGTTCTCTGAGCACTATCTTTGGGAGTACGAGGTCGTAAAGAAGACCATGTGTACACTAAGGTCTGAAACTCTGATGCAAATGTAGACGAGGTCATGTCAGACAAATCATGGCATCGAGATCAGGCGTACTGAAAACAGTTCCTATGAATAAAAAGTTTGGAACGAGGAGGACGTAGCAAAACCCCACCAAAGTTCATCAGAGATTGTGTTGAGTCCAACTTTCGGCGGTACGTCCATACTCATAGTCAGGTCTTGCTGGCAACGTGGAGAAAGAACTTCACTCCCTCAAAACCCACAGTTACCTAAAAAGCTCTTCACTCTATATGGGACGTTTGAATGTCTTTATATTAAAGGCCATTGTGACAACATAGATTCAAATCAATAATGGACACTCTACGTCGGGTGGCTTTCTTTCCGTGCAAAAATGCAAATCAATTCAATGTATGAAAGAAAAGGTGATTCACCCTCGGTGCACAAACACAAGATTCGAGCGGAAAAATCAAGTTAAGTTATGCGCAGCAAGCTGTCTCCTCAACTACTAATAGATGACAGCAAGATCTCAAAAAATGCTTGCAATCGTCGATTAGTCCGAAACATATATTGCGAAAAGCTGTTGTATATTCTCTGTCAATAGACAACTTCCCAGCGGGGCTTGTGCTAACCATAACTCAAGTTTACAAAGACCTTATTGTGCAGCGACTTTTAACACAACAAGAGGATGAAGTCGTACCAGATGCAGGAACTTTCAAGATCGTGACGCATCTTTTTGTGCTCTGTCCGGCAGACTTTACTCTGGGACAACATCACAAGAAATGACCGAAAGATTGAAGAGGCACATGTGGCTCATTATGCTCAAAAGCTTGTACATCGAGTGTATTGTCTCGGTCATGCTCGCGCAAAATGTTTGACCAATGAGTTCCGATACCTTTTGAAAGGCCGCATTCCACGGATAGTAGTTGATTGGTGGTCAAAGACTGTTCAAATCTGGTTCAATACTGTTTCGTTCACAAATAACTCCATTACGAAGCAGTACCGACAAAGCGGTCGGCCTTTCGTACCTCACTCCTCCCTACATGTATACCAACGAAACGTTATACAAAAACACCAAAAGATAGCGGGGAGCACAGTGTTCCTGCATACATTGCAACACCCGGACACCAAATCGGAAATATAGAGACTTAACTGCGGAATCTGCCGACACTTTCGGCTAAACTTCAACTGTACAGTCTTGATAAAATGATAGATATCTTGTGACAGAATAGTACAAGTGACAGATCTGCAAAGTACCACCAAAATATCTGCAGTTATCCAAAGAGTATCTCTGGCACCAGTACTGCGGAAATTAATTTACGACAAGTCATTTCGCATTCTATCGCTTTGCTGATCGAGAGCTGAAACAAGTGAGGTTGCGATAGTTTGTTCAAAAACTCCCCATTGGCCGTGAACATGAACCGTCTGAGGTTTGAAGATAGTGGCTGACTTCATATGCGATGGACGGAATGTAAGTTCTCATATTTTCTCCCAAAGCTCGGGGTCTGAATGCTAGAATACTCATCTTAGGGGGACGATTCTTTGTTTCTATGCAATAGCAAGCTTCGCACATCTAGCCTACCTACTATAATTTGTAAATGCTGATTTTAGTGGCCCTCATTGCACTAAAGACCACGAGCGGCCTCGATATGTATGAGAGAAGTTCAGCGAGATATACCGCATCTACTAACTGTATCAAGCGACACAGCGTATTCGTCGTCTGGGGGTAGATTTTGGCAAGGCGGCAGAAAGTTGGATACAGTTCCATCGCTAGGTGATCATGATTATTTTGAAGGACCAAATAAGCGTCGTTATAGGGAGGAGAACGATATATTGTTGCTGGCATTAGTATTGTGAAAGAAAGAGCGTTAAACCTGGAGGTTGTCACTTACCAAAGTTCGCGGCAAACCAAGAGATCAAAAAAAGCATCCAGGTCAAACCCCACTTAACGTAGATAGAGATCCAAATACTGGCTGATGGTTTCCCAGAAGATAACATTAACAAGCTCTGATTATGTGGTCTTTAACAATGCCTAACAATATGATTTAGCTCAAGCTTTGATGATTAAATCCGGTATGCTTGATGCCGCATTTGTAGAAGATTATAAGCACCCCACGAAGGGTTGCCAATAGATAGCTCGAGCTGGAGACAACCAAAACTTCGAATGTTTCCGGACCCTCGAGCATTTCGTTACCTCCTTTCGCAGTCTCTACTATTAGCATTTCGACTCCCCAGCAGAGAGTATGCTCGTATATGTGAGGCCCAAATGACTGCAGTCACTATATCAAATATTACACAAACTGCAACGTGTAGACCAGAAAATAAATCGAGAGTGAATGGCATGTCTGGGCGCTGCAAGCGTGATCCCTTGCCAAAAGCATCGCGAAGTTTGTTTCGATCGTCGTCTCGATGTTCAGTGCATCCCACAAGACTTGGGATCGATTACTTCGATCCTCACACTGTGTAACAGTGATTAAAATTCCTTCGATCAGACGCTTAGAAGCCGATATGGCTTGGATTCGTCAGGATTATCCCTCCAGATGCCCATATCTACACTCTGCATCTCCGTAAGCCTCTCACTGGTACTCGTCATCGATGTGGGCGTAAACATACAGGAAGGTATGCCTGTGGCCAATTTTTACGATGAAGAATATACCCGATCTCCATCACCGCATTCAGACATGCGTTCGTGATCGGCTCCATTGCAAACACGATTACACCTCGATCGTGAATTGATGACCAGATAAAACCCAATACTATGCACGCTTATCGATGTTCCTATAACAGGCGACCAGAACACACTCAACTCTGAAGCTAGCTCGCCTTGTTTGGACTGCAGAACCTGAGGTCCAATGGAAGCAAGAAAAAAATACGTGGACAGAGTGGGTAGTGAATGAGCCAGGAGAATAATTAAAGTTTACTCACGTGGCGGGCTAAGAAAAACCGAGCAACACATCTCAAATCTAGGTTTGAAGTCCACAAAAGACATCCCGCCTATCGTGGGTGCGCGCCCGATCCCCTGGAGAATGGCTCGATCCAGTCGCTATGTTCCAGATACATGCAGCAATCCGCGGCGTATTCTCGCGATGTCTATGTGCGCATTTTCCGTCAATACTTTTACCGCATTAATATTTTCGAACATTGCGAAGAAAGTATTCCGTTCATTGGACCTTCAATATGTACGACAAGGCTGCCTTGATAAGGCGCACTCTCGAAAGATCGAGCATCGCACATTGAGCGTGCCATCGGTACTTAGAATCCTTGGGGGATATTGCATTTGTCTGAGCTCGCCTTTTGTTCAGGTACGAAAGTGAAATTGACGCCGTGCTGGGCGCAGCCTGGGATTTCTTGATTGCTCTTAGCTGTTCTGTAGTCGAAACCGAGAGTGATAATCCGATGCTAGGGTACCTGGCAAAATTTGGAGAGACTGGGAGCACTACACGCCGCCTCTGGGCATCGCAGACTACTCTACGATGGCTCTTTAGCGAGATGTTGGAGCAAGATCGTGAAGAGGCTGCGGCGATTGATGGAGTTCAAATACGGAGGTATAATCCGGTCCCTATAGGTCTTTGATAAGCACGAAGAAGACGCCGCACTTGATTCGACCGTTAATACCTGATGGCTGCCAACTTTCCACCCTCTGATCCTCGACCGCAAGTCAATCCTTTATCGCATAGCCAGGTAGCATGCGACAATCTTTCTCTTTTGACAACAACGGCTGACAGAAGTCACAGTTCTACCCCCATTTGACGTCAACCGAAACAATCCAAGATAGGCAGAACCATGAAGTAGCTCGGAGCTCAAGACATAATGATCCTCAATGGGTGTTAGAAGATGATCAGTTCTTTGACTGTGTAATGGCACCTCTGTCATCTCCATCACGCACCCCCGTGAATCTTCTACCGAATTCCACGAATCCCTTCAACGAGCTTTTTGGGAGCGCAGTGTCTCCGGAAGAGTCGCCGAGGCTGCTGTCAAGCTTGAAAGATGAATCTCTTCATTCACTCAACGGCTACTGGATGTACAATCAGACTAATCCCACGACATACAGTACAGCCTTTTGGAAAGGCGTGCTTCCTACTGACCTTGGTAAGGAGTCTTTTCTGAAATTGCTGGATTCGGATACGAACCTTTTCATCCTGACAAGAAGATAGATGGTGCACCTTCCGAGCTTCATGGGCTTTTCAGCGACCAAGATCTCATTGATGAAACATTCTCGTTGGAGGAGGAGACTTTGCCTAACTGGCCACAATGTTCATCTGCACAGGGTCAACCACGCGAAGACACGCTAGCAGCACCTGGAACCACAGCTGCATCTACCTCAAGGGATGTTTCTACTCACAGTGGACTTGAGCAAACAAGTATTTCTATGCGTGGGTTGCCAGCTCTAAGAACAACTACGCCGATTCAAGCATCACATCGGCCAGTCACTCAAAATGATGTAGTATCTGAAACGATTCCAGGAAGCCGTACCGCACATAACATTGTTGAGAAGCACTATCGCAACCGGCTAAACCTTCGCTTCAGCTCCCTTCTCCAAAGCATACCACAGGCTGTGCTAGGGTCGACGATCAACAGCGCTCGCAGATCAGATGGCACTGAGAGAAAGGTCAGCAAAAGTGAAGTCTTGGCCTTAGCGAAAAGAGCAATTGAATTCTTGCAGAAAAAGCTCGAGGTGATTGAGCAAGAAAACAAAAGTCTGCGTGGAGCAACAAATACGACTGAAGGTGTTCGGAATTCAATTAGCAACGCGGATTAAACGCTTAGTAAGAGCGAAGCGTACTTCTCTTGTAACTGCAACATGTTTGAATTGCCACTCACAGATATCTCAATTTATCCTTGATGACCATGAAGGTTTCTTTCCAGATTTCGCCAGTGCCTCCAAGGGTTACTTAGTTTAGGAGGACCAAGGTTTGCAACACCGTGGGATAGAATGTCGAGTACTAGAATCCAGATTTTCAGCTATGTAGGGCCTTTATTTCTCTTGCGTACAAATTGTCCTGCAATAACGACTCAGAAATTATCTTGCAATTTCGGGATGTAACGACCGAGGAAGCATCGACCTAGGAAGCATCGAATGTAAAGTTGTTCATAATATAGCTGGACAAAATAATGTGAGGACCGCGATCAAAAGGACACCGTCGTTCGCATGTCCTCCGGTGTCCTTGGCAGGACATGGGCTGCTACCAGATTATGTAAAGTCTCTTCATTAACAACCAGAAAAAAACTTATTTAAACAGGATAGGTCACTTACTTCTCTATCATTGAATTTTCGGGTTGACCTATCTCGAGATTGACAGGTTATTTGCGTTTTCCCAACTCCAGATCTTCCACCAAAATTTCGATATCAGCCGACCCTTGCTTGAGCTCAAGATCGAGGCTCTAAAATCGGAATACAATCCAATGGACGGCAATGAATCTCGCTTGTCTCACATCGGAATCAACGAGGGAAAGAGCATTAGCACCAAGCATAATCGGGCCTGAGGATGAGACACAACATTAAATTGTGTTTTAGGTGAGTCCATGTACAACTATCCTCGTTAACTGAGAGTCCTACGTGACCCTAACTGAATTACTAAGCCAATTGCACACTGATGGTAAGTACCCGTTTGGGAAAATGGAGAGTCCAGACAAGAGCAATTCCTCCACTGATGGCAATGTAGAGTGACGCAATTATTGGATCATGTATATCTTCCAGGTATGGCAAATCCACATAATGTTCGTGTGCGACTACGGCTAAGAGGTAACAGCCCTCCCATGGGTGTAGGGTTTAGACCTTGTAAATGACGTCTGATGGCCAAATGCCGTAGGATTTCCAGGAATGCCAGTGGCCATCTCCAACACAATCGTGTTTATGGTTGAACATTGAATGCAGCTTGAGCCGAAGTACGAAGACGGCGTCAATATGTTTGGTACCGTCTCCTACACTTCCCTAGAAAAACAAAAACCGAAGAATTCTAGAGATGAATGTTAGCTACGCTGATACACATTTCAACATAGTGGACTTCACGTATACGTCGATTGATCCCGATGCAGAATTATCTGTGAGCTTTCTGTCGTCCTTCACTCGGCGAGGCTCAATGAGCTCGTTTGTCGCGGCGGAATAGGGGAATCTTGCGGGAGCACTACCGGCTGGTGGCGGCGGGAACGATAGAAAATGGGGAAGAAGTCTTTTACTTGACGCTGTACGTTACCAGGCTCTGAAAGAAGACGGTCACAAAGAGTGTCCGCTCTTTTGTAGAGTCAAAAACCCGCAAGCCCCGTGGTCCAGATCAGTTCAACAATTACCGTAAAACGAGCACTTAACTGCCATCGAAGATCTTCCAGCCTTGCGGTGTATACGAGGGTCATTGACGAGAACTTTTGTCGAGATATGCATCGATTCGCAAGAATGCTTTGTAATTGTAAGACGTTCAAGTCAGAGCTCACTCTGTCACGTGACTTAGCTTCCAAGCTCAGCTTCACGTGGTAAGAAATCCTCCCAACCTTCATAATTTTCCGTTCTTCTTAATCCAGACACACTAGCCTTCGACCTCAAACACAAGATTTTAATTTCCTCATTTCTCTAAATTTTGCTAAAACCACAGTTGATCTCCTTTGAGGGCGAGGACGCGAGGCTATGATGCTTTTACTTCGGAAATCGGAATTCACGACTTCTTGCGAATACCGAGCCTGGGAATTATCCTGCCCGCTTTGATATCGATGCTATCATTTCCGGATGATGCTACGTGCGTTCTATAAATTTTTGTACCTCCTCTCTTGACAAAAAGCAAAAGCGAGCCAGGAAGCAGAAGATCTCATTCAACGGTTGGTAGCGACTTGCGAGATACAGCCCCTATTTGAAGCCGTGTTATAACAAGGTGGTTTACTCGTTACTAGACTTAGGGATTTTTTGATCTGAATTGGATTGTGGCAACTGGCATTACTGACTTCGAGAAACATGCGTGCAGGCACATTGCCGTGCTTCGGGGCGTCTCGGGCACGAGTTTAATTGGGGAACCTGTCTTTATTCATTGAGATCGTCCGATACGTACTAGATTTTTATTTTCAAATCTTCTTCTTCATCATTCGATGTCAGCACGGCAGCTCTTCTTCAAGCACCAGCATCTCGTCATTCGTATCGTCAATACGACACATCCCCGAAGCATCACCACCAAAAACAAAACTCGCAGTGGAAACAAGAAGCTCATCCAGTATTCCAGCCAATTTATTCCCACCAATGCTGCCTACAACAGCTTCCATGACGGTGCTCAACTCTTCCGGTATATCGTCACGCAGTGATACTAAAAACGGCGCATCGCAAAACGACATATGCTGCGTACCATTCACAACAATAAGCATCTTCTCTCCGCGCAAACGGTCATAGAAACCATCATAGAGCTCAGCTTCTGTAGTATCCTCTGGTATCGGACGTCCCGCTAGGACAATGGGTTTATCCAGACCAGTATCGTTGACAGAGCCATAGATTGTACCATCAAAGTCGAGACCTCCAAGAACACGTGAGTCAAGTGATGCAGCCAGAGCTGCTGTAGCACCACCTAATGAGTGGCCATATACAAAGACTTTCGACTGATTGTAATTGCTGTGAAGGTTCGGAAGTTGATTTATGAGATATGAAATATCTGCTGCTCGAACCTGGAAAATGGGTCCCGTCAGAATCGACTACACGACAGCAGCAAAGATATCACTCACTTCAACCATATTCTCAGCCAACTCATTACGGAGAACATCAGTTATATTAAACCCATACACCACCTCCCCACCCGGAAACTCAACAATAGTCGCATCATAAGGATGATCAACCGTGATAACGACAAACCCATGACTTGCCAAATCTCGCGCCTGAACACTCGAAAGCAATCTCGAAGTCGTAAACCCCGGCGAGAAAATAATCACAGGATAATCTTCACTGGACTGTTGCAACGGCTGCTTACAAAATTGCAGTTCAAACCCATCGAGAATGTAATTTGGCACCCCTAGACTATCTAGGATAAGGTTGTATTGAGAAGCGGTTGCGGAAGGGAGGTAGGGTAGAATTTCTGGCTGGCATGTGTCGTTTGTGATTTCTAAGGGTGAGAATATAGATATCAAAATCCGACGTTTTTGTTGCTTTTCCGTGGGCGCGAGAGTGTCCCATCGTGTGTGGTCGGTAAGGGATTTTGTAGTGTAGGTTATTGGGTGTGGGCCACGAGGAGGAGGTAGGAGGATACCTGTGGTGAGATTGAGAAGGGCGAAGAGAATAAAAACGTGCATTTTGGGTTGACTTTTTAAATTTCCAGTGGGTGGTATAAGGGGTAATGTGGGCTTGCGATCTATGCAGTGTACTTAAATACATATATATATATACATGTCTAGTTTTTGCAAGGCATGACATGGTGAAATGAATATTACCATAAACCCAGATTCTATAAGTCGAAATGATACATTCTTCACGTACAGTGGTACGTGTGTGGTGGTACGTAATCAAGTCTCTCGACCGACCTATCCAATCGCGTATCTTCCGACACACATTTGTACTGCCAAGACCTTTTACCAGATTACAGAGTATGGGCAGTTATCAACGCTAAAGGTGCGTAGAAAGGAAGACAACAGAGAAAGCTTCAAAATCAATTCTTGGTTTCTATTTCAAAAGTAAACGAGAACGTCAGGTGTTCGAGAGGAGTTAACATGGGTACAACCTTCTCCCATTGGACTCTGGAGCAGGACTTGGCGTTCAAAACATTCAGCCAAAATCCGCCCACTCTCTTATTATCCACTCAGCGGGCATTGCAGCCTGGTAAATCGAACCACGAAATGGTCTTTACCATCCCGTCCATCTCTCTCGACCACAGGCGAGTGCCAACAAACTGATGCTACGTGTCTTAGTGATTACCCACGACACTAAATATAGAAAAGGCCGTATATGTATATGAGACGGCCCACATTCCTCATCAGGGACGAGATGCTTTGCGGCTTGCAGGATCTATGGTGCTTACTACCACAAAGGGAAAGCTTTGGGTTTGATTGTACTTAGCTGTGACTTTGGAAGTGTCACAGATTTACTGACATATTGCATTACGAAAAAACTTTTTGTACATTCTGATCGTTAGAGAATACAGACCCATATCCCTTCCAGCTTCCAGTGGCATATATACCCACTAGAGACTGCCCACGTGCGGTATTGACCGTGTTAAGCCGGCGTTAGCGGATAAACCGTACGTTTATGGACTATATACCCTATACGAACCTCGCTTTCCGGACAGTATGTGTGCCATTGGGCGGATACCAAGTCCTCTGCAATTCAATCTCGTTGCCCGACAAACTAGTTTTTATAAATTGAGTCGAGGGCCTAGGCAGTAAGGTACGATATTTTCTCAAGTTATATGACTTAGGTACATTACCAATGTGCCTCGCGAAGTTATCCAATCCCTAGTTGTACCAGCAGTCTTATACAATCAGCATTTATACAATCAGCATCTTGACTATCCAAGATAACCAAATCTTAGCGATTCGATCATCCAATCCCAGACACCAACGTCTGCGATATAACTCTTGGCCTGTTTCCCTGGCCAGAGATAGGTAAACCGAGGGCCGCTTACATTAAAGGAAAATTGCTTTCCCCGCGGTTCGGGCGGAGGAAACTGATTCTGTGAGTTTGGTTAGTCTATGCTGTGAGTGTGCGATAGAGAGATCTTACCTTTGGTAGATGGCACTGCAGGTGTGTGGTATCTTTTATATGTCTGACTCAAGCTTACTTGCTTGCATCATGCTAGATTTCTTAACCACATATAGATCCATCTGATGAAGACATGGAAGCCTTGTTTCGCGGAATACAATTTCTGACCCCAACGCTCTTCCGGTGGTGACATTGGATCCTGCTACTTTAGTCAGTCTACACCGCGACGCTATAGTGAAAGGGACTTACGTGCCATGTCCTATACTGTATCCATCTTCCATCCCACGTCGCCCAGCTTGTTTGCTTGCTTGTTCGCTCGCCTGTTTGTTACTTCCCAGACCCCGCCACAACCGTTCAACTCCCACCCGGCAAATTCCTATAATATCCAGCATCCGCACTCCCCGCGACCGGGAACTTCTTCAACCACTTCGCACACATGTCACTCGGCGGATCAATCCAATCGCCGTACTTCATATACAGCCTCTCGTTCATCTTGTGCCGAAACGCCGCCGTCAAGGGACTCGTACACGCAAACCGCATGTGCTGATCATAACTCATGGTTTCAACTGCTGCCATGTACTCGCCGCAAGCCGGATCCGCACCAGCTTGGAAGACGTTGAACTCGTCCTGCTTGGGCCAGCGGAAGCCGAGGTGGCAGAGGAGTGCGAATTTGGAGCCGGGGCCGAGTGTGTCCATGGACTGTGAATGTTAGTGGGAAGGATGGAAGGGGGGAAGAATGGGAGGTGCCTAGGTGATTGGGGGGCTTACGCGTGGGAGGATGTCGCGGTAGAATTGCGAAGAGAGTCCGATGACTGGGTGTGGATCGTTGGGGGTCGGGACTCGATATCCTATCGCCTTTTGCAAGAACGCGAGAGTGTCTTTCCCGCGATGGTCGCCGCAGAAGACAGGGAAAGTCGAACGTCTGTTATGGCGTAGATCTTTAACCGTGTAGTCCTCCTGCACAGATCGATCACCCATACACGTCGACACATCAAACGCATAGCCAGCTTCCCTGCCTGTCTCATTATGCATCGTCCGATTAACAGAACCTATCATGAAATCCTTATACTCCCAATTGAACTCCGGATTTGCCTTTGCGAAACTCGGGATCCCGTTCAGGGCGGTGGAGCCGATGATGAAGAGATCGTTGGCGGCCTGGTAGAGACGCGCGCTCATACATTTCATTTTGGAGCCAGGGATGGGACAGAAGAGACCGTCGGAGAAGTCATTGTGTTTGAATCCCGGCCGCGTTTGGTCGATGGCGCAAATTTCGTCGAAGTAGCCGCATGTTACGACGTTTTCGTCGAGACTTAGGACTTGGCCGGCCATATATCGAAGGAGTTTCTCTGCCTCAGCCCTATCTTCCGTCAGTAAATGAGGGATATATACAAGATATGGTGTGTTACTTACTCCACAATCCCACTAATATCACTCCCCCGCAACAACTCCCTCGTCCCTCCCTCCCCCAACCAATTCTGCTCCTCCAATATCGCAGCCGCGAGACTCGCCTCGCCGTCCACGGGAAACACCCCATCGTAGATCGTCTTATAACTAACACCGATGGCTTTAATTGCATCGCCGTGCAGTTCCTCCAGGAATTTCATCGCGTTCTCTTTATTTTCCAAATCAAAATTCGGGAAATTGTTCGCGAAGCCGCTGCAGATCATGGGACTGTTGTCGGAAGGCACGATCATGAAGCCCCGTTTTACTTGGTAGCCTACGCCAGGTTTTGTGGCGAATTCGGTAGCGAGACGTGTGAATTGGCCGAGGATGACTTGCCAGATTGCGTTTTTGAAGGCGGCTTTTACGGGGTCGGACTTGGAGGGGGGTTTGGAGGGGGCGGGTTTGGAGGGGATGGGGGGGTGAGGTTGGGGGGCTTCTGGGTTGGGGGGAGCGGGGGCTGAGGGGGGAGGGTGAGGTTGTTCTGGGTTCGGCGAGGGTCCTGATTCTGGTGGGGGTTGGGGATGGGGAAGTTCTGGATTGGTAGCCGGAGGGGAGTCAGGTGGAGGAGGTGGAGGAGGTGGAGGAGGTGGAGGACGTGTAGGAGGTTGAGGAACTTCTGGGTTAGGAGGAGGGTTGGAGACAGGTGGAGGAGGTGGAGGACGTGTAGGTGGCGGAGGAGCTTCTCGGTTTGTAGATGGACCAGATCCTAATGGAGGCCCAGATCCCGACGAAGGTCCAAACGCCACTGGCGGATCGAGAGTCTCAGCGCGAGCAGGACCAGCGAGATCTCTGTCCTTTCCAGTCGCCCCGTCTCTAGTTTTAAGAACAGCGAGTGGTAGGAAAGCTTTGAAGGCACCCTCTATACCCGACATGAGCATTGGGTCGGCTGCCATACTTACAAGAGACACAAAGGCTAAAAAGTCCACTGGGTTAGCACGGCATTATCAAAATTTGACAGTAGACGTGAGTGTCTCAATGTAAGAATTTGAGGACACGAGAACCATCAAAAGGGATATACGTACCTCGAAACCCCTCCAACTGCCATTTACAAACATTATCCAAGTCCGGATCCGTATGATACGCCAAATATCTAATCAAATCTGGAATGATCGGTCTCGCTCTCTCCGACACCAGATTCGCAACTTTCTACACACCAAGTCAATCACACGATCTCTCCTCACAACATTCTAACTCACCTCCCGATGCTGGGCCAAATCATGCTGATCGGTAATAAACCACTTCATGAAATCCAACCTCCTTATATGATTCCTATTCTCCTCGCAACTCCCCCTTACACCCCGCTCATCACACTGAAATTGCACTTTCAGATCCGCCAACGACGGCATCTCTCGACACGGCCCAGGGCGGTTCATCGAGCAGTCGAAATTCACAACTCCCATCATGGACTCGACGAACCATTGGATCTCGCCTTTGGCTGCGAATTCCGGGTCGTTGCGCGCGGTCAGCGTCCAGTTTGCGTACCAGGGGATGACGCCTGAAGCCTCTAGATTTGAGGGAGTGAGACGGTAGTATTCTGTTTCTTCGGAGATTTGGGCGGATGTGAGGTTTAGCGTGGAGAGGGTGGAAAGGTCGAGGGCTTCTGCTGTGGTTGCGAATGTAGAGCGGAGGTTGTGGCGGGTGGAGTTGGGGGAATATGGTGGTGGTAAGGCGAAGGTGGTGCGGGTGAAGTAGCATAGGGATAGGATCGCTCGAAGCGATAGGATTTTGAGTTGGGGAAACATTGTGGTGGTGTGAGTCTTTCTGCGTCAGTAGCTGCGAGCGTCGATTGTAAGCCACTTATTAGCTATGTAGAATTGCTATAATTCTTCGTCTGTTCTCGTGGTATAGTTGTTTCATTGTCTGTTATAAAGTTCGCGGTACTTAAAAGGGGAAAATCGAATGCAGAAAGATTTACAAGGAAAGAGGAAACACTCCTCAGAGATGACATTATATGCATATCGACCGTGGTGCGCGAACACCATTCTAATACAAGCCTGTTCTTCGTTAGTATAAGCGTTAAAAACTAGAAGTCCTGAGCGCTTCTAGTCGTTAAAAACTAGAAGCCTTTTCGCCATTCTAGTTTTGAAAAAAAAACTCCACTCAATAAAATCGCTTCTCATTAGAAACCAATCATTACTTTCACACCCCAATTCCCCAGATTTTTACCTCACAGCCCTTGTGCGCCTTATGGTAGGGCGTAAAAACTTGCAGGGCTAGGAGGTTAGTCGCATTCTGATTTTATAGTCGGGAACGTGATGGTTTGCGATTTTTACTTTAGCGAGAAAACACGGAAAATCGAACTTCCAAACGCAGAGATGGATTAGATTATAGGGATTTGTTGTTCTCAGCTAATGTTGCGAGATTCTCTCAGTAATGGATTCGGAAGACCGTCCGTAGTGGATGTTGTAGAATTCAAGAACGAAGAAATCGAGGGTGGGTCTAGAACTACAGCCGATAATACATCGTTGTTGATTAGTCTGGTAACTAACGAGGTGCGCTACGAAAACCTCTTTGAAAATTAGAACGGCATGACGTTCTAGTCATTCAAACACGTGAGTCATATTAAATATCGCGACTTTCTAAGTTCATTTAGTACAAAGTCATGGGGAAAATGAGGCTGACGGTTTAAGTGACCTCGATGAGAGGTGGTTTATATAGTTGTCATGTGATGCGACAGCACGTTTTGCTGCGGATTTTTAGTCTTATGAAGTACAATCAGCGATCCAAGATGGGAGGAAGCGAGTATTCTTTTCAATGCGAAATCATGTGGTGACTTAGCACACTCCTTCTTCAATGCCAAGGTTAGTCAAGAACTATCGGACACGCATTCATTTATGGATGGCTGGCTTACATCTCTATTGAGATGAAGGGGACTGTGATAAAAAGATCGTATTCCATTTAAAGATTAGCTCGTGCCCAGCGAAAATACCACTTCCCTCCCTAAGCTGAGCTTAAAATCCGAGTCTTCGTCATCGAGTTACTAATAGAAACCGAACAGTCTCAGAGAAATCAGTCTCAGAGAAAGGTCGCAAAGTTTTGTCTTCTAGAACTGTAAGCCATTTGACAGTCTTATTGACTTGAACATTATATTTCGTTATTTCTAAGAGAGTCGGTGAGAGTCGTTACTTTGGTAACATCCTCACCAAGTTTCTCATAATCACGCTTCAATATACATGAAATCTTGGACCCACATCCTAGATACACTTAAAACTCAACTCCCACTACATTTACCATACCGAAACACATTTTCCAACATAACCATAATCAACCATAGCGTCATCCGTCAACATCGTCCTCACCCCCCAACACCCTCACTATGCTCCTCTCCACCCTTTCAATCGCTTCTCGAACTTCGTCACACCTCTCCCCAATTGCACTTTCCAAAGACCGTCCAACATCGCTCTCCCCCATATTACAAACCTCAATCAACCCCTGCATCCCAACCTCCAGCACCCTCAAAATCCTAGCGATCTTCGCTCTAACCACCATTTCTGCCGCATTTGAACTATTAAACGGCGGCATATCGAACGATGAGATGACGTTCTGGATATGCACGCGTGCTACATTAAGATCTTGAAGGTCATTTTGAATTGTGAAATTCCGATCTTGAGGTACGTCGAACTCGAAGTTTGGAGGAGCTGCTGGATCCCAGGGCCAGGGTATTGGGTACACGTTGTTGAGCGAGGCGGATGAATCGAGCTCCATTTCTGTATTTGGTGTGAGAGAGGGGTTGGTGTAATGATTAGATTGTTCCAAAAGCGGTAGGAATTGCGTGATCTCTGATGCCTCGAGATTGTTGATTTCTTCTTCGAGGTTCATTTCGTGTTCAAATGTTTCTGATTTTACGGCCGTTTCCGTACTCAATATAGTTCTGGATGATCTATCTGAATCGATCGATCCTCCACCCTCAGTCTTCGAAATAGCCATCAATGTACCTTCATATTCAACCCCAGCAAACTCCACATCCGTCACAGTCTCCGACCCAGACGACAACCCCCCAAGAAACTCTGACATCGGCGTCGGAAAATCCTCCATGCTGACTTGATCTGCAAGTGCATTCTATTCCTGCATCACCAAATCAGCCCATAACCTTATCACAATACATCAGATCTCTACTCACCGAAGTTGTATGACTAGTTCCGTCATCCCACGTTGATTCTGTTGCTGGCGTACTAGATTCATCTAAGACAGCCGACATCTCCGAAAATGTCGGGCTCGGACTAGATGTAGGTGTAGTTGAGCCTGTTGGGAAAAGGGTGGATATGGTAAATTCATCTTGGAGTTGTTCGGATGGTGTTGGGGAGGGTGGATCGTTGAATGTTGATGAGGGTGTGTAGTATTCGGTTGGTGCTGGGGATGGTGGGTTTGTTTCGTTGGAGTCTGGTGTTGATGAGATTTTGGGTGCCATGGTGGTGTAAGTATGGATATTGGATTGAGAAAGTGAAGATGGGATATTTTGATATTTTGAAATGTCGAGATGAAGAAGTGAAGCCTCTTCTTATATGGATTTATAACTTCATATTTGTGAATAACGGGATTGAAAATTGTGATTATTAGATTTAGGTGAGTGTGATTCAGTTGGTAACTCCTATCTTAATTAATCAGTATTGAGAAACAATCATAAGTATTTGAATGATCCACGGACACCCACCGAGGTCTCAACCGGCCGAATTATTCATAATGCATCGACAATTCTATCCTTCATATTGCACAGCTGCGACCTGATAATAGGAGAAGCTAACTCCGAGCATCGTAGAAAACTTCAAATGAATTGTGATAGCCATGAATACCTTTAACAGTATCCACAGCATCAACTCCATACTATGAATTAAGACCAAAATCCTTAAACCATATTTCGGGAAATGGTACTTCCGAACTTAGTTTTTGGATCTTGATTGTCCAGATTTAATTTTCTGCAGGTGGGCACTCGCACCTCGGAGTCTCATTACGGAGAACCTAGGATTCAAGACCTCACTTCTGCGATCTTAGTTCTCAGATCTGAGAAGTCAATCCAGTAAGACTTAGTAACTGATTGGCTCTAGGAACTGATTGGCTGAGCAGCTCCTTCAAAAGGTCTTGGGCGGTTGGGACCAACAATGAGACCGCATCATCATAAACGGCTTTCAACCAGATACAACAAGCACAACCCCAAGGATAAGCATAACCCTTGACGGTCAACAACTCCATCCCAGGAAGCTGACTGCCGCTCCATCAAGCCAACCAACAATCAATTTATATCCTAGCATATTGATCATCATCCGAGAAGTTGGTGGCGTTATTACCTGCGTCTACCCATACCCAACATCCTGACGGCCAATAATCAGACCTTGGTCTCCAACCAACAGTTGGGGCCATATCGCGCGTATCAGAAACAGTAATTGATTTCCCCTCCTTGAGGAGTACGGGAATCCTGGGAGTGGCCTTTGTGGGCAGTGGGGTATAATAGATTGAAGGGATGTGAGACAAGGTGTGGGGGGCAAGGGGGAAGAAGCCATTTACTAAGCTGCGGGGAATATTGGTTGGAGTTCTAAGTTCTAAGTTCTCAAATCTCAGAACTTAGAACTTGGAACTTAGAACTCGATATTCTGTATTGCCTGGCTCTGGTTCGTGAAATACGAAGCAGCTAACAAATTCACTGACCTCCAAATCAGAAATACAAGACTCATCTATGGTTTACGCTTTTGACACACCCATAATACATAACACAATATACCACATCAAATCATACAATTACGATTACTACTTCAACTCCTTCCCATCATCCGACGACAAATCCTGTCTCTGTGTCGAGCTCATCACAGGATCCATACCGGCGACGACTCCAGCTTGCAATTCATCGACGTTGACCTGCGGGCCGGTGAAATTCTTTCGACCGTCGACGAACCATTGTACGACTGATATGACAAGGATGATAAAGAAGACCACGACGCAGTAATCTGTGGCGAGTTAGTAAGCTTATGAAAGCTTGTGTGAGAGCAAATGGGGAGACAGTGTAGAACATACTCATGTTTGAACCCGTGACTGGTAATTCTGGAGGGAATAAGAATAGGACTGTTGTTACAATCACATACGCGAGACCGATCTGCGATGGAAATTAATTTGTATCACGAGATCGTAGAGAATCACTTACCAAGTTAGCAATCCAGCCCAGCCAGGAAGGTAGTCGAAAGGGTCTGGAAGCCGGCAATTTTCTCCTGCCTTGCAGACAATTAATAGCAATCGGGATACCATAAGAGACGCCAAGAGCAACGACCGAGGCCGAAATGATGGCATTCAACGCCGCGCTGGACCCAAGCAGAATCAATCCGAATATGACGACTAGCACTTGCGTTAGATAGAGTGCGTTGAGTGGTAAGTCAAGTGTCGCGTGGACTTTCGCAAAAAAGCGTGAGTATGGGAGACCTCTGTCTCTCGCGAATGCGTAGGTCATTCGACTCGATGTTGATGTGATGCCGATTGTCGCGAACATGAGACATACTAGAGGGAATCTAATTTTATTAGAAATGTTGCAAGACCTCTAATTTCATACTTACAACAAGAGACACGTCGCACCAGCCTTGCTTCCTGTCGCATTATAAAGAATTTGAAGAAGCGGACCGGCCGTAGAAGAAAGAACACCATCTGGCCCATCCATCTGCCCAGCAACAAAAAGCAGAATCGTCAGGAAGATGAAACCAGTACCGATTCCTATTCCCACACATGCGATCATGATCTTTGGACCTTCGACAGCGGGATTGGGTATTTCCTCGATCATATGTGCCACTGCGTCGAATCCCGTCAAGCCTAGACCCGCTTGAAGCAAACCAAGCAGCCATGCGATTCCATTCGGCCATCCAGTGTCGTTTCTGAATTCAGTGAAGACGAATGAAGCTGATGAGTAGTTTGGGGACGCGCAAGCGAGGATCGTGATGGAGATTACTGCAAAGCCGGTAATTGACCAGATCAAAGCTGATTTTGTGATCAATGGAAGAAGTCCTGTCATGAATGCGTTCACGAGGAATGATACGATGTTGTATCCCAGGTAAATCAAAAAGGCGTGCCAGCGCTGAGAAACGAAATTTGGATTCCATAGGGATATTGTTCCCAAGATTAGTTGAGAACCTAAGAGTCCACCGCTGGCAACGAGTGCAATCCATCCGCTAACGTTGATCCAACCCGTGATCCAGCTGAGTAATGCCATCCATTTTTTGGGTGTGATTACAGCAACCCAGTGATATTGGCCACCCGCTGTCGGATACGCGGACAGAAATTCAGCAAGGGATACTGCCAGAGAAAGATTGCAGATACCAGCGGCTATACTTTTGTTAACACATTTTGTTAGAGCCTAGATATTGGACTTACTGATCAAGCCCCATAATACCGATGTTGACCCACCACTAGGAAGCGCTAGCGACAGACTGGCTGAAAGTGCTGTCCAAGAGTTCAATATTGCAAAGGCAAGACCTAGCATTGCCAATGGAGAGAAGTTACGATTGAGTTCCGCTTTATGCCCAAGGGCCGCCAATTGTGCTGCATCCGCATCATCTCCCGGATGACGAGGCATTCTGAAAATAGGAAAGCCGATTCGAGAATTGTTGAAAAGGCCCAACCAAAGAAGATGGAAAATATTGAAAGTCCAAAGACAGAATGCCAATCTGTTAAGCTTTGGGGTGCAGGATATCAAAGGTGGGAGGCACTAGGCACAGTCAGCACTAAGCTGATAAATGACTGATTTAAGTATGTCAAACCCTCTTTGGGGTTGACACCGATGATCCAAGGCAACGCACATCCTCGTTTGCTCAGTATCTCAGTGGTCTCGTCATAGTACATATTACCCCTGGCACGGCACGAGCCCCTATTCCCCAAATTCTGGGGAACTTTCCCAGACAGGAAATTAAGCGTCGAGCAAGAAGAAAAGCAAAACCCGTAAACATAGTTATAGTCTATTCGAACCATATCAAGAATAACGGCTAGTTGCTAGGTACGAGTGGAAATGAAAGAGGGATTTGAGCGTCCGATGGTTGGGGCCAGGGTTGTTGTTGAAAGTATCCGAAAATGGGGCAACATCGAAAACGCCACTCAAAGCTTAAAATCATCTGATAAAGCTTAAATGATCGCTAGCTTTGCTGAGATATCAATGGAAAGGAGTGTCCAACACCATTCTGATGGGCTAGAAATCGAGTCAGGGCATCATGGCAGCACGAACTTGAAATGTTGAAGGGTACACTCCCAGATATTAAAGAATTCGGGATGAATTTTTGAGCTCGTAGAGTCCGTACGCAAGCTTGCTGTTTGATGAAGAGCATGGTGATAGCCATTGAGCATTGTACTGTGACCGACGTCCGATACAATTCGCCAGATTGTTGCAGCTGCACTTGGATGCAAAAGTCATGCGGAACCCAGGAGCAAAACCGTCGAAATGGAGCGAGCTTTAAACTTCAAATCCCACTAGAAAGAACAAACAAGTTGATGGACCGTGGAGATGTCGTCGGTCTCAAAGATGGCCGCGTCCCCTGAATTCCATGCGGCTTGCCAACTTGCCAAATTCGCCTTTTTCGCCTAAAGACAAGTGCCGCTTCTCCTTGAGTTTTAACTTTATAAATGCAATAGCTGATTCATGGAAGACTTTCAAAACATGGAGAGGAAAACGAAACCTAAATTTTGAAACGCTGCACGGATGCAAGTCCAGCAGCTTGTTCACCTTGAATCCTTTCCTTTCCGATTTTTAAGCGGCTTGGCTTTTGATAATTCAAACGAAGAGCTCCTATTGTAAAGAAGAAACGAGGAAAGAACGTATTCCAGTATTTGGGGAGTCGAAGTGGTTGTATGGTTGAACCTAAACATGCATCGTGATCAAAAAATCGGTAAGAGGCTTCGAGGCCACGTGATAGTTTGAACTGGAGCCAAGTCATGAAATCGTACCTATATCCAACATCTTATCTAAGATCTTATCCAACATCGATGCCCTGAACTATGTTTACATATGATACATGCCCAAGTCAATAATATTCAAACATGATCAAACCACACATCACTATATTCAAAAAATCAACTCAACCACGCCTCATCCAACCCCTCCACAAACCCCCTCTCCACCCCAAAAAAGCTCTTCCAAACATCAATCTCCATCCTCCACGGCCTCATCTGCACCGCCATAACGGCCGCACACGTCAATTTCAAACACTCATCCTCCGTCTCCCCCATAACCAGCAGCTTATCCCTCTTAATCTTCACCCTCCCATTAAAATAGGCTTCATGTGGTTCCACCCTCAATCTGATCGTGTGATGCATACTCCACTCGGAGCAGGGCATATCCTTGGGGATGAACATCCAGATGAAGCGACGGCCGAGGATATCTCTGAAGGAGGTGGCGTCGTGGTTGTGTGGGCCGATCATGAGAGGGTAGAAGTGAGGCGCGGACCAGAGACGGAGGACGGAGAAGCGGGCTTCGGGGTGTTTGGCTTGGAAGGCGGCGGCGGTGGTTTTGAAGGAGGGGATGAGGTAGGGGTTTTGCATGTGGGATCCCATGGTTATGTTGTCCATTTGATGGCGGTAGTCGATGAACATGTCGAGGGTGTTGGGGCGGGAGGGCTCGGTGGTACATGTTACCTGGCCGGAATAGTATTCGTCGGGGCGGGTGCGGATGACGCCTGCTTTGTATACTTTGGTGGTGTGTTAGACGTGTGATTAGGAGATGAGGAGAGGAATGCCTTACAATGTGCAATAATAGGTCGTGTTTTGAGATCCCACTCTTCTGGAAGAGCTTCCATATCCTCCTCATGTTTCATTTTATCCTCAGCTTCTTCGAAAGGTTGCCAGAATTTGGCAGATCTGTACATTGTTGAGGTCGAAGTGCGACAGTCTGGAACATGCTTCGCGCGCTCGGATTGGTTGAACATTAAGGAATCCTTGAACTTTGCACCCATCTCGGACTTTAGAAAGTCTGATCTGAAGAATGGCATTACTTTAGCAATTGCTTTCTGAGCGTCTTTTGAGTCTTCACGAACGACCTCCATTTCAGCCATTATAGTGAGGTGTATGAAACTCTTTTCGTTCGTCATTGATTTCTCACTGCGCCTGCCCCACTTGCGGAAGGTTTTCACCATATCCAGCATTTCAATGTATCGCTCCTGGGCAAGTGGCTCAAGGTCTGCCTTGTGCCACACTTCCTTGAAGACTTTGCAGCGTCAGCAACTTTTCGGTCTAGTATGGCAAAATAACTTACTTCGAGCCTTTTCTTTATCCAAATAAGTCATAAAGTCATCATCCATACGATCATGGTCCCCCAAGTCACGTTTATCGCGCGGCTTTGCCATACATTTCTTCATCAAATCCATGTAACCGGCTGGCAGGAGTTTATCAAGCAGCTCGTCAGAAATTTCCTTTCCATCATCGTCCGAGGTTGTTGACTCTTCGTGTTTACATTTCTCATGATCACCATCTTCGTCAGATCCGTTTGCAGTCCATGCATCGAGTTCATACTCATCCTCTGAAGATTCTGTCTGCCACGATTCACCATCATCCTCCGTCTCCGTCTCCAAATCAGAATCAACCAGGTCAAGTCCCCGCACAAAATTCTTTAGAGCGAAGCCATCATCTTCCCAAGCCTTGATAGGCGATATCTTTCCGATCAAGGAAGGATCCAGAGTCTTTTGTTGAAGTTCTTCGGGAAACAATATGGCGTCCTCGAGAGCATCGGCGTCATTGTAGAACAGTGACCTGGGAAATGGATTGGTAGGTTCAGGTGGCTCGGCACCATTCGCAATGCTAAGCTGAAATTCCGCCTTTCGGCGTTCCAGTTCCTCTTGCTGGCGTGTAATATCCTCCACTTCACCGTAGAAGAATTGTGTTTGCATACTATTCATCTGCTCCCAGATTGAGATAGTATCTTCTCCAGGACGAATGTCTTTGACACGCTCCGAATCTTCCGGACGGCACAAAGTTTTCAGGATCTCTGCCTCGGAGTTGTATAGATCTTTCCCTACACGGCATCGATGGGCTTTATAAAGCAACTGTGATACTGTCAGTCAAGGACCTACCAAAATGAAAGGCCTCTTACCCCCTGAACACAATTGAAAAGATGTGCGTACGAGTTCCCTGGTTCTAATTCCCAAATGTAGAGATCATAATACTCTTTGAACGAAAAGCGCCAATCCCTATGATGATCCATCTGTTCAAAGAACTTCGGTCCAACACTTGTGATTACATTCCATTCATTCTTAGAAGCTCGCCCTAATCCACTTTTCTCGCGGTGGATCCAACGTTGATCTTCCGGAGGCTTGATCAAGATCCGGCCAGTCTCTGCATCACGTACGAGAACAACTATCAAATGAGCCTGCAAGGCGAGATATTGAATGAGTCGTCGACTAACTTGGTCGTCCCGTTTGATATGAGCACACATGATGTTACGCGCCTCAAACATAGCATCTGTTTCCGTTAGTAGAATGACTAGAAAACAGTAATCAAAAAATAACTCACGAGCACGCCGGTTTTGTCCACGTCTTCCTCCTTGCGTGTGGCGAACAGTCAATTCCATCGCGTCCGGGCTATCTGATTCATAATACGTGATGAATCCCTAACACGGATTAGCATCTTGAACGAATACAGTCACAGACTAGAACGCCAATGAAGGGTCGTGCAAGAAAAGGTACCAACGTACGAGTTGTAACATCTGTTGTCTTGGACGGGATCCAACAAAATCTGCCCAATTGGCTCCCGGGAAGTAATGCCAGCAGGCTAAAATATTGAGTTCATAAAACTCATCCCAATGTCGACAGAGTGCGATGGCATCTTCCAGCCGGCTGTCTTTGGCAATGATGCAGAATTGAAGCCAGCCTTTGCGAGTCATGGCTTTGCTACTGGGATAGTTCCAAATACTTCGACCGCAAATGTTGACTTTGATCTTTTGTTGTTCAAGAGTCTCCTGTTCGCTTTGGCCAAAGTCAATCATGCCACCTCCCATCGTACCAAGAGCCTCATCAACACTCGTACCCTTGCCACTAGCCGCTCTTTCTTCCTTCTTTGCTGCAATCTTGTCTCGTTTCGATATCCACTTGTCAGGAAGAGCTCCAGGACGTTTTCCTCCCCAACCGTTCAAATAGGCAAGTTCATCCTTGGGACTTTCTGGTTTGACTGGTTTGGGCTCGTCGTCTTCCTCTTCATCTGCACGGAATAGATCGGCACAAGCATCTCGAATTTCTTGCAATCCCGGAGACTCCATTTTGAGGCAGAGATCCCTAAGAGCGGCTGGAGTGACTTCTTCGTCGGAAAGGAACTCTTCTACGCTTTTGGCTCGAAGAGCTGCTGGAAGCAAAGCAGCATGGCTCAGTAGAAGTCGACAGAATAACAGTTGCTTAATTTCGTACACTTCCTGCAAAAGTCTTTCGATCTCGTCTTCAGGAAATGTAACAGTTTTGAGTTCCATCACAGGATTTTCAACCGTACCGGCAATCATCAGACCGCGTGACTTGGTGCGATTGTATTGGGTGCCAAATTTTAGACGATTCACCATTTCTTCTTTGGTTTCGATCAGGCTTTTGTCTGGCGCTTGGTCCTGGGTCTTCGGTGTTACCGGTTCGACATTGCCAGTGCTGTTTGATGATTTCTTCTTTTTGGACTTTCTTGAGGAGGTCGTGGGTGTTGACTGACTAACTGAAGGAGCTTTGGCAGACTGCTTGGAAGGAGTAGTTGTGGCAGCAGGATTTGCGTTATTAGATGGGGCATCTACATCATGAGCGTCAGTCGATTCCCGTGGCTTAGAAGGCTCTATCCATAGGAAGTGCTCGATGAGATCTTGACAGCAGTCAGCAAATTTTGTGGCATGTCAGCGGTGATTGAAGTTGCGACTTAACATACCAATGTAATTGCCGCGAGAATCTTCCAACACGCCCTCAATAGGATCCCAGTCGATGTCCGACTCATCTTCAGCATCTCTTTCTGCTAGCCGCTCTTTGTAGACCTTCTCCAAGAAAGCATCTTGCCGTTGCTTATCTTCCTTGGCACGATGTTCCCGCATACGTTGTTCGGTAGCTTTCCAGTGCCGCTTCCATAATGCGGCTTCCATTTTGACCTTCTTCTGCTCCTTTTCTCGGTTTTGTTCCTCTTCCATCTGGCATCCCTGGACCCATTCGAACCATTTTTCGGTCTTATAAAGAACCTGTAACAAATCAGCGGAGCTCTCAAGTATGAGCTGGGCGTTTGAATTACCTCTGCGGTTCGGCGCTCAAGTCTCTCCAAAGCTTTGGCAATGGTAGCCTTTTGCCCTTGCAGTACATCCAGATATTTTTCGTGCCCATAATCCATATCCATGGAAAAGAAGCGACTGTGATGGAGCTTTCTTGCCCGAATTACACGATCCAAGAGTTGAAATTTAAGAAAGAGATGATCATGGAGCTCCTGGCACAGTTCTTTGGTATCAACATCTTCGAATGTTCTAGACGAAAGAGAGATTTTGGCATCCGCCAGGTATGTTGGTGGATTCGCCGACAGACTGTCAAGTTTTGCGTTTCGAAGTTTGTAACCACGGTAAAGACCTGGGAACAAAGTCAGTAAGTCTTATCATTATCAGAACAACTCGATGAGACTAGCATACCCTGACATTACTTCGAGTGAAAGGCACAGAATAGACCATTAATAGAAGTCGCCGTTTCCCCGCAAGTTTTCTCGTCCGAGACGTTCAACGCCCTGCATTGCCCGATAGAGTCCATTTTGAGATCGCGCAGCGAGCACAACACGAACCGATATGTAAAAGAGAAGGGAAGATAAGAAATTCAGGGAAAGTAGATTGAACCAGGAACCGGCTGATCCATTTGTACTCAACGATGAGAGCCTATGCTCGTGGTGTTGTCAAAGCTTAACTTTTGGGGACGCGACGCGCAAATCGAGCCATGACGGCTGTTTCAATGGAGCGGTGTGGGGAACTGGGTCTAGTCACATCTTCTGGACCGGGGGGGGGTTTCAGTATTCAGATCATATTTCGTCAAATAATTGAGAACTATTTTAAGGAGTTGGACGGGGTTTAAGTTCTTTTATTCAAAACAAGTTCGGGTGGTGCTTTGTGTTCATTTTGTGAGACAATAATGTTGCAGTTGAAAATGCTGCAGCATTGAAATCAAGCAGGTCAGCCGAGGCGGGGTAGTTACCTGGAGGGGAAAAGATAATTGCAGCGAACGGACGAGATGATATTGGATGAGTAGGTACCTAGGTATTGAGTAACGCTGATCACACAGACTAGCTATGATATTTTTAGTACAAGTAGGATCAAAGCTGCAAGAACAAAACCCCACGAAAAGCATCAAGAAATCAAAACCATACCAAAAATGCTACGAGCTTTCTGGCCTAGAACTAATGGCATGTACTCCAGCTACCCCTCGCATTTCCTTCCCCCGCACCCACAGGTCGCTAAGTAATTTCGACCACCACCCGGACCTACGAGTACTCTCCCAAAAGCATCGTGCTTTTGAGCCAGACAAGTCTTTTCCCTTCGACGACTATGCGATAATTGCTATCGCATAATATACTGGCCTTGGCAACCATCATGTAGGGGCGATGCGGTCTCGTACGGGATGGTAAGTACGTCTTTGTCCGCTGTCCGTCGACTCTCAGAGGCCCTCTCTTTTTCAATCTTGTAATGTCCGTCATATACGCTTGCTAACATTTTGTCGCAAGTCGAACATGCAGAAGCCGGAAACTTAAGTGTGACGAAGTGAAGCCAATCTGCGGACAATGTCGAAAAGGCTCCCGAGAATGCCAACCGAGTGTAGGAGTGGTTTTCAGACATCAGCAAAATGCGTCTATGAACCGTGTGGGTGAGGTCGATGATGGGAACGAGAAGCTCGGTGGATTCTACGCATACAGAAACTCTTTTAAAGAGAACCACGTGTGGGTAGATGTGCCAAAGAACAGTATGTGTCCAGCGGCTCTCGTGGCTGGGGTCAAGGCTGACGAAATATCGAAAGTTACATTTCACAATGTCGTAGACCCTTACAACATGGAAGCCACGCCTGAGCCGGAAGTAGCACCGAACGTCGAAACTCCTGTTGTTCCGCAGATGGACCAAGCGACAACCCATTATGTCCATACGAATTTTGATGGCGCAGCAGGATTGGAGGCTCTTTCAGCAGCCGCGACGGGTGCCTTTCCGTTCATACGCCCACTGCCAGTTGTCGAACAGCCATCTCCTCATTCTCTTAACAATATCAATTTTCTATTGAATCCCGCGGGGCCGGATAGTACCATCAGTGAGTAGCAAGCATAGACATAGATTATGGCGTACTCATCACTGTGTAGGTGTCCCTACAACTCCGATCGATCCTATTCTAGATCAACGTGTACTGCGACAGCCTTATGGCTCACCGGTAGTCGAAACACACGAAATAGCGTTTTTGTTACGCCACTTTGGTGAGACTACAGGCCAATGGTAAGGTTGGACAAGGACTGTGTTAGTGTTTACTAATTGTTCTCCAGGATGGACCTTTTTGATCTGGGGTGCTACTTTGCGCATCATGTTCCAGTCCAAGCCATCAGGAATCCTCTTGTACGGTATTCGGCCTGTGCTTACGCTGCGAAGCAGCTTGGGCGCGTCCGAGGGAGGAAAGCAGTAATTGGCGGGATTGTCACTCAACAAGCAGATATGGAACTGTATCCTCATCCAGAAACAGTTGACTGGGCTTACATTGGAGCCAAATACTATGATCTTGCGATATCATTACTAATGGAAGAGCTTTTGTCGTCTGGAAACCAAGGAAGTCAAGAAACGCCCCTAAGCCCAGTTACCCCTTTTGATGAGACATCAAGCCCTCAAATAAGTAACGCCTCGGCACGAAGTAAATCCAGAACGCCAGGCCACAAGAGGCAGCGGCTTTCGAAACCGGTCATAGTAGCGAACGCCGATGAGACACTCGGTGCAGCTGCTATTTTGTGCGTATATGAGTTTTTAGACAACGCTAATACCGCATGGTCTCGTCATCTCAGTGGGACAAAATCTTTGTTTGATTTCGCCGAGAAAGAAGGAATGATGCCTGTAGAATCGCCAACAAGTCCTGGTGCATTATCACAACGGATAAAACCCTCGCGAGCACGCAGAGCGACTTTCTGGAATTTTGCACGGCAAGACTTTCTAGCTGCTTGTGAGTGGCAACTGCGTCAAGTTTTGTTGAGAGTACCACTAACAGTATTTTAGTTATAAACGAGGGTCATACGAGATTAAACACTGAAGACCTCGGTCTTTGGAGAGCTGCAGGACTTCTCATAGACGACGCTGGCTTTGTAGTTCCAAGCAATACCGAGGACTCGCATTTCCCAGAGCGGCAAATTACCATGCGCGAAGATATGATTTCCAACGCACTCATCTGGATAATGTCGAAATTAATCAACTACTTTGCTTCTGGAGATTCTGTGGACAACGTCTATCCCCAAGATCGAGCAAGCCCGAATGCATTCATAGGTATAAACCAGATGCTTCTGCTGGAGCGATGGAGAGAGCTTGAAAAAGAGCTCGATGTATGGTATCAAGGATTACCAGATACATTTAAGCCTTGCGCTCAATTACCTCCCATAACAGATGGAACTGTCCCTCGCGACTCGCCGAGGAATGTCTTTTCTGAAGTATGGTACAGCATACCTATGTGTGCCTCGACGATGCAGTCATATCATATGGCAAGAATACTTCTCCTGATCAATAGGCCTCATGAATCGACCGTTCGTCGAACCACACTTACCAGTCGGCTGCATTCCTATCGATCAATTGACGCTGCTGTTCGCGACCACAGCCACCAGATTTGTAGCATTGCACTTGGTCGACCAGAAGGTAGTGTCAGAATCCATCAGGTTCAACCACTCTTTGTTGCAGGTCAGTGCATGCACGAAACACGTGAGCGCCGTGTTATTCTGGATCTACTGCGAGGTGTGGAATATGACTTGGGATGGGCGACTGATTACCGCGTTCAACAGTTATTGAAAGAGTGGAACTGGTCCGGGGAGCTCAGCTGAACGATCAAATCACGTCGCTGTACTGGTTTGAAACAAAGCCTTTCACGCTTATCTATGGTTGTCCCAAAGTTATCGGGGGGCAAAAGAGAACAAACTCTTCGACGACGCTTGTTCTGGCCGCCTTTGTTTGGAACATCCTCAAATTTTGCGAGAACAGTCCATTGAACAATATATATTTACACAACACGCGAAGAATTATTGAATCTAATCCAACCCGAAATACCTCCAAGTAATACAAGAGTTGTTTGATACTAACTCTAGATATTATAATTTGACAGCATTTTCGCGTAACATCAATTGCAAGCCACGATGTCGAATGCTCAAAGGCAAGATATTGAGAAGCCGAAAGGCCAGGAGACAAGATCTCGTCGCGGTGGTTTCACACGTTGGGATCGTAAAGACGATACTTTCTCTCCTCCAACCGGTCCAAAGGCCGACAGACAGCACAGCGGACAGAACGATACGTACTCTCCCTTGGCGTCGGGTTTAGGCGCATACGATCGCTATGGTTCAAAAAGACAAGGTAACAACTCTCGTCGGCGCTCAAGCATTTATAGCAGTTACAATCAGCGATCATACGATACTGACTCCCGTAATCCTAGATCCAACGCTCATTATAGCTACGATACGCGGGAACGAGATAATGCCGCTCATTGTCCTTCAAGCCCATATAATAATCACAACCCCGGGAAACATGATAACGATCCTCGTTCTCCCAAGTCCAGCGCTCATAGTCGCTGGGATGCACCGAAAAGAGACCCGAAATCTCGTCGTCGGTCTAGCATTTACGGCTTGAACCCCAACTCACTTCCCCTCGGATCGAAGTTCAGCAACCATCGTCGTGATCGGCCCAGTTCTCGCTCTCCCAGAGCAGTCAATCTAGGAATGGGTTCACGACTCAATAGCCCTAAAGGCCGCGAGAGTCCTTATAGAGTCATCGCCAAGTCGTCTCCATCCCCACGCAAACAACAGTCTACGTACAAACCGACGGATTACGAAGTCATTCACTTCCTTCTAGACCTTGATTCTCATTCGTCTCTCCTACAGGACAAATATCAAAGGGATAAATTCCAGAATGCAATGGCGCATTGTCAGGATATGATCCGAATGCACGTTATTCAGGTCGAAGGGGAAATGGACTGGCAGGTCACTGATGCGCCCGTTATTTCGCAAGCACAGCCCTCTTGGGATCAGAGATTTGAGCCGTACTTTAGCTTGGAGGATGTGCTACTTGGACAGACTCAGATTTATCATCTTGAGCAAGGTGGCTATCATGCTCATGGTCAAGATACATACTATCCTCCTAGTCCAGATCCTTATTGTCCACCCATTCAGGAGGAGTATAATCCTGCCGCGCAGGGTAGCTGTCATTCTGCTGCACAAAGCGAATATTCTCTCGAGGAGGGTGAAATCTATGATCTTGGCAATGATGGATTACCACCTCCTTTCACGGACACATATATTCCTCCTGAATTAGATCAGTATATACCTACGAATCCAGATGAGTACATCGCTCATATGAAGCGCGAAGATCTGGAGCTGGAGTTGGATTTTATACCGACTTATATGGGATAGGAAATTTCTTGCTTGGATTTGGGTTTGGATGCACATCAAGATTCGAATTTGGATTGAGATGGGCAGTGGGTCTGGATTTCAAAAGTTTGAATTGCTATAGATAGAAAAAAATATATGGGGCTTAGAAAAAATATGAGAATAGAAACGATTTGTTTGATAAAAAATTTGGCTTGCATGAATGTGACTTTTGTTTTTTGGTTGAAAAGCGGTGATTTGTGGATAGTATGATGGGGATGGGTATATAATTTTCTTCTGTTCGATTGACAATTCGGTACTATTGATTCGAAATTCATACGTTGAGTCGTGAGTGGTTTGGTTGGATCGTGAGTCGTTTGAGATTGAGAAAATGTAAGGCGAAGGAGTTGTGGGTTTGAAAGTGCCAGCACGTCGACGACTGATGTGGTACTGCGTTTTCGCTATGCTATGCAGACTGTATTTCGAGACATGCATGTTACATTTCTGCATTCTGCAGATGTATATGCGGGGGTGGGGTTATTCCGTGGGGTACATGATGCATGCAATTCAACCATTTTTCTGAGCTCGCAGGTAGGAAGTCGTGGCTGTTGTTTAGTGGATTGGTATTGGGGAAGATGGAGTTGGGTAGCTTTGCTTTTCTGCTATGTAGAGCGAATTGGAAGAATGAGAGCTTTGATCCGCGAAGAGGACTAGGCAGTTCTTGACGCGGAAGGGATTAGGGAGATGGAGTTTGGCAATTGAAATGTCGTTAGTACAAGTAGTAAGGTACTTTTGGTTTGTGGTGGGTTTGATGAGGGTGGGGAGGTGTTGTGCGTAGGTCTGTTGGGGATGTGGGTTTTAGTGCAGAAGGAAGAACGTAATGCGTTCAGGTGCGGATAGTTTCTTCATCGTTGATTTTACGTAATTGTTATGTAAATTTAGCGTAGGTTTCTTGTGTTGTTCCTTAATGTGGAGGTATTGGTCGGAGGTTGAAGTGTTAAGCTATCTCCAGGAAAAGGTCCACACTTACTCAGCGCATTTCACTAGACCTCTATACGTCTAAATCTTCATCTGATTGAAGTAGTGGACTCAATTCATTGCGAGTGAATATGTTGCGATGTGCAACAAAAATTCCAAATATAGACGTCTCACGTTATAGATATCTCGAGCGAGTGAAATTCCTGTCTATTTAGCGATACTTTGTGAAGGCAAGCCAACGAAGACAGAAAAGGAGTAACAGAAGAAATCGGTTCTCTTTCTGCTTGGATGTAATGCAATATGCAACAGTTCGTGCTTTCGGGATTTGATTTTATAGATATCTCGAGTTGTAAGTTTAGACTCTATGTAAAGTGTTCCTGTACACTTCTCCTTCTTACCACGAGTACCACGATACAGGCAAAACTGAAGTCAAAGCAGTTAGCAAAACTCAATTCCATCTCTGCGTGAATATATTGCGACATGCAACAAAACTTCTAATAAATGTGGTGAAAGATGTATTCCTCGAGTCGTAAGTGTCTGGAACCAAGATATTCAGCATTTCTCAGTGAAGGCAGGTCAGATCAAAACGCATGAGTAATGAAAGAAAGTCAATTCGTTTCTGGGTGAACATATTGCGACGTGCAACAAAACTCGAGATGTAAATAAATAGGCTTGTAGCTGGTTCGGGTACTAAAAGGCCTCGAGCGAATCCCTTGTGCTATTCTTTGTAGATGTAAGTCCACCGAGATTAGAAGATATGAAGATCAACGAATGATGTAGAGCCACAATGTGAACGAGAACTTGATGTGATGTGTAACAAAGCTCCAGACATGTGCTTTAGCTTGTATATGTCTTGACTTTCGAGACATGGTTGTCTCGAGCAGATGCCCTATTTATTCTAGCGAAGATAAGTCAATAGAGTCTACGTAGACAAAGTGTAAATAACAGAAGATATCTATTCATTCCCGCGTGAATATATTACGTTGTGCAACAAAACTCGGAGCTTCACTTTTTTTACTCTTTTGAGCTAGATACTCCGATGAATTGAAGATATGTTGCGCTATCTCTGGTGAAGATGAGACAAGGAAGAATGAGAGATGAGAGATGAGAGAAGAGAGAAAATTGAAACAAAGAACGAAAGAAATACTCTGTTTGAATGTAACTACATGGCGACATGCAATAAAACTGAACTTGGAATGCACCAAGTCAAAGACGTGTAGTAGCGACGTAAAGATGTGTAAGCTGTTTCATACCGAAGCTCGGTCGAAATGGACGGGGTAATTGTGGCTAGACTGTGTATCATCTTGTGTCATTGTGAATGACTGCGATATACAACAAGAACTTGAAATGAAGATATCCTGGATCATAGATGCTTTGTATTGGGTTAGATTGGTTTGGAGTCATTTGTCGAGTGGATGAAGATTGCTCAACATCTACGAGGTATTAATCAATGAGAAGGCATTAGAGGCTCAAGACATGTCTTCGTAACTTAAATATCCCAGCCTCAAGCTCTGTTGCATAGCGCTCCAAATTCACGCTCAAACATTATAGTTCTTCCACCGTTACTATTTAGCAATATGTATATTTGAAAAGGACAGCTGTAAGAGTATATCTGAAAGAAATTAAACTATTGTTTATTGGAGAGTGTATGATTGCGATATATAACAATTTTTTTGAAATAGACTTCTTTAGTTATATACATTTTGATCGTGGAAGTGATGATTCATTGATTTATAGAGTAGCTAATAGTATATTTATAAGAACAAAAATGAGAGGAATTTGGTATAGATTACATGTAATGTGTAACCGCAACGTAACTTGAAATCTAGATATCGCAAGGCATAAAAGTTCCGATTGATAGCTATATTTATTGATCCAATCTTGGCGAAGATAAGTAAATAGAGACAAGATGACAGCAACGCGATTGATTGGCCTATTGGAGTGAACACCGCGGCGATGTGCATTAAACTTCAAAATTTATGGCTATGATTTATGGAAATTGCACTGGGAATTTGAGTACAGGCCATGTTAAGTTATCTTTAACAAGTCTAGGTATTGTTATTATAGACAAATGGATAGTAAGGAGATAAAGTCAACCGTTCTGGGTGAACGTTTCTGCGAGATCCAACAAAATCCAGACACAAATTTCCTGGATTGGAACTTTCACTAGATCGTGCAAACGGGAGATTTCTCAAACTCTTTTTAGTAAAGCTAAAGTGATGAAATCATAAATAAACCAACAGGACTAAGAGAACTTGATATTTTAAGGTCTTATATAACAAAACCAAAACATCAATAATATAATTTTCCGGAATAACTTGACTTTAAGCCTTCTTGAAATATATAAAACTACCGCCAACACGGAACCGGAAAAATAGGGAGAATAGAATTTGGCTTTTGACGTGAATTTTGTGCGATGTGCAACAAAAGTCAAAATTTAGACAGACATCTTGAGTTATGAGCGTTTTGACTTATAGGATGTATCAAATTACATGCGTCTTGGGTGACATATGGTGAAAGCTGTTTTAACCGAAATCAAAGCAGTGACAAGAGAAACTGGACTTTGGGGGTGAACTTTGATCGATGTGCAACAAAACTTTTGATGACCTGGTATCAGAAAATGTCGAATGTTGAGACTCATTAAAAGGTAACTGCGGGAGTGGTGAGTCAAGGTCTGTTTGTCTGATGGTAGGATGTCGGTTGCTTAGAGCTGCAGGTTCGCTAACGTCTGGTATATATATATTCTAGATATGCTTAAAAAACATTAACCTCGCTAGAGAAATTTATATTGTCAAGCTACTAGAGATGTAGGACGTACTCTTTATTTAAACGATATGCGAATGCTTGACAGTATAATAATTGCCGACTTGAATGAACTTGAAGAAGGATCATGTTCTAGGTGCCAGAATGCTTTATGGACCTTGTAGAATTTTGATATTACTGTGGCTTCGTCAAAATGCTAACGAGGCTGTATCTTGATAAATATAGTGCACTTTTGCGAGCTAGTAGCAGTGAAGACGATTCACATGTTGTTAACATGAAAATGTGGGAAGCATCATGAATTGCTAGCCAAATTAGGAGAGCTCGGGCTCGGAGGAGGTAGAATTAAAGGGTGGTCCAAGCTTAAGCTAATCCACCACTTTCTTATTCCCACCCCATCGTATTTTAAAGTATGCAGGCACGTCAGTTCGCATGCGCCAGGAATTTGACAGCAACAACATTCCCATCACTCTTCAACGCCAACTGCAGCCTCATCCAACATCTCAACCCGCTTGAACTATTCAATCAGATACCGCGACCATGACTACCGACTACAACTCCCAGAAGGTGCCCGAATTGAAGAAACTGTTGAGCGACCGCGGTCTTCCTATCTCTGGAAATAAGGCGGATCTCATTGCGCGCCTTCAAGAAAATGACAAGAAGGGTCCCAGCGGCGCAAGTAAGTCTTCTTTACTGGAGAGGGATGTGTGTAACGCAATCGGATGCGCATACTGATGGTAATTGTTAGCCGGCGAGGACGAAATAGATTGGGATGAGGATGACGCCAAAGCTACCACCGAGCCAGCAGCTGCGGCGGTCGCTGCTGGCGGACAAGGACAGGTCGCGAATCCTGCCGCAGTCCCAAACCAGAAAGTAGATGTCGACCCTTCCAAGACTGATGATTTGAAAGTCGTCGCGGAAGGTGAACCAAAAACAACAGAAGCGCCAGTAACAGCAGAGACTACTACTGAAGCTGCCCCTCCCACCGAAGCCGAAGCGCCAAAGCAAGACTTCACAGCTGGCATCTCTCAGTCGAGCGCGGATGTAGAGGCAGAAAAACGAGCAGCGCGAGCGAAAAGATTCGGTCTTACTGTGGATGATGAGGCGCAAAAGCTAGCAGAGCGTGCTAAGAAGTTTGGAATCGAGAAAGCCGACGAGACTGTAAAGGGCCTTGATTCAGCGTTACCAGAGGGAAGACAAAAGAGGAATAGAGAAGAGAGACCAGGCGGACAGGGCGGCCGCAATGCGAAAAGACAGACACCCGATAGGAGAACAGCACCTACGGCAAAACCAGCTGCGGCTGCGAAAAAGACCGGGAAACTTATTGATGATCCTGTAGAGAAAGCAAAGGCGGAGGCACGAGCGAAGAGATTCCAAGCTGCCACTTGAGCAATATCAATGGTACGAGGATACAAAATTTGCTTCGCTGAGGATCGTTGAGAACCAAACAGAACGCCCAAATGTACACTAGATATTATGGAACGGCAATTAGAACCGAATTTGGCGGGTATGGCGTCTTCAAAATTTCCGTACTGCGATGGTTTGTGGCATCTCACACAGACCAACATTTCCTTTCCGTTGTTTGTTTCCAAATCGAGCTATTTCTGGTATTCAGACGCAAGCTGGAACGGTCGACGCACGTACTAAGGACCATGGCTTGCTGATTGACGACATTTATGTCGATGTCTCAAATCTTCTGGCAGATTATTGAATTCTTTCCCTTCAAATCAAGGTCATGGGTTGCAGCGGATCGACGGATTCGTTCAACATCGGAAAAGGGAAACCCAAACCTAGTTGATCTGGGAGTTCACAGGCTTTGTGCTACAGACCGTGTCGTTCCTGGAACGTTTGATGTACATCAAAAAGGACGAATGAGCCTCCAGAGTCGGACTTTGCGCTTCTTACAGGCTCGAGATAACTGATGGATCCAAAAGCCATCTCTTACGATCTGGGTCTAGGAACAATACTGACTAATAAGCTTCACCCGAATACCATGCTCGGAGGTACTGGGTTACTACGTGAAGAGAATAGCATAGCGAATGAGAATGGAGAGTTGGGTGCTACTGACTTTAATAGGCTCGACAGATTGAGTGCTGACGGTCTACACGCTTAAAAGGGACTATGCTCCATGTGCACATGGGTTTCGACGGACGGTACGGGAAGTCTTACAAGTGACAGAAAGGTCTTTGGCATGTCAACCATACAGAGTCCTTAGATGCCTTTTCGTCAAAGTTGGCACTACTAGGATTGAGGACACCCTCTCGTCGTCACGTTATCAAAAACGTCTCCAGACTCCCTTCCACACCTTTTCTTAAACCGCTTCGATCCATCCAATGACAGCCCATACAACCCTGCTCTTTGAAAACGGCCTGCTTAATCCCCCGAATGCTAGTGAACGCGGGGTGAGCTATCAGAAGATGGCTGTCATCGGCCCAAATAAACGCGGATGATATCGTGGTACAGGAAACCAACTCTCTTCATTTCCCTTTTCACGTTTGTCGAAGATTTTCTTCGCCTGCCACGTCAAGGCATGAATTACAAGAAATTTTGAGACTGTGGCGAGTGCATTGCAGGACCTGGAATCCCGTCCATCAAACTTCGCCACAACGCCACCGTCGATGAATAATTGGCGCCGCCAGCGCACCAACGCGCTAATGCAGCGCTTCAGCTTGTACTGTCTTCGAAAGCTCGTGACTCTGAGTAATTTGGAACTTGGAAGAGGGTTTGGGAGGCGATGAAGATGACTGGTTTGCCAGCAAAGTCCCTAATACAGTCGGAAATTTCGATCACCGGACTGTGTTTGCCAGACACTGTGAGAAAGTGACAAGTATTCCGCAATTCATTTGATGGTATAACTCGTCGTTCAAACGGAAAAGTGGGATTCCTGCTAGCAAATCAATGTTCCGAGGACCGGGGCCGCTGTCTCGGCTGTCAAAATCCTAGCTGAGATACGGGAGTTGTGGACGATCACGAATATCCAAAGGATTGACCGTTTGCACACTATTTGTGACTCGATTTGACACTGGCGAAAGTTTAAAGTTTGCAGCTTTTGATCCTTCAGTTGTTAAAGCTGATGAGGGGACGGGTAGGGCGAGACATGTGGCATCAACACGGCTTCGAAGCGATTTTCAGGGGGGCTGATTCTCGCTTGGCGAATCAACAGCCAGCGGCTGGAAGTCACTGTGAATTGTCCATTGGTCGACAAAAGTTTGCGGCCAACAAATGAGATTTCAAAGATCTCTAGTATCAAGCCAATATTATTCAGGATTCCATCGTCACCGAATCGAATACTGTCTTCACGTCTCCGCCGTCTGTGATTCTTTGGTTGACTTGCGGCTTTGGCCGCCCATAAGGATTCATCTCCTGGGCATGTCCTTGAGGAATTGCGGGATTGTATAGCGGCCCTGGCGATTGCGAGACGATCCGTTCTATGCCGCACCTGAAGAACAACATCTTTAATGGACTCAAACAAGTCGCATAAGAAAGTTCAAAGTCAGCAGATCGCGAAGGAGCCTGGAAATGCTGAAAGCTGACGACGGGTCATTCGGGCATGAGCGAAGGGTCGGCGCAGAGAGACCGCTTAAGAGACCCAATGATTCGCAAATGATTTTCGCTGTTTTCAGAAATTCATGGACGGTGAGGCGCTGACTGATCCACGATGTTCAAGCGCACTGGCACTGGGCGTAACTAACCCCACTACCTTATGTCCAGCATGGGGATCTTGTAGATCACCGTGGTCACTAAAATAGATCTCTTGCGACAAGCGCCATCGCGTGTCGGCCATCTCGAATTCCTGTCCACAGAGAAGTCTCGTTGTCACTCCGTACCGTGCTTTGCAGCTGCTCGCTCGCTGTTGGCTTGATATGAACCACTTTTCCCACGCCCCTCCATACGTCTCCTGCAGCAGGTGACTTAGCCGACGAATGAGAAGTACGGCGTCTACAACGACCTGTATGTACTAGGTTCTCCGTTGGCCTGTGGAGCATGTCGTCTTTCCACTCCAGACCGACTCTTGCGACGGTGTTGGGCTCATGATTCTGCCTCATCACTGTCGTTCGCCCTGGTATCCCTCACCGTCTGCACGAATGGATGACTGCCTGTAGTGACCAGCGTCTTATAGGGTACGGGCTGGTCAAGTACCTGCGACTTGCTCAGTGTGTCGAGTGGTAGTGAAGCTCCTGCCCCGCAAAGCTGGCGCAGTAATTCAAGCAATACCATTGGGATTTGGGTTTGGGTATCGACGTTGCATTTGCCTTCATCGACATTTCTCGTCTCTTCTCGTCGCTCCACTGCCCTAGATCACTGCCGTCCGGCGACCAACATGGTATTGTCCTCCTGTAACGGTTTCCACGCAGCGTATCTCGGCCACTCCTGTCCAGCTCCCATCCTGGAAATTCCCGCATGTTCGTTTCCTGGAAAACAACAACGTGCGGGCATTGCCAGTTGCCAGCAAACATCCTCTACGCCACACTGAAATATATGCTGGCCTCTGAGAGCCACAGCATGTGGAGTTGCGGTACTTGAGATTGACGTCTGCTTCGAACGCCTCATCTCGCAAATCCTCGACTCACATCGGCTATCGTCCTCATATACCCTGCTGTCGGCCCTGGCTGGTGTTGCCTCAATTTACTCTTGTTACCTACGAACGACCTGATCGAAGATTCGACTCCACCACCCTAGTAACCACTCTCTTGGAGCTTCTCTGTTCAGCATCAGCACCAACACCCTCCACCAAACTTTGTTCGAATAGTGGGTAGTCGGTTCGACCACCCCCTGGCGAGAGCGAGAGTGTGTCACGCCTGTACACTCTGCTAAAATCTCAGCGGCTCGCTCCCAGTCTCGTCTCCGTCGGTGGCACACACACTCACCACACCTCGTCCCCACAGTCCACACACTTCTGGCCCGTCCAGCCCGCGACCCTATCCCGGAACCACGGTGCGAACCCTTAAACAACAAGACATCCTCCCACACCTCAATTCTTCCCCTCTTCCGTCAATTTTTTGCCGAGTTCAGTCTGTTATCAAATATTAATTGTTATTGTCTTTGCGTCACCTTTCCTCGTCGCACGAAATTCAACTATACCCTGGAGGTGCCTTTATATTCCAGCCTATTTGCCTTATCCATCGCCGATTTTCACGTGCCAGTTCCAGGTATATTGGGCACCATTTCGATCAATTAGTTCCTGCATACGATACGACGGATACCTCAAACTATATCTCTGCTCAAAGCATCTTGTTACTTAGACATCAGGTCCTCACGGACAGACGATCAAGGATAAAACTACTTACATTAATTGCGTTTGTGTAAGTTCTATTGCGATTCCTCTTGGCTTGATGTTTTGCCTACTAACAGGATTAGGCATTTGTCATTTTAGTGTACAGACATCAACCCGCGCAAGCTTTCTGGGAATGTCGAATTATCTTTGCCGGCACAAGTTATAACAAGCAGCAAAATAAATATTTGGTTACCAGTACCTCGCCATCAAGTTATGTTACAGTAAGATAGAGAGACAATGGCATCCTACCAGTCGGACTTCGATCCACCTAATAGGCCAGGAGACTCCACACGGGGCAAGAGGTTGGGCACGTATATGCAAGCTGGGCCGTCGAAAACGGAGCGAAGGGGGAAGGATACACAGATGTCAAGTCAGATGGGGACTCGACGGGTTCAGGCCCCCTCTTCAAGTCGAACACAACCCACTGGACTACCACAAGGAACGTTACGTGAACCCACGACATTCCCAACAGATTATCCAGAACTCAAGACTAAACCTCAGAACACATCATCGTCCACTTTTGGGTTTGGAAAATCAACTAAAACAACTTCAGATCGTAAGCCAGAATTGAAGGGTAAGTCGTCTCGAAATTTTCTTCGCAGGAAGCCATCATCAGTAGCTCAGCAACAGGCTGTTGCCGCGTCACGGCCTGCAGAACGATCGGCTTCTGCAAGTGTTAGCAAATCGGTACCAGCGCCTTCAGGACGTCGACCAAGTCTTGGAACTTCATCAAAATCGACCGATGCTTACAATGAGATCTTTACAAGGCCTAGAGCAAGAACACCAGCTGCGAAGGAGAATCCTGTGATACCCGAATTGGATAGGTATCGGTCCAGACCAGAGCAAGCAACACTTTCAAAGATTAGATCTAATGGAGAGGTTCCGAAACTATCAACTCATGATCTTCCTCCACCAACTCCGCTTTTATCAGGTACCCCAGGAAACTCAGGTGTCAGTAGTTCGTCCCACAGTCATCGCTACAGTGGGTATAGTGGTAGTGGATACAGTGCGAGTCCGTCGACTAGATTCTCAGAATCACCTGGACCTGGAGCGGCTTATAGTAGAGACACAACACCGACCTCAATGTCTTCACAATCGCCTGGACTTATTGCACCAATGAAGATGAACCCTCCTCGACTACGACATGGAAGTCCTGCTATCAACAGACCACCTCCTCTAACCAGGAGGGCTGCTGGCAGTTATTCTGAGAGCGAAGATGCTGCCGTAGCAGTCGAATCGCAGGGCCTTCCTTCATTACGGGAATCTGTCACATCTTCATCGTCAAATTCTACAGTCAAGGGAGATGGAAAGGAAAGTGAGAATAAGAGAAAGAAGAAACGCTTGACGCCACCTCCACCTAGTCCACCGCCACGAGGCTCTTCTCACAAGTTCAAGAAGTCTTCGGATGATACTCTTGGTACTCCTTCGAAGACATCACAGTCACCAGCAAAATCAGTCATGACTTCTCCGTCTGAAACATCGGAGAAGAAACAAAATAATCCTGTTCAATCTCCACCAAAGGGTGCTCGACCAGTACGACCAAGTAGAGAAGGTGCACCAGATCTTCAATCTCAACTGGGTGATTCCTTGGCTGTCATTCAAAGTAACCTAGCAGGACTTTCTTTCCAGTCAGATCGACGACAGAGTCTATCTCAACGGCAACTTGCACCTTCACAGCTACAGTCCCAGCACATGACTCGTCCTCCTATGGCTTCTCGACTTCCATCTCGGAATCCTTCACCCAGTCCTATACTGCCGTCTCCAAGAGAAGCAACACCTGCACCTTCTGGACTTGGGATTATACCAGACTTGAAGCCTCGGGAACATTCCAGAAGCGCAGGTACTCGTACACCAAGCCCAAGTTTGGCAGCGCCAAAATCTCGGTTCGGATTGTTCGGAAAGCGAACTAAAACAGCACCAGAAGTTCCAGCAATTGACAACAAAGACAAAGGCGCTCGAAAGGGTCCTGCAGCTGGAACTGGGCACGAAGGTTATGGTAGGCATGCACTTCGAGGGAGAAGCAGTAGTACTGGAGCAGGAGCAATGGGTCGCGAAAGAAGCCAGAGCAGAGGTTCACGAGCTAGTATTGGAAGTACTCATGCACACGATCCTTTCTTGCTTGAGAGAATGAGTCCTGTCATCATCTCAGGTGGAGGCGAAATCAAAGAGAATCTCAATGCTAGCTTTGAGCATCTCACCCGCACAGACAGTAACAACAGCTTCATTCCACCGCGGCCCAGCCTCGACTCGAGAAACTCATCGAAGTCTAGTTTGGTACACGAAGCCCCTCGCACTACGTTATGGCCATCAGCCATGCCAAAAGAGCCTGCAAAACGGCCTGTCAGACTTCCACTGCCAAAAGGACGTCGTCCCTCAGACAGCAGTGACGACGGAGGACCTCCTCCGTCGTTAGCATTTCGCCGATCCATCTTACGAAACAATGCTTCTGATTCTTCCGTCAATCTTCCACGTCCCCTCAATATTCCCAGCCGCGGTGTATCGCCTGCAATGAGTAGTATGGATGCTAGTCTTATGTCGGACGACTCTCGATTGGATCTGAAACCTGTGATTAGCAGAGGTCGTAAAGAAGAGCCTAAGAAGCCAAAGAAACTGGAGAAGCGAACACGGTCCCCTAGAAAGTGGAATTTCTTCCATCGTTCGCAACCGACTGCCAAAGCTAAGGAAGATGTCCCAGTTCAAGTTGCTGTCAGCAAACCAGCATTGAAGGAGGCTGCTGTTCCGCATTATGCCATGCTGGATTCGTCTGATGAACAGCAGGATATTGATGCGGTGGATCTTGATGACATTCTTCGCGATGCTGATGTTGTTGATTTGACGAATGAAGAGTTGGATGCGCTGCAGTTTGGTAATTATAAGGATAACTTGAAACGGATCGAGAATCTACATCTGACATCAGCGACACCGCCGCCTCAAAAGGTAGAGGAGCCGGTCCTTCCTGCACCAGCTTTTAAATCACCCGAGCCTGCTCCGGTCACTCCAGAGATGCCTCAGACCGAATTTCATCTTACAGATGAGACCGCTCCAACTCGTCCAAGTCGACTTCCTCAGGTGGGTCGTATTCCAAAAGTTGTATCTGCAAGACCACAAGCGACATCACCGAAATCATTCTCGAGACCCTTTGCTCGACTTAGCACCGTTCATCCTTTTATGCAACCTTATGCGATTGACAAACAGTCGGTCGCTGTCGGGCCTAGTCCACAATTGTCGGTTCGCGATTTGGATACCGAAGAGGATCGACAGGTGTCTACGATCGAGAGCGAAGGATCCAAGGAAAGTTCGGGCGACTCTAAATTGAGTGCAGATGGTGCTAATCACCGGGACTTCTTGATATTCCCATCGAAGAGAAAGGGTTCAGAAGCGACTAGCAGCTCGGGACGATTGAGCTTTGTAGGTACTTCGGGTACTACAGCAGTAATCCCCGAAGTCGGAGCTGACTTGGAAGAAGACGAGGTCTGGAATGAGTTTGACGACTTAATTGAGCACGATGAAGATGAGATTCCTAAATCAGCTACTTCGTCTTGTGGTGTCCCGTTTCAATACGAAGGCTACGAAAGTCGACGGATGAGAAAGAGTAGAATGAGGGCCAAGGAGTCACCGACGATTGCTTCGCAACCAGCTATCAGAGAGCCACCGCAGGAGGCATCGATGACAAGACGCTCGGAGTTTACTACTTCCAGTGTTTACAGCGCTGATTTGAGTGCCAAGCTGAAGGAAGCACTTGCACCGACACCGACCAGCGCCATATCTTTTGGTGATTTCATCTCGGGGTATGGTGATCGTAATAATTCGGTCGATGACGATTCCGGAACGAGATTCTCTCGCGATATGCAGAACGGCTTGAGATTGTCTATGGCATCGAGTCATTCTGATTGTACTCAGTTCTCCGATGGGGATGTCTCGCCGATATCTCAAGTCAACCTTCGTGTTGGATCGATGACGGTCAGCAAGTGGCTCACCTTTGGACATGTCTTGTTTAGTCCGGCTAGGGAGGAAATCATGCAGCTTGAAGGGTCTTCAAAACGCCATTCCATCTTAGTCATCGATGGTCTTGGTAATGGTATGTTTTCCGATCTACAGGTTATAACATTTGCTAACGAACACTGTAGACGACTGGTCTTTCTACGCTGCTGAAACTTATCCCAACTCGACATTCTACAACCTCTCGCCCACACGACCGCTCTCAGCTTCAGAACGAGCATCAAACGGCTCCTCATTTCCCCTCTCCCCAAAGAATCATCGACAAGTCCAATACACCTCCCCCGCCCACAAATTCCCTTTCCCATCCTCCACCTTCCACGTCGTCGTTCTTCGCTTCCCCTCCGCCATGCCCGAATCCTCCTACCGCAACATCATCTCGGAATCCAAACGCGTCCTCAAACCTGGCGGCTACCTCGAAACCGCCATCCTCGACCTCGACATGATGAACATGGGCAACCGTGCCCGCCGCGCCGTCCGCGGCCTCAAAGTCAAACTGCAAGTCGCCAACCCCAACACCTCCCTCTCCTCCGCCTCCGACACCGTCCTCCGCTACATCGGCAAGCGCGGCTTCCACGACGTCAAGATCTGCAAGGTCGGCATCCCCGTCGCGTCCACGGTCCCCTCCACCAAGGGCGAGCGCAAAGAGGAACTCAGTCTCGCGGATATGATGCGTGATGACTCGCAGGTCGGCGACGAGGGCATCACGAAGATGGTCGCGAAGGTCGGTCGCTGGTGGTTCACGCGCTGTTATGAGTTGGATGTCCTGCCTGATGGGGATGTTTCCCGCTCGATCTTTAGTGATGCGCAGTTGTTGGCTGAGTGCGAGAAGTGGAATAGCAGTTTCAAACTCGTCGTTGCGTATGCGCAGAAACCGGTTGTGGCGAGACGCAGGACGGCGAGTGTGTGAATGAGCACCTTGTGTGTGGTTTGTTTTACGTTTGCACGCATAGCGGTGGTATATTTTGAGGCGCGAGCCTGTCTAGTTTTCGTTTCGTTGGTCACGGGTTGGCTTGGTGATCTGGTATTGCTAGTTTTTAATGTTTGGTCGGTACTTCGTTCCGTAAGCTGTACTCAGGCGGTACTATGTTCCGTCATCTGTACTGCGCTGTGCCCAGTCACGAGGAGGATACAAGGAAGAAGCCACTTGTGGAGGACAGAGATCAGGCTCAGGTATGGGTATGGGTATTATATGATGGATATGAGATTATGGATTATGGGTATCATGTTTGCATTTGGAAGATTTTTGGGTGTATTTAGCGGATGGTTGATTAGCGGATGTCATGGCTGTTAGCGGATTTTTTTGATACCCTTGATAGTTTTAGGTTAATGGATGGAAGTAATTGGGATGTTTATATGAATTTGTGGAGATGTGGAGATGATGTTGTGAGGTTTGCATGGGTGATTTTATGACTGTGATGCTGGTTTTTTCATAATAACTTTTTCTATACTGATTTCAATAGGGGGGCCGTTTTCCAAAATGACGCACGTTTGCAAAGATAAGTAGATGATGAGATTTAAACCCCTCTTGAAAGTCCCAGGCAACTTCTTTTTAGCATGACGAAACTAAATAGACCGATCTAGATTCCATTAAGTAGAATTGCGTATGCCAAGACATATTGTCCCCCGCGCTTTAGTACTTTGCCAAGACAATCTCTTCTCAAATTGACTTCAGAGGAGAGTATAGTTTGTTTAAGGAGGTCTTGGAGGAGGCGTGATGAACTTTTGACGAGATGGTTGGAGGTTGGAGGTTGGAGGATGAGGACATGCTTATGGATGGGACTAGGTGGGGTTTGAACAGGAGGGGCATGGGTTTGGGGGGATGAGGGGATGAGGAGGATGGGAGGAGATTGTGGGATTTGGTTATTGGAGGGGTTTGGTGCAGGATGTTGCGGATGGATGAGGAGGTTGTGATGGAGGTGAGGGGGGCTTGTGTAAATGGACTTTTGATGCTGTGGAGGAACTGAGTGGGAGATCCTATGATTCCTATGGGTGGCTGTTGGCCTGATATTTTGCTGTTGTTTGTTGTTGGGTTTTGGGTAGAGTTAGGGTTTCTAGAAGCAAAACCTTGACTGGGTATCGTTAGATTTAATTTCACGGAATGGAGATAGGCTTCGGGGTTTAGTTAAGTCTTAAGAGCTCCACCTGACTCTTAAGTTGCCCGACATAGTTGAATAAGTTATTTATGGGTGTATTCGGGAAGGAGCTCAGGAGATATGGTCCAGGGAGGGCGATTGCATGTCTGTAATGAATCTTTGGGAAGAAATTAGTGTTTCGATGCTTGATGTTTGAACTTCATTCATGTTTTCGAGGAGGGTTGAAGTGATGTTCTATCATACTTTCAAGATCATCTTCGAAGCGCGGGAAAGTTATACTTAAGAAGTCGGAATAGCATTGGCAGCCGATCTTGATTTCAGTTACTAGACTTGAAGTGAGTGGATTGCACCTTCTTACATCTCATCCTTCCTTTTTAGCTGATAGACATTTTTTGATAATCGATAAACAACATCAGAACTATTCAAAACATATCCCTTCCAGTCTTTCTTCTCAGACTAGCCATTGACGGACATGGCCGAGAATAAGTCGTAAAACCAGCTGCTTGGCTCTTCGTCCTCGCTTAAAACCCCTTGACCCATCATTCGACGGATGGGGCGACCACAGATTTAGTTCCTGAACTAGTGTTATTACGTCACACAATTCCACACTTTTCTAGAAGAGTGAAGAGTTTTTGTGATTCGGATCACAAGGACGCGATGCTTATTAGAACCAATCAAAACTCGAGATCTGAAAGTGGTTTCGCGTTTTAGCGTTGTGATCTGGATTGTTTAGTGGCTTGGGATTAGGATATATACGGGGGTTCTTCGAGATGAGGAGGATTTCTTAGACATCTCACACACACACAATACTTCACACACACAACTTTGACAAATTCACGACAAACAATTTTTACACACTTCACACATACACACAGTGACACACATCGCTACCCAAAAATCCACAACTACCCGTTTGTAATCCCTAACTTCTCCCCTTCCAGCTTCAATTCTCTAATATCTACCCAAGCAACATGATATATTACACAAGTTTGGGCGTTTCTACCCGTGAGGGCAGGGAATACTGCTAATCACCACCTACCTCATGTGTCGGGTGGCTTGCGATTTCGAACAACGAGTGCTTCACTAAGGCTATCGACTCCAATAGCACAGATTTCGTAACATATATGCTCCTTCCGGAAAACAAGGTCTGCGCTGCTCTTGGCAACCCTGGTGGTTTCGGTAATGGAGGTGAGTTCTCATGTCTAGATTATTTTGTGGAGGATTTAGCTTACACTTCGCTAGATTTTCTTCATATCTGATTGAGTCCTCGCCAATCACCACCTACCTCATTCTGGGGTGGTGGTTGGCCCCAAATTCCAAAATACCTTTTTTCGCCATATCCGATTGCTCTTCGCCAATCACCACCTACCTCATTCTCTGGGTGGGGGTTAGCTTCAAAACGCAAGTCATCAACTCGCGCTGATTACAATTCAAGTCATCATATCAATACCTCTGATTTAATGGCCCGGGGAGAGTTGCAACACCCATCCAAGGGTGGAAACAACGCACTCCCATGGCCGGCAATCAACTTTCTTGATCACTTGGTTCGGGCGGGGAATTTTTGGAGCATACAAGATCTAGCCTGTCGGAGGTCTTCCGCAAATACGGTCTTTCGGTCAAGAAAATATTGACAACTCTGTCTTTGAAGCAATTAGTCAGTCGGGCCTGCTTCTTTTAATGTACCGTTTGCTAACGTCTATCTCAGACTTCCTTGGTCACTTGATGCGCCAGGGACGGTGACCATCTGAAGCACATGTCCAAGCCGGGTCTCTCCTTCCTCTCCAGTATGAGAGAGATCCCATTCGACAAATCGATCTTTGAAGTAATTAGTAAGTTAAACTACTTGCTTCACCATACTACTTGCTAACATCAGTTTTAGACTTTCTTGATCACTTGCGCGCCGTTCCTCGTAACACAAAACAACTCTTTCCGCCCCTGGGTTTGGATTCTCCACGGCAACGTAACTGAAAGCTCTACACTTAAATTGTTGAGGGCCTTCTGAGGCACATCTTCAGAAGGAAGTCGCTGCCCCCAAGGACTCATACAAGCCGACAAATACATTTCGGTCCCGTCGTCCACTGGCGTAGAGTAGCCTTGTTGTTACGATCTATTGAAGCTATTCAGAGTGGGAGAGTAGATTTCGATCTTTCCTCCCATGGCTTCCCTCGGCTACTAATTAATCAAGGAAACAATCGGTTTTGGTGGATTCCTTCAACGCTTCAATTGTAAATAGTGTGCAATCAAAATTTATCAGCGGTGCAACTCATGTAATCATTCTCTCTTGTAGAGACTTGTGATTTCGTGAGCGATATCATTATTTAAATGTGAAAACGCATCTCGACCTAGAAGTTTTAGAGCCATCCTCTGCTTTCACCACCAACTCTCGCAAAACACATTCTGCTTCATCATGCCCTCAGCCTCCTTAGCAACCTTCACATACTCATCCGTCATTCTCGGTACACCGCATACATAACACAACACTTCTTTCCTCTCTGCAACAGGCCCTAGTGCTTCATGTAAATCACCGTGCGTGAGTCTCCTCCTCGCAACATCCACCCCGTCGGGATTGCTGCCATCTGAAGATTGATCGGAACCCACCTTTCCTGGCGTTAAGAACAATTTGAATCCACCCCTCATGCCAAGCTCCGCCATCGTACTCTTAATACGCTCGAAAAACAGAATCTCATCCCACCTCCTCTGTTCCTTCACACTATACAAAAACCTCACCTCAACATCTCCCTCCCCACTTTCCTTCAACGTTTTGATATGCGATAACATACTCATCAAAGGATTCACACCTACACCTCCGGCTACGAAAACCACACGTTTGAAATTCCGGGGCGGAGTGGGAGGGTATGTGAAGGAGCCGCCGACACGAATTTGTAGGAGTGTGTTGAGGAGCTGGGGTTGTGGGAGATGAAGGTATTTTGCTGGTGGGTTGGAGGTGCGTTGGATTGCTAGCTCGATGTAGGGGTTGGGCTGCGAGAGGGATGAGGGGGCGGAGGTTATGGTGAAACCGCCTGCTTTGGGGGAGATGGGTGTGTAGGTGTCGAGCCATTGGCCGGGGAGGAACTGGGGTTGTTAGTATAGAAGGTATGGATTTTGATTTAGAGGGATAAGTGAAGATGATCTTGTGATACTATGGGAAATTTGAATTTCTAGGAGATGTGGGCGGAAATGCGTGTTAAAGAAAGGAAGGAAGGAAGTAGCTTGGACATGAGCCCTAGTTTACATACCTTGAGATCAGAATTCTTCTCCACAGGTGCAAGTCTAATCAATCGTATATTCTCATTAACCTGATCTATCTTGTCAATCTTAACTGGATGTAGCCCCTATTCGTTCTCCTCATTAGCCGAGAGTCTCCCCTTGAAGTAAGAAAGAAGTACTGACATCATCACGTGGCTCACCAGCAGTCCTCTCGGTATGTGGTATTGAGACTTTACTCATGATTCCTCGTGGTATGAAGGAGGATACTGTTGCGAAGGATCTGCGGAGAATCATTTGGATTTTGTATATCTGCACCGGATGGAAGTATGTTGTTGATGGGAGGGAAGGATTGGTGGAGTGGGATATATGTGGGTCATCGGGCTGTCACGTGAGAGTCTGGTCAGTGCTTTCGTTGTCTCGTCGCTTCCGAGCAACCTCCTTTCTCTCTTTCTTTCATTCTTCCAAACTTTGCAACATTACCAACAATCTCAATTCTTTCGCCAGTCATTGCAATTTAATCTTACATTACACCACGAGAAAACATGGTTTTACCATAATTTCTATCTCTCGGCAATCCTACTTTATCCTCCTTCCATTCAATATTCGTCGATATCCATAGAATCCTCAGTCTCATTACCAGCTTCTTCGTCGTACTCCGGCATATCCGAGTCCTCAGCTTCTTCGTCAAACTCTGTGTTAGCCGGAACTTCTTCATCTTGATCGGTATCCATCGCATCTTGGCCCTCATCATCGCTTTCTTCATTAGATTCATCGTCGTCCGAACTGTACAACCTATCAATGTCCCAATATATCTCGCTGGCTTTCCTTATCCACAAGTCAACAGGATTTATCCAAGACTCGGGACATGTTTGGCGATTTCCACCAACGCCTAGTGGCGAGGAGTTCTGGCTCGGATCTAGAGTGCCTTGCCGGATCTCCTCCAGGTGTTTTGCAACCAATCTTATTTCTCGCTTTCGCTGCTCGATTGGTTCGCTTTCGTCCAACTTGGCTTTCTTGAGACGTATGACACCCTCGTTGAACAAAGGTATACTTGGTTCACCGTCAGTTTTGTCAAACCGGCCAAGGACTCTCTGCTTTTCTGCCTCATTGCTTTCCATTCCCACAATTCCAGCCTCATCCTGGACATCAATCAAGTTGTATTTGCGACGTTCATCGAGTACATCTGGATAGCGTAAAAGGCTCATGAAACACCACTCGAAACTTTTCAAATCAAGCTTGAGCCTTTCCTGCATTCTAGCTGGTCTTCCGTCTCCTGGCGGAACTTATTAACAGTCCTCCACGTTCCTCTATTCCACCTCAGGAGATTCAGTCGGGGTTCCTCCAATTCTTGGCCCACTTGCTTCTCCAGGTTCAAGAGGTTGCGGACAACTTCTTTATGTATTTCTTGCAGCTTCCGTACCAATTCAAAGAAGTCTTCGGGGGTTTCAGTCAGAGCCCCATTGTCCATTTCGTCGTTAATTCTTTCCATGACTTCGGCAAGTTTTCTAGACAAATGTTGAATAAGGAAGGAACTTTTCTGAAACATGTATTCCTGTTGACTGCGACCCCATAGCCTTTTTCCCATTTCATTGACATGTATGTCCTGATGTTTGACTTTCAATTTTGAAATTAGTTTCTCGTGTTCCGTACTGTTCTTACGTATTCTAATTGGCTCAGGAACTCCTTTTTGGCCTCGCTTCGCTTCATCTTCACATCTTATTAGTGCTCCTTGACCCCTTGAGCGGCCCTGCAAGACATCCATCCCAAATCTGTTCTCTTTAATTAGTACGATGCTTCCATTTAGTTCTGTATTGCACATACGCGCGAACCCCAACTTTCTAAACATAATTAGCTGTGTGAATTCTAATGTTACGCGCTGGACTCACCCAAAAATCCTCACTTTGCATATCTACAAGCGAGGGTCAGTGATAGGTAACTTTCATGCTGGAAGGGAAACATACCCTCGTAGAAAGTTACTGGTATTGGATACATCTCTTGAGTTTCTGGCAACTCGGGTGTTTTCAGCACGGGATTGGCGCTTTGTTCGGCCCAACGAGTGGTAGGCCAAATCGCTTGGCACCAAAAGCCCAGTGGCAGCGTCATGCCCTCAAATCCATCTTCGGGGTATCTTCTGAACGGTTCAGGGATTCCCGAGAAAACCTTAAAAGTTAGATAAAGCCCTGTAAATCTTTCCCATGCTTACTTTGTGCTCGAACGCATAACCAATTTCTGCAAGTTGTGTTGACCCTATGTACGGTTCTGGCTCTCCTCTTTGTGCGCGTTCTGCGTCCTCTTCGTATTTCAATGCGTTCCATATGCTATGCTAGCAAAATTTCAGTCCTGCTTATACCTCTGAAAAGGGAAAACACTGACCATTGTTTCGTGGACAAGAATATTTGCCGCAAACCACTCAAGACTCATTTTTTCAGCGTCCGTCAAATCGGGTCTAAGAAGAGGTAAGACTACCTGGTAGGCAAGAAAACTTCTAAATTTTGAGTGTCTATTCTCCCTTTTGGCAGACATAACGCTATAGCCCCACGTCGTAATCTTCTCTGCGGTTTTTTCTGGCTTAATAGCTTTTTCGAAAGTACACATAAATCCAAATTCCATGGCGTGTTTTGTCCTCAATACATCAAGTGTCGTCCTTAATTTCTTCTGGATTTCTTCCCAGGGTCTTTTTGTTGACGGAGAAACAATCTGAGTAAGCCTTTTCGGATCGGTCAGTGGAGGGCATCGTTCCTCTTCAACCTGCTTCCGTCTCCCAAAAATTAGGGTATCGAACTACTTGGTGTGTTAAAATTTCATGCTTACAATTTCGCTTTCAAGTACAATTCACCTACCCATGGAAGCATATGCATGTTTGGTAACAGATACGTCGCCACTTGTAACGCAGGCTTGAGAGCCTTTTTAACAATCTGATTCCTCATTTCCCAATAACCTGATGTATTTTCCGGTTGATAGGGCATCAAGTGAAAACCGAAGAGTGAATCCCTTGTGCCATTTTCGTCATACTCCTCCAAGACATTCTCGGTGGTTTCCCAGCGTCGCAATATATCAAGTATCGGAGCCCTCAAAGTCGAGGCTTTCAGCCTCCTACTACTAATCGCATCCATATCAGCTAATTCACGACTCGTAAACCCATAGAGCCATTGCCTCTGTGTATTTTCACGTTTCTTCTCGTTGGTTCTCTGTAGTCTTTCTTCTTTCTTTTCTTCTTCCGTCAAATCGCATTCGTTTCGTGCGAAGAACGTCAGGATGGGCGTGTATCGCTCCTTGTGACGTCGACCAGCCAACCATTCGTGCTTATGTGGCCATGGTTCGAGTTGTTTGGGTTTCCTCTTTTGCCCCTACTTACCGCGGAAAGTGGTGCGGAAAGGGGATAAACGGATCTGCGTCTCTTTGCTGCGGAAAGTGGTGTGGATTCGGGGTTTACGGATTTGCGTCTCTTTGCTGCGGAATCTGGTTTTACTGATCGAGGTCTCTTCGCTGTGGTTTTTGGGGTGGTGGTGCTGTAGGAGAGTATTGCGGATGTGACCGTCCTCTTGGGATTCTTTCGGGTTCCCGCCATTTCGCTGATAGGTGACTGGGGTTGGAATGATGATGGAGTTTCTATCGTGAGAGGCTTGAAGGAGAAAATTGGTGTTGTTAGGATGTTTTCTTACGAAAAATCATGATGTTGAGAAAGGCTCTTTGTTGTTGGGTTTTGAGGATTCTGGTTGCGGATGTTGTGCTTTGTTCTTGGTGAAAAGCTCAGGTTTACAAAAACAAGGTTTTCTTTGTATTCGTTTTCTTGCCCGCTCTCGAAATCGTGTTTTTTCCTTGAATTCGTATATAGGTCTTGTAAATTTGAAATTGATGTGTGCCGATTCTTGGGAGCTAGATGTATGTATAGTATCTAGACATCCGGTGCGATATTCGGTTCGACACCGAGCGCTTTCGCAACAAAAGTAAAGTAGTAAGCATCGACACCAGAAGAATAGATTGTGCAAATCAAGCCATATAACTGCTTGGCACTTAACGAATAGTCTGCTTTGATTGGAGGTTGACGGAAGCCGGTCCAGTCCACAAGCGCGAGTAGCCCATATACCCTATCCCTTTTATCTAAGCATTCATGCGATCCCAAGCTTACAAGCAGTGAAGACAAGGTCAACCATACATTTCGAGTACTAGTTCTCAGGCTCAGTGCAGTATGTACGAAAGGGTACCTCCGCACGCTAGCATCCCGGTTAAACCATAACTTCGACATTAGGACGTCCAAAGGTATTGTCCTTGTATCTGAAACGAACAGCAGCGTTCTTGCTAATACAAATTCCTGGATAATCCAGAGTCGACGCCAGTATGCTGCCCCGAAGAAGTTTTTCACCGTGACATCTTCGGCTATCTCAACGTCGCTTGCGGTTGAATATAATTCCAGTGTACCATTCTCAAACTTACTAATGTGTGCAAGAGATTCATCGACGTCTGGTCCTAACCAGACCATGACAAATGACGCGTTGGTATATAGATCACCCATCCTTTGAACCTGACTATTACGCTCAGGAATGTCGTCCTGATTAATACAGATTGCATCGATCCAGAAGTACTTCCAGCGACCTGGCGACAGTGCTACATCCTCATCTTTGGCACTCTGAGCATTCTGTACCTCCGGTATCTCAGTCTCGACTTCCATACCTCTACCTGAAACTCTCAACTTAGACTTCTCATTCTTACCCTGACCCTCCGCAAAGTTCCTCAAATGCCACCCAATCGCCCTAAGCGCGAGGAACAAATTCTGATGAATACTAAACGACCGCCCATTGACGATGATTTCGTCAACTTCGTCAGGAGAACCCCATACATAGCTTAATGCGATATAATCTGGACGGTCCGCCAAATCGAAAACTTCGAGTGCAAAGTTCCCATCGTCTTTGAAAGACAGGAGTCGGATTTGTTGGGTGTTGTTGTCTAGAGGAGGGTAGAAAGTGGTCGGGAGAGATAGATTGGCCATGGGGGGGTGGTTTGACTGGGATGATAATTTGGGTGATCTCGAGGTTGGAGGTGAGGTATGATTAAGTGATTAGGTGGATTGGTGAGTTTTAGATCAGGTTCGAATTGTATACGGGAGATAAGAATTGTTGACTTGAGTGTGGTTTAATCGTGTTTGGTGTTCAGCTAGCTGGAGGGAGGCTTGGTCGTGATCATGCACATCAAGCCTGACCAGTGGCTTAGCTCGCCAGAATAACCAATCGTAGGCATATCTCAAAATCATCTGATGGGGTTGAGTAAGGCTCTACCTCAATTCGTACACGCACAGTAGGCTTGAAGGTGTATTGTCTTCAGGGTTTGTGACAGCTCTTGGGAGAATAACCCCGACGAATTTAACTAAGTTGTAGTTAAAAAAGCAAAGAAAGATTGAACCCAAATATGAGCTGAAAAGAGACATTACTAAAATTTGTGTGAGACGAAAAATTGCCATAATAATGGTCGGAAATAGCTTTATTCCGATCCTTTCGTTAAATCATTCTGGCACTCCTTCAGTTCATCATATTTGTCCAGTCATCTAACTAAACTAGCCCACCCAGGATTCTCAACCATTCACTCACTTCTGTACTTGCGTTTCCTCGCTAGCAAGAGAGGCAGCCCGTTCCTTTTTCTCCATAGCAGGGAACTCATCAGCAGCCTGGGCATTTCTATTAGTCTTTCTCCTTCTCAACAAAACAAACGCCACGATAGCGATAAGCGCTAGTCCGCCGACAACCGAACCGACAGCAATGCCAGCTATAGCACCCTCTGATAGACTGCGAGAAGAAGATGCGGATACGTATAGTGTAGGAGCGACCGAAGAGTCGGGAGGCGTTGCTGTGGAAGGAGTCGTTGAGGGAGCGACGAAGTCGGTAGATGTTACGTTGAAGCATGGGATTGTACCTACAAAGGTGGATGCTTCGATGAGTGTCTGTTTTTGTTAGAGGTAATTGGTGACAGTCAGTCATATACATACAACATCAGCGCAGGCGTAGAAAGATTGAATCGGTTCATTCTCGTAGGTAGACCAGTATTCAAGCTGAATTGTGGCGTTCGCGCCCGCGGAAATATTGTCGGGGGTGGAAGGGACACGGTAACATTGGTGACCTGGATTTACTTCTGTGATGTTATGAACGATTTGTTCGTTGAAAGAGCCTTGAGCCGTTGGGTCTTAGAAAGTGTTAGCGATGAATCTCTAGACAATAAGGGGTAGAAGTACTATTGTCGTAAGCGATGCGAAAAGCGACTTTATATGCAGTTGTTGCGATGGATAGGGAGACTGCTCCATTGTCTGTAATCGTTCAAGTTGGCATTTGTTGCTTCGGCGTCACCTAGTAATGACGAGAACCAACCAAGGGGAAATTGAGTCCTATTCGTAACTCCAGAATTGCTTCCACATGGAGCAGTATTATCAGCATCGGCAGACCAAGGACGATCAGTTGGCCAAAGGAACTGAACTGGTCCCATCACAGATCCCTCAGCACCAGCAGCATGAGGCGTAAAATCAGCAGCAGCGACTGATGAAACAGTCATAACAGCGAGAAGAGAAAGGGGTTGGAACAACATGTTCATAGCTTGATACTAGACAACTTGTTGTCGTTCTTGCAATTGTAGGTCTCGAAAAAGGATACTTCGTTGGTTGAGGAATGAAAAATCCAATTCTGCGATTGCAGAGGAAGCGCTTATATCCAAGATGAGAGTAGACAACAGCCTCGATTGATAGCAATTCCTCGTGCACTCCAGCCAACAGCCTCTAAGACCTTCGGTCATTCGCACATGCTTACAAGGTAATATAGCGGAAACCGCAGCCTCGAGAACAATAGCCGCTTGGCAAACTCGTGTTGCAATGCATAGTGGCAGCGAAGACGGTCGGATATTGCTCATCATTGGAAGTGCAGTGGTGTTCTTGCCACCCTTGCCAGTCACCCTTGCCAGACCTGCGAGCTTTGTGTCTCCTTCCTAGAAGAATTGATCGTACGATCCTATCTCACACCTGGGTAAAGGCTGGTCGATTACTCCCTGGGTTTAAAAAAAGGTTCCCGATGTCGCACGACCAAAAGTCTCATCGCTAGTTTGAAATTTTCCTGACTTTTCTTTCCTCCTGGTTCTCGCCATTACAATGGCATCACTTCGTCATTCTGGTCTTTGTGATCTCCGTTATTTCAGTGCCGATTTGCCGTTGCACAGACTCCTTCTACTTGCTTCTGTATTGGCTGTATTGCCATAAGCACGCATGAGAAATAGATTAGTTGACTCCAATGAGGGTGTCGACCACCCTGCAGGTTCGGTCACGATGTCGTTCAACCTTCTTGGCAAGAAGGTAATCTAATCTTATCAGATCAATCTAATCAGATGCTTCCTGTATCAGACATTGGCCAGAGATGGGATAATATGGGGTGCCAAGCTCGCTCTCCTGCGGCCACAGTGGCCCAAGACTTTTTTTCCTGGATCGAGAAGTGCGCCAAGGCTGATGTAGAGATGGTTTTTCCTGATATGGCCCCGAAGACAGAGGAGAGCGGGGTTTGCTTGAAGAACCTGCCGTTCGTAGCTTCGAATTACACAAAAGATCCCGGCTCGGTCTTGGAGTTATTGAATGTCTTCGCATATTTCGAGCGATGAGACTCCGATTCACGAGGGCTCGATAGACTCCATGATGGAGTACTCGTGTTGTGTCTGCGAGACCGGAAATATGAATAAGTCGAACCCGATAGAGATCCGTGTCGAGGGCACGGCACGCAGTCCACGGCTCTTGAACAATAGAAAAGCCTGGTGGACTACCTAAGTACTTAAGCCGCTCTTCTGCGCCGTTCATCATTCACTAAAACAAGTCAGTCAGCATAGTCATTCGTTCCTATCCCAACCTCGATACAAAGTCGTCCACTGAAGTCGCTCGCTACACCTATCACAATGGTTAGAATCATCTTTCTCGCAATTGGAGCC